AAATTACGAAAATGTCATCCAAAAAATAAATTGGCCCAAATCGGTGCTTAATGGGCTTTTCATCCGTGGAGGATAGGATCAATAGACTTCATTATCGGTGGAAAATAGCGTTGGCCTGATACCGTGATCTATAGCATCCAGAATCGAAAGAAAATGGCATTTGAGAAAAATTGCCCGAAATCTGTGATGGTACTCTTTTGGAATCTACCAAGAATTGACCCAAAATAAATCTTCCCAGATCGGTGCTTAATGGACTTAATCATCGTTGAAGAATAGCCTCAGGCCGAATCCGTGATCAGTAGCCTTCAATATCCAAAGAAAATGGTCTTTCGTCGCCCACAAAATTACGAAAATGCTATCCGAAAATAAATTGGCCCAAAGTTGTGCATAATGGGCTTATCATTCGTGGAGAATAGGATCAATAGACTTCATTATGGGTGGAGAATAGCCTCGGCCTGATTCTGTGATCTTTAGCCTCCATAATCGAAAGAAAATTAAATTTCAGAAAAATCGCCTGAAATCTATGATGGTACCCCCTTTGGAATCGGCCTAAAATTGACTCAGATTAAATCCGCTCAAATCCGTGCTTAATGGACTTAATCATCGTTGAAGAATAGCCTCAGGCTGAATCCATGATCTGTAGACTTCAATATCCAAAGAAAATGGCCTTTCGTCGCAAAAAAAATTACGAAAATGTCATCCGAAAATAAATTGGCCCAAATCGGTGCTTAATGGGCTTATCATCCGTGGAGAATAGGATCAATATATTTCATTATCGGTGGAAAATAGCCACGGCCTGATTCTGTGATCATTAGCCTCCAGAATCGAAAGAAAATGGCATTTCGAAAAAATCGCTCGAAATCGGTGATGGTACCCCTTTGGAATCTGCCAAAAATTGACCCAGAATAAATTCGCCCAAATCAGTGCTTAATGGACTTAATCATCGTTAAAAAATATCTTTAGGCTGAATCCGTGATCTATAGCATTCAATATCCAAAGAAAATGGCCTTGTCACCAAAAAAATTACGAAAATGTCATCCAAAAATAAATTGTCCCAAATCGGTGCTTAATGGTCTTTTCATCCGTGGAGAATAGAATCAATAACCTTCATTTTCGGTGGAAAATAGCCTTGGCCTGATTTCGTGATCTATAGTATCAAGAATAAAAAGAAAATGGCATTTCTGAAAAAGTTCCCGAAATCTGTGATGGTACCCCTTTGGAACTGCAAAAAATTGACCCATAATAAATTTGCCCAAATTAGTGCTTAATGGACTTAATCATCGTTAAAGAATAGCCTCAGGCCGAATCCGTGATCCGTAGCCTTCAATATCCAAAGAAAATGGCCTTTCGTAGCCCAAAAAATTACGAAAATGTCATCCAAAAATAAATTGGCCCAAATCGGTGCTTAATGGGTTTATCATCCGTGGAGAATAGGATCAATAGACTTCATTATCGGTGGAGAACAGCCTCGGCCTGATTTCGTGATCTATAGCCTCCAGAATCGAAAGAAAATGACATTTCGGAAAAATCGCTCGAAATCTGTGATGGTACCCCTTTGGAATCTGCAAAAAATTGACCGAGAATAAATTCTCCCAAATTGCTGCTTAATGGACTTAATCATCGTTGAAAAATAGCTTCATGCCAAATCCGTGATCTGTAGCCTTCAATATCCAAAGAAAATAGCCTTTGTCGCCCAAAAAATTACGAAAATGTCATCCAAAAATAAATTGGCCCAAATCGGTGCTTAATGGGCTTTTTATCCGTGAAGAATAGGATCAATAGACTTCATTATTGGTGGAAAATAGCCTTGGCCTGATACCGTGATCTATAGCATCCAGAATCGAAAGAAAATGACATTTCAGAAAAATTGTCCGAAATATGTGATGGTACTCCTTTGGAATCTGCCAAGAATTGACCCAAAATAAATCTGCCCAAATCGGTGCTTAATGGACTTAATCATCGTTGAAGAATAGCCTCAGGCCGAATCCGTGATCTGTAGCCTTCAATATCCAAAGAAAATGGCCTTTCGTCGCCCAAAAAATTACGAAAATGCCATCTGAAAATAAATTGCCCCAAAGTTGTGCATAATGGGCTTATCATCCGTGGAGAATAGGATCAATAGACTTAATTATGGGTGGAGAATAGCCTTGGCCTGATTCAGTGATCTTTAGCCTCCAGAATCGGGGGAAAAATTGAATTTCGGAAAAATCTGCCAAAATCTATTATGGTACCCCTTTGGAATCGGCCTAAAATTGACTCAGATTAAATCCGCACAAATCGGTGCTTAATGGACTTAATCATCGTGGAAGAATAGCCTCAGGATCGATCCGTGATCTGTAGCCTTCAATATCCAAAGAAAATGGTCTTTCGTCGCCAAAAAAATTACGAAAATGTCATCCGAAAATAAATTGGCCCTAATCGGTGCTTAATGGGCTTATCATCCGTGCTGAATATGATCAATGGACTTCATTATCGGTGGAGAATAGTCTCGGCCTGATTCTGTGATCTTTAGCCACCAAAATCGATAGAAAATGGCTTTTCGAGAAAATCGTTCGAAATCTGTGATGGTACCCCTTTGGAATCTACCAAAAATTGACCCACAATAAATCCGCCCAAATCTGTGCTTAAATGACTTAATCATCGTTGAAGAATAGCCTCAGGCCGAAACTGTGATCTGTAGCCTTCAATATCCAAAGAAAATGACCTTTCGTCTTCCAAAAAATTATGAAAATGTTATCCAAAAATAAATTGGCCCAAATCGGTGCTTAATGGGCTTATCATCCGTGGAGAATATGATTATTAGACTTTATTTTCGGTGGAGAATAGCGTCGGCCTGATTCCATGGTCTATAGCCTCCAGAATCGAAAGAAATTGGCATTTCGGAAAAATCGCCCGAAATCTTTCATGGTACCCCTTTGGAATTTGCCAAAAATTGACCGAGAATAAATCTGCCCAAATCGGTGCTTAATGGACTTAATCATCGTTGAAGATTAGCCTCAGGCCGAGGCCAAGATCTGTAGCCTTCAATATCCATAGAAAATGGCCTTTCGTCGCCCAAAAAATAACGAACATGTCATTTGAAAATAAATTGGCCCAAATCGATGCTTAATGGGTTTATCATCCGTACTAAATAGGATAAAAAAACTTCATTAAAAAACAAATAAATAGATATCAATCTCTGAGCTAATCAATTAAGGAGCATTTGAATTTGTTGTTTAGTTCCTTACGTTATACATTCTCTGCATATGGCCTCAGGTTGTTGTATCTAAATATATTTGCTGGGGTTATTTTAATTGCAGGTACAATATTGTACTTCAATATTTATTTTCCCCTCTAATCAAATTTGTGTGAAGGCCAGATCTTTCTTTCGAAGGTAATCATACGGCGAATAGCTCTGATGTATATAGTGATATGATGCCGCCGTGTTTGATTTCTGATGAAGAGGAGCCAAATACAACTAGCAAATATGTGACATTACTGAAAACTAAAAAATCATCCTTGAAATGAAGGGGGGAATTTATGCGCACAATTTGCTGGATGTGGGTGAAGCAATCTGATTTTCACTCATACTGTCCTACTTTTTTACATCATCTTTGATTCAACATTGTCAATTGTCGGTCACACTCTAACCATCCTCGCGTACAATAATAGTCGAATTCGGAGTAATTCTTTTCATACCTTTTTGGGAGTATATAACTAAAATAGTACATATTGACATGTTTGTCATCATGAGTGGACTCCTGGTCTTTCAACTTGTCCCTTGTATGTTGTGTCATACCCATTTTTATAAAACCAAATTCACACTATACTAAAGATGTTATTGTCGTAATCAAGGTGATTAATTATTGGATTAAAATACTTAAATACACAGTATCGTTAAGTGTGGTCTCCAAAATTGAACACAAACTTCTACATAGGGTTCTTTCACCTTCATCTGCAGTTCAACCAAGGCAGGCTGTCCCTTTCGCATTACCCATGAGCTAATTATTTATTTGTTTTTAAACCTTCCAGAAACCAAGAATTTTAGTAATTAGGGAAATATAAAAAGAACTATATATTTGTATTTTTAATTGTTTTGTTCTTTTGTCTGTTTCAGACTGATTTTCAAAGATTAAATATTAATTTACGTCACTCCCATTCATTTTCAATTGGGCTTGGTTTATAGTGGGCTTCCGGATTCCCCTCGATCCATCTCGACAAGACTATACGGTGGACTTCATATATTCTTGAGCCGACAAGAGGAAGAAGAAGAAAGCACAAGAATGCCAATTTGCCAAATTTATGTGTACTTCTGACTTCTGATGCATCCAATTACAAACATGGCAAAGAGTTTTCCTGTAGAGAATGCACTTAAACACGAGACTTCTTGGTCAAAGACTTCAGTACCACGCTGAGAAGTAGTTGATCTCAATAGCCCGCGAACCTATACATGTATCTGGTAGCATTTTTGTCTAATACGTGAAGTCATATACAACTGGATTCCGTTATATCTTATGTTGGAAGAACCATACGATGTACAAAATTTTGTATTTTATGATCTGTCGAAAACTGTATATCCACATGATCATGTACTTCACTCATTCTCTTCTCTTTTTTTAATGGGTAAATGCCGCATTTGGTCACTAGGATTATTAAATCGTGTTATTTTTAGTCACTAGAAAAAAATTATTATCAATTTTGATCACTCGAGTTACCAAAACAGGCCACATTTAGTCACTCTCCTGTTAGCCTCCGTCGACACATATGTTCTTTACCATATGACACAATCAAACCCTAAAGTCTAAAACCATTATGACATCCACCCAACTTTGCAATCAACCCCTAAAACTCTCTCCATCCACCCAAAATTACGGACCAAGCTCTCAAAGTTAAGTTCAAGCTAGTTCCTTGCAAGGCATCTCAAACCCCTAATAACGTCACCCACATTTCCATCCCTTTCCCTATACTCCAAACTCTGCCGTTATAAACCCACCCCAGAAGAAGTCAGCAGGAACAGAGAAATGGAGATCAAGGTAGAAGAGAAAGAGCCAATTACCTCCAATGACGGCAACAGCAGCTCCTCCGACTCCGATTCAGAACACCATCCCCTCCTCGAAACTCGAGAGCCCTGCAACGAGGGAACCAAGAATCTGGTGCAGAGAGCCATCACACAGACATTCCAGAGCACTGCTCACTTAGCCAACCTCCTCCCAACGGGGACGGTCCTCGCGTTCCAGCTGCTCTCCCCCATATTCTCCAACCAAGGCAGCTGCGATCCAGCCACAAGGTCCATGACAGCAGGGCTCGTGGGGCTCTGCGGGTTGTCGTGCATTTTGTCGAGCTTCACGGATAGCTTCAAGGACAAGGATGGGAATGTCTGCTACGGGTTTGCCACGGTGAACGGTTTGTGGGTTATCGATGGATCGTCGAGCCTTTCTCCTGAAGCTGCGGCGAGGTATAGGCTCAAGGGCATGGATTTCGTGCACGGGGTGTTGTCGTTGCTCGTGTTCGCTGCGATTGCTCTGTTCGATGAGAATGTGGTGAGCTGCTTTTACCCGGAGCCGTCGAAGGAGTGCCGGGAGGTGCTCACTGCTCTCCCCGTTGGGTTTGGGGCGGTCTGCAGTATGTTGTTTGTTGTGTTTCCGACTGAGCGCCATGGAATTGGGTTCCCTATCTCCACCAACTGAGAAACTGTGGTTGGGTTCCCTACCCCCGCCATTGCATAACCTGTGAAAACATGAGAAGCTCTGTTCGTTAAATTCATTTCATGTATGTATCAATGAATCAGCTACAGTTCATTAATTCACGAGAAGACAGAAAGCAAGTTCCAAGCTTTCTCCATTTTGAGTTGACTACGGTCTTGAAGTAACAGTAGCATGCTTGCCTTGGAGAAATCATTCCATGCAAAAGAGACGACACAAAAATTGATGTGTAATAGATAACTCGTTTTTTCTAACAGGCTCGCCCAACTTCTACACTAGCCAGCACTTGTAATAAGAATACACACTACTAACATCTGAGAAATAAAAAAAAGAGAAATTAGCGAGTTAGGGGTCTCTTGCCTAAACTGGAAAAATGGGACGAGAGCAAATCCACTATTAAAGATCAAATATGGCGCTCACATCATGGAACTCCACGCCAATACTTCAAGAGTTTATTAACAGAAGAACTCCGCACATTTCCTTTTCATCACAAGGTTGCTCTAAAACTTCTTTAAACTCTGCACATGAATAACCAGAAGTAATGGGAAGTAGGCACCCAAAAACCGAAGCACTTACCAAACTATTCTAATTAGAGCTAAAAATGATCTGGCATACTAAATTCTGACTGCAGAATTCAGGTACTAATTTCGCCTAATCAAAATGTCTATTCCTCACAAGTCATCCTCATCTCTATGTCCCTAATGGTTCCCCCCTTCACTTCTGCAGCTTGTATGCCTATAAAGAGGTGTTACCATGGCCCAGAGACTGCACCAATCTCATTAGTTCTCACTTACGAGGGGCATATACGAAGGGAAGAGCACTCAACCTCAAAAATGACAATCAACTTCCCCTCTTTCGACCATGAATCTGCTCCAGAGGCACTGCAGAAAACCTTACTACACAAAGTCATAAACAAGACATGTAAGACAACACACGACCTGGCGAGGCACTTACCAACGGGGACAGTTCTGGCATTCCAACTCCTGTCACCCATCGTCACTAGAGAAGGTAACTGCGACTCCACTGGACTGTACTTCACCGCCACCCTTGTAGCAGTCTGTGCGCTGTCGTGTTTTCTTTTGTGCTTTACTGACAGCTTCAGGGACAAGAGTGGGAAGGTTTGTCATGGTATCGTCACCTTCCGGGGCATACGGGTCATTGACACTTCTGCAGACATCCCACCGGGATTCGCGGAGAGGTACAGAATGCGGTTGACGGATTTTGTGCATGGTTTCCTTTCCGTGCTTGTGTTTGCGGTGGTTGTGCTATTTGATAAGAACATGGTAAAGTGCTTCTGCCCAGCACCCTCAGATCAAATCCAGAAGCTTCTCACGGCATTGCCAATTGGAATTAGTGGGATCTGCAGCTCTTTGTTTGCAGTTTTCCCCACCAAACGCCATGGGATTGGATATCCCCTCTCTAATATGTGATATAGCAATAAATCTTCCACTTGATCCATCAAATATTTTTTGCGATGTTCTTCTTAGCTCTCTTTCGAGGATATATCAAACATAGCATGTCACCTGCAAGTTAATCATTATAGTAGCAATATCAACGTTGACGACTTTGTGGTCATTTATTGATCAAGGAGACCATGCTATAGCATGCACATAGTATAGTTTCACTAATAAGGGCTTCGCACAGAACTAGTGAGGAAAGCACCTATGCATACATTGATTAGGTCCTAAATTCTAACCAAGCATTAGAAAATGGCAGGTAGTAGTTTATAATGACTAGTAAAAGGAAATGAGAAGGGAATACCACATAATCATTTTGATCCATAAAAGGTAAAAAGAATAAGACAAGAAATTGATTCAAAGCCAGCATGATCAAATTCTGAGGAAAACCTTGTACTTGATCCGTATCTCATTGCAATATCATTTAAAGCAATGACATGGATATGGTTGATCAATGGTCTACAGACTACAAATGTGTACGACAACACAGATCAAGAACTCACCTGCCCTATTCAAAGCTAATCACGACAATAACCCATCTAATCATTCAATACCGACTCAAAAGCTGCACGTGCCTTTCTCCGATCCCAGAATCCACCCACCATTGTGTTCCACAATCCTTCATCAGGAGCACAACCATCAGTTGCCATATCATCTACAATGCGATCAGCTTTTTGCAAATCCCCTTTCTCAGAGAAAGACTTGAGAAGCTCATGGGAAGTCTCAACTTCAACCGATATGCCTCTAGTCCTCATACTTAAGTACGATCTAAATGCTCGATTTGGGTCACCATCTGCACAAAGGCCTTTCACTACTATATTATTTATCTTGATGTGAAGGCTCCAGGTAAGCCGGCTTGGCGTTATTCTTTCAAGGACCATCTCATCGAGGAAGTTTGCAGCCTCTTGAAACCTTTTCAAACCACATAACTCGATTATAACCTTCCCATAAAGTCCTGCATCTGGTTTCAAGTCCTGCATCTTCATTCTGTCAAGAATCGCCACAGCCTCTGAAACCTTCCCTTCCTTGCAGAGCCCGGTGATCAATGCGGTATAAATTATGGTATTAGGCTTAACACGTTTCCCAAACATCAAGTCCAGTAACTCCAAGGCTTGCTTTGATCGGCCATTCTTACAAAGACCATTCATTAGAGAACTGTAAGTAAACACATTTGGCTCAACACCGTTGGTCTTCATCTTCTCAAACAATCCCATGGCCTCATCTACCTTCTCAGACTGACACAAACCCTTTATCAAACAAGTATAGGTGATAACAGAAGGTGAACAGCCCTTTCCCTCCATCTCTTGGAACAATTCCTTTGCTTCAGATATCCGATCAAACATACACAACCCATTGATCATTGTGCCATAAGTATACAAATCAGGAACACAACCGCGACCTGGCATCTCACGGAATATCTTCAAAGCAGCGTCGACGGTATCAATGTTCTTGCAAAGAGCTTTAATAATAATGTTGAGAGAAACAACGCTAGGTGGAATGCCTATCTCCCGCATATGCCCATAAAAGCTAATGGCCTCCTTCACCCGGCCCTCGTCCACGAGGACCGAGAGCACGGTGACGAAGGACCTCTCCGTCGGTACGCAATCGAATCCGTCCATCGCACGGAAAACCCTGATGGCTTCCTCTGGCATGTGAACCCGACCATACGCCCTGCAAATCGACATAAAAACGTCTTCCGTGATTCGACACTTCTCCACCTTCATTCTGCTCAGCATCTCCTCCGCCGCCTTGAATCGGTTCGCGGATACTAACTTGGAGATCATTGCATGAAAAGTGGAGCAGTCGTGCTTGTACCCATTGCTGTACTCGGCGGTGGCGGAGTCGAATATCCGCAGTGCCTTCTGCACGTCCTTCTCGTTCCGTATCAGTTGCTCGACCTGCGATGTAGTGATTTTGTTCGACCATTTAAACAGAGTCTTCGCGGCCATATCCGTTCAATCTGGGTGGCGCCTTTTATCGAACAGGTGGTCTGCAATCGCCAAAACGTTCAAGATATTAGCCTCGGGAAGGCACAGGTAGATATTTCCAGCGGCAATGCGTAAGAACGAATCGGTTCATCGGATTCTGAGAACCGGAGAATGATTCCGTTGCACAATCTATCCAGGTGTGGCGGCGACGCCTGTGCGACAGCTCTGTGACAACGGCGCTCTTTTTCGGTGTGTGAACGGTTCGCTTGTTTTGCAGATTTGACTCCCGCGACAGAGCAGGGCAGGACTAAAAGGAAGGGTGGAATTTCAATTCACTAAGAAGGGCCGGAGTCCACAGATATAGACCCATTATTTATTGGGCTTCCAGTTACCTGACTCATTGAAAGCCCATGAAAAGTAGCCCATCCCACTTCCATAGGCCCAGCCGTATTTGAGATATATGCATGGTCTCGTGACCGGCGACCTAACCGTCACAAGAAAGTGAAACGGGCGGGAAAGAAAACGATCGTCGATAAGGTGAATCATGGGCGAGGAGGAACAGGTTGCCAGCTAGCAGGCAGGGCATGGCCCAAGAAGAGAGGCACCATCCAGTGGACTGGACGTGCCGTCGGTTATGGGCCTCCCGCTCAAGATAAGAGATGGGCCCACAAGCCCCTATCGCCACCACCTCTCTATCCTCTCGTAATCCTCTTTCCTTATTTCACCAGCCAATCATATGCTTACAAATATACGTTACCCGCTTACGTCACCTCCCTCCAAAAATAAAGAATAAAACAAAAACAAAAAAATATCGCCACACCGTTTCGTTTCCCCAAAATTCTGATCAGGTACTCCCCGTTCCAGCATATCTGCAGACTCCAGGGCCCACTTCCGTATTCCACATTCTTCTTCTACGTCTAGTCCACTACGTAAAGACGAATTCTCACTGATTTTAGGGTGGAGATGAAAATCTGTATCGTAGTTATCATGGTCCCTCACGTATAGGATAGCCACAAAAAACAGTATCATCATAAGAGAGCTTAACACTGCAGCACATTTCGTCTCTGCAAATTCTCCAGTTCCGATTACGGCAATGGAGTCGCGAGTGCTATCACGCGCAGCCGCTCTCCCTCAGCTCCGGAGGCTCCCACGGGAGAGCGGCGGCAGTGGCTCCTTTTCGTCCGGCCTCCTCTCGATGAAGGCGATCAGCGGCGGAGTCGGCGCCGCCAATCTCATCTGCGGGAAGCAGCTCCGGCCGTTCCTGCTCCTCGAGGCCAAACGCGATATGGCTCTGAAACCTGTTTTCGCCGCCGCATCCTCGTCTCCGGCCGAGGGAAGCGATTCCGCCGGGTGAGGTCCGTTCCCCTAATTTTTTTTTCCCGCCGGTGAATCGTGTGCCAATTTCAATTCCGTCTTGGACTGATTCGTTTTGCTCTCTGCAGGGCAAAGGTTGGCTTCCTCGACAAGTACCCGTTCCTCATTACCGGGTTCTTCTTCTTCATGTGGTACGTCGTACCGGATCCTGACCCGACCCGACTCCCCGCTCCATCGGACTCTTCGGGTTTCGTGATTACCGATTGATTTAAATCATAATTTCCTGTATTTTAGGTACTTCTTGAACGTCATTTTCAACATCATGAACAAGAAGATCTACAATTACTTCCCCTACCCATAGTAAGCTTTACCTTTTTACCCTCTCTTAATTACCCAACCCGGCGCTAATTAAACCCGTAATTTTGGTTAAGTTTTAATAACGGGGGAATTTACTCGGCGGTGATGTAGCTTCGTGTCGGTAATTCACTTGGCGGTGGGAGTCGTGTACTGTCTGATCAGCTGGGCCGTGGGCCTTCCTAAGCGAGCTGTGAGTCCAACTTTTTTCAGGCCCATTACAATTTACAATATTCAGATGTTTTTTTTTTCATTTATTTTTGTCTTTTCTTTCTCATTGTTGGTTTGATGGCAGCCAATAGACGGCAACCGGCTGAAGCTGCTGATTCCAGTAGCGGTATGCCATGCTCTAGGACATGTGACCAGCAACGTCTCCTTTGCAGCAGTTGCTGTCTCCTTCACCCACACCATCAAAGGTATCGTAGCAATGTTCAACTCGATCGAATTCGTACCTTCGAGAGGACGAGCTCTATAATATGTCATTATGTTTTTTATCTGATGCTGAGAATGTTGGTTGGTTGGTTGGTTTGTTCAGCTCTTGAACCGTTCTTCAATGCGGCTGCTTCACAGTTCATACTCGGGCAGTCGATCCCCATATCGCTGTGGCTGTCTCTTGCCCCTGTCGTCCTGGGTAACAAAAATCTTTGATACCCTTTTTCGTGCTTTGCTTTGCTTTCTTTTGTGTGATTGTTATTTATGAGGAAAGACAATGGCTTTGCTTGAAATGAAGGTGTGTCGATGGCTTCACTGACCGAGCTTTCGTTCAACTGGCTGGGGTTCATCAGCGCCATGATCTCCAACATTTCCTTCACTTACAGAAGCCTTTACTCCAAGAAGGCTATGGTAAAATTTTGCTTGACAAATTACTTCAAGAAAGGGGAAAAGGGTAATTAGTCTTACTGTGTCCAGTTCTGTTCCTGCAGACGGATATGGACAGCACTAATGTGTATGCGTACATCTCCATCATTGCTCTCATTGTCTGCATTCCACCAGCCATTTTCGTGAGTAAAAATGGAGATTAATTTTTCCAGTGTCAGCTGCTTTTTTTGGTTTTCATCTTTGGACGATCGGATTCAGAATTTCACATACATTATTGGTCTGTTTCTGCATTGCAGGTTGAGGGACCTCAGCTGATGAAGTATGGCTTCAACGACGCAATCGCCAAAGTTGGAATGACCAAGTTCGTCACGGACCTATTCTGGGTTGGACTCTTCTATCACCTCTACAATCAGGTAATGTACTTATTCGATTCGAGAGTCTGAACAACAAACCATTGTATACTCAAGCTAGAGATTCCTGCCCTGAAAATGATTCCTTTTTTTCCTTGTGCTCTCTGCAGTTGGCCACTAATACTCTGGAGAGGGTTGCACCGCTGACACATGCTGTTGGCAATGTGCTGAAACGTGTGTTCGTCATTGGCTTTTCGATCATTGTCTTCGGTAAAAGAGCTGCTACTGGAACTCTTTCTGGTTTTTGGTTTGGATGGGACTGTGTTTCATGTATCTGAAATGTGCTTTGTGATTGTGTCTGGATCAAACAGGCAACAAAATCTCAACACAAACTGGGATTGGAACGTGCATTGCCATTGCTGGAGTGGCGATCTACTCGTTGCTCAAGGCCAAGATAGAGGAGGAGAAACGGGTGAGTTTGAGGGGGTTTTTTTTTTCCAAGCCTTCAAAGTATCCCTAACCAATTCCAGTGTTGATATCCATTCCCTGACCAATTTCCTCGTGTCTTTTCTTGTAGCAAAAGAAAGCCGCATGAGGAAGAAGGAAGCTACGGTTGATGTGGGAGGAAGCCTGATCATCGGCTTGTGTAAAGTCTTTCAGATATATTCTGCTGCTATATATTATTCTGGGTACTGAACAGAACTTTGAGAAGAACGAAGTATCCTGTTGTGATCAAGATGTTCTTTGTCATTTTCATTTTTTCCTCTACTTCCTTCTTCTCGCCCTTTTTTTCACCTCATGCATCATTGTTCTTTGATTCGGAGTAGACGACAATTTGCAAATTTGCAAACTCTCAAGTTCTTGTTGACTTGAAATAATGTTACTTTCCTTTCTACCTTTCTGGTTAACAGAGAGCATATAGCCATATACATATATATCATGTCACTAGTGCCGTACTTGTTGGAGTTTCCATTTGCATGGAGCAAGTAAGAGTCGAACTGACCCGTCCAACCTGACATGTATGGGGCGGGCGGGTATGTGTACTAGTCTTGACCTGACCCGACTCATTCTCGATCCGTTATTGTGTAAATTATTTGTAATTTTATAGAAATTATTTACGAGTTTACTTTTATTATATAATATTTTAGCTATAATTAAATGTAAGTAGATGAGAACCTCAATTTCTTGAATAATTTAACGACATTTATCATGTTATATTTTGTTTATGAAATGTTTAATGAAAAAAAACAATGTATCAAGTGTTTTACCGTTACAATACATACTCGTATAAGTCGACCTGATCCGATACGCGCTCTAAGACAATATACGTACCCAACCTACCACGGGGCGAGTATGAGTATTGAGATACCCACGCCGACTTGCCACATTGCCATTTCTAGTCGCTAGACTTGAGGAGTCGGTGGCGTAGGCTTATTGGTTAGCTCGGTCGTGTTGGGTCCATAAATTTAAAGGCAGAAAGGCATGCTCAAACCATTTTTACAATGACGGAGTTGGTAATTAAGGTGGCCACTTAATTTCACACAAATAATAAACGTGATAGAAAATGTTATATTTTCTTAGGTTTTAACGAAACTAAGGGCAATAAGGGTTACATGGTTCTGAAGGTTGACATGGAGAAGACATAAGATAGAGTAAAGTCGCCCTTCCTACTCGCAATTTTAGAAAAAATTGGTCTTCGATTCGAGATGGATAAGTCGGATCAAGGAATGTTTGACTTAATTGTCTTTCTCAGTCCTTATGAATGACACCTCATCTGGATTCTTCCATGTATTCTTCGTAGACGATTTATATATGTTCCTCAGAGAATCGGTGCAAGAATGTGAGAATCTGATTGAGGTCCAAATGAATATGAGGAATTAAGTGGCCAAAGGATCAACTTAGCTAATCAAGACATCCTTGCCCATATTCTTGGTGTGGGGGCGGTAGGGGTGCAAAATAAATATCTTTGTCTCCCCACCATGATTGCGCAATTTAAAATGTCTATGTTTATCCCTCTGTAAGATTTTGGTTAAACATGCGACCAGATTTTGGTGGGGGGGGGGGGCATTCCCGTATCTGGTGGATGTCTTGGAGAAACTTGTGTCGAAGTAAACATGATGGGGACTGGGGTTTCGTCATTTCGAACACATTTAATCAGGACCTCTTGGCCAAAAATCGGGTGGCGAATCCTCGACGAACCCAATCCCTACTACGCATTCCTGACCTTCTTGAGGCTAACAGAGTATTCTGCATGGTCGTCATTTACTTCTTCAAGTGTTGCGTTGGCATATTAGGAATGGATAAAGTGCCTCTATCCGGAATTCCATCTGGATTCCTAGTTTACATCTGAATGCCCCGCTTTGTCACCAACAAGTGATACTGGAGGTGAGTGACCCGAAGGTGGTAGAACTAATGGATCAAGAGGGAGGACAATGGAGTGATGAGCGACTTGCACATATGTTCCCGCCAGACGTTTTCTGAGCCATTAAAGCAATCCCGTTGTCTCGTAGGGATGTAGATGACTCCCTGATTTGGCATAATACTCGAGATAGGGTGTTACTGTGAAGACTGCTTATCATTTAGCAGTTCTGACTAGCAGACTATGAGGTGTTTGGCGTCAAACTGTCAGTTGGATGGACAGAGCCAGTTGGATTCGAATGTGCGAGCTACCTATCCCGCCCAAACTAAAAAACTTCCTTTGGCAGATATTCCACCGCATCCTCCCAACTGCAGAGGCTCTTATTGAGAAGAATGTCGAAGTAATGCCCCGTTGCCCGGTCTGCTGGCAGAGTCAGGGACAATGGAGCATTTGTTTCTTGATTGCCCAGTGGTAAGAGCACTATGGGACTAATCTGGTTTAGAGTATCTAGGTCAGGGGCTATTGCGTCGTACCTTTCTATTATTTCTGAAGAAGTTGATAACACTGGTCAATCAACCCCATCAAGTTATGGCTGCTGCAGTAGTCCTTTGGCGGATATGAAGATCTAGGAATTGAGTTGTCTTTGAGGATAAATAATTCTGAATTTCTACCTTGATGTGACAGTATTATCAACAAGTTCAGGAATGGATTAGTTTGCCAACACACAAAGTGATCCCACATCCCCATCCCCAAGTTTAGGAACATTGCTCGGATGATCTAGCTCCTTCCCTTGCATGTAGGATGGTGCAACAAGGAGTGAGTCCCACCCTGCGGGAGGGATGATACTAAAAGACCCTGGAGGATTCGTTGTTTTGGCTAGAGGGGTGTATGTTGAGGATATTGATTATCCAACCTTAGTAGAGCTTCTAGTCCTTCGGGGAGGCCATCCAGTGGTGACTGGATCTTGGGCTCTCGCAGGTTCGTTTTGAAGGAGATGCTTGGTCTTGGATCCATACCAGGGTGTAATGTGTTCTATCTCTATTTCAATCAATATATGATTACCTTTTGTAAAAAAAACGGCTTGATACATTGATATAAAAATATCAAGGATTGAAAAATCGCATTAAAGGTTGTGCTGGAAAAGTCAGCGGGAGGGTATGTGATGCTGAAACTGCGGTTTAACCGTGGTTCAACCATTTCATACTGTTAAATACCACCTACTAGTTTCGCTTGCGAAAGATGTTTTCCTGGTTGAACCACCGGTACAGTGTGATTTTTACAATCGTTGATAAATATTGAAAATCAAGAATGATGTATTTTGTCAGGTTGACAATTGTAATCATGATATATCACAATTTACAAAATGAAATGGAATCATCGTTGTTTATAGAAAGTTCATCTAGATAGTCTTGGTATAAGCACCATCATGATTGCAAACATAACCAAAATCAATGAATAAAATAAAAAGAACTCAAAAAATAAGAAGACAATTAAATGAAAAATACACTAGAAAAATAAGAAATTGGGATGAAAATGCACCATTTTATGAGCGCATAAGATCTCAAGGCCAATTTAAAACAAAAATAAGACAATTACAAACAATCGAGTAAAATTATGTGAAAGGAATGAAGAAAAAAAAAAGCCATTAACAATTAAAAGAACTAGTATGAAAAAGAGGAGAAGTGAGAAAATTTACCATGATGAATAGAGACAATAATAGCATGAAGAAGAACAATTCATTTTCCTTTTTCCCCGAACTCTCATTCTTTCTGTTGGTCATGAATTTGTTCCACCTCCTCCATCAAATTCATTTTCTCCAAAATGATTTGTCTTCTTCTCCTTCTTGTTCGACAAGTATCTACGACGAAAGCTATATGATCAAGATTAGTTTTTTTCTCTCTCGAGAGAGAAACGCAAGAGAAAGTGGTCAAATACCAAAAAATATACCTCGCTCTCCCCTTTCTCCATCCCATTTTTGTTTTTCCTTTCGTGATTTCTCAATTCTAATATCCGATTTCTTGAATTCTCGCTTCTTTCATCTATTACTTGAAAAGTATGGATGCAAATTCTGAATCAGAAGATCGAAATTGCAATGTCCCTATGAAGAACATCAATGTTAGCGTTAGCTCCAAGCAAGAAGGGCATAACAACAAGCCTAAGCGTCAAATGAAGACACCTTTCCAACTAGAAACCTTGGAAAAGGCTTATGCAGGTTCATATGCATGCTCCCTTTTCTATCATACTTGTCTCTCTTCATTTTTGTGAAATATTTATTGTGCTCGAATTAATTCATCTTATATTTTTTCTCCTACTTCTATCGTTTTTTCCTTGTCGAGTTTTAAGTTTTTGGCTAGTCTGATATCCCATGCCAAGATCTTTCTAATGCGACATGTTTTCGTGCTAACACTTGATTTGCATGCATGCTGCTAGCTGGTTAATCATGATTGTGTGACTAAATTTACACATTGGTTTGATCGATTTCAGTGGAAACATACCCATCAGAGGCAACAAGAACAAAACTATCTAAAAAACTAGATCTCACAGATAGGCAACTGCAAATGTGGTTTTGCCATAGAAGGCTAAAGGATAGAAAGGAGGACAAAAGAGATGTCGTCACGACCAAGAAACATCGTAAAGAACCAACCTTGCTCAAGAAGTCCCCTCTGTTGGAGTTCCCTGTTGATCAAGAACTCAATATAGATGACAATGATCCCGATCCAGCTGCCGAAAGTGACTATGAATCTCAATGTGGCTCAGGGTTCAGCTCATTTGTTGATGCTGCAGATACCAGCGGTGTGGCTAGTTTGGATAAGTACATGTCCATGTCCAAACCATACCATCAATCATCACCATTGCTCTCTTGCAAGAAGCTCCAAGCAATTTCCTATGTTGAAGCACAATTGGATGGGCCATTAAGGGAAGATGGGCCGGTTTTAGGGTTTGAGTTCGATCCATTGCCACCTGATGCATTTGGAGTTTCGATAGGTGTGTGCTAAATGATTAATTTCTTTGCCTGATACTAATGGTCAAAGTAAAGAACAAATAGAATTTGAAATTAAAAAAAATCCATGCAATTAGTGCGATGAGTTATGTATCTTTGTGTTTGCGTAAGCTTTCCTAATGTTCATGCAAAACCAATCGAGACGATAAATTGATCTTTATATATTGCATATCAACTAACTTTCATTTTAATGTGCAGGCACCATGGCAGAACAATATGACGGAAATTCTAACCAAAGATTTCGAAGGCATGAGGGAAAGCTAAAAAAAGTTTGTTCTCGATTGACTATCTAGTGTTTTCTTTTACAGTTAACTACTATAGTTACTTGTCATGTTGTTGTACATTTCATTTTCAAAGTGATCTTACCAAATTATGAACTTCATCTCAGGGGTCGACAAGGTCTCTTCATGAACATGGACAACTTGTTCAACCTTCTTACAATGGCTCACCGATTGATACAATTAGAGGAAGAAGAATCTCGAAGTATCACGAGACTAATATGCATTATCCAAGGGCTTTGACTGCTACAAAATCTCCATCAATGTCATATACATCTCCACAAAGTAAAGGATCAAATCATTTTCTTTCCTCACCTAACACAAGTGATCACAACTACCTTCAACCCCCAGAATCCGCATTTATGAACGACAGAAGAAATGAAAAATCTAAATGTAACTCAATTATTAAGCAAAAATATAACAATATCTTTCAAGATGCCAAAGTCTTCCGTGATGGCGACGATGATACACATATGAGGAAGAAACACAAAGTAAACCGTGTTCATTTAGAGCCAGATAATTCTCTCAAAGCATGAGAAAGAGAGGTTTTGACAACATAGGCAACATATACAATGTAATTTTTACATAGATGCATAGTGGAAAAAAAATTAGCAGTAAGTATCACAGACCTCCTCGTCGTTCTCGATCTTTTATCATAGAGCTTTTGAAAGTCTGAGAGATATCATTTTCACATAAAGTGCCATTTCTTATTGTATATTGTATTTTAACTTCATCCTATTAGAGAATGTGAATTGTTTTTATGATTAGGTACTACTTAAGAGATTTGAATCTGAAACCTCCTGATTCAGGGTTAGTGGTAATACCAGTTTACCACTAAACCAACCCCTTATTCGTTAGAGAATGCGAATTGTTGATATGAGAGATTCTTCATGTGAATTTATGTTGTAATCTATTTCGGGATATTGCACCATTGATATATATACCAACCTTCCTAAAGACCTTTGATAGAATTGTGGAACTGTACTTGAGGGTGGGCAACCGTTCGAGCCGATTTCAGATCAATTGAATCCGACCAAGTACAATTCAATTTGATTCCAACTCTAATTTGGAAAATAAATAAATAAACAACCTGAATGGTACCGGTCTCATTTTGCTTAGTGCTATTAAACAATTGTTCTGTTAGCGGTGCAACTGATAATTAGTGATTAACTGTTACACAGATAACCAATCAAACAATATGTTCCCGGTAGTCAAATTTAGCTAATTACTAACAGAAAATTAACCAATTAGTAGTCGATGATTAAACGCTTAATAAAAAATCGATTAAATCATTTTGGTTAAACCGAACTGAACCGATTGTCAACCCTATTGTCCTATTATGATTCGATCCGGTTGTATACCATATTGGGCTGGAGAGTACCACCCACCCACTACTAATCTACTATGCCTTTCCTACCAACCCATGTGCTCAAGTTGGTAGAGACACTGGGCTAATAGCCCATTAGGCCCATTCCAATTCGAGTCCAGCCCAGAAAGAATGGCGGGAAAGGTTGAGTTCGGAAAGAAGGCCCCCGCCATTTTGGCACACAAACCTGAAAACTCAACTTTTTTGCCCCACCTCAAGATCACGTTACAGCCTTTCCACCAATTCCCTGCAGCTGCACCACCTCCTTCCTTGTAACCAAGAAAGAATCCAGGCCATTCACAGCACAAACAAAACAAGCAACCTCGTCGACAACGTTACCCAAAAGAAAAACCCAACATTAAACACAAAGTAACCAGCAGTTTGGTCGGGATCAAAGCAATCTACGTCGTACGATCGCCACGCAGAAAAAAAGTGCAAAAAAAAGAAAAAAGAAAGAAAGAAGAGAAAAATGAGAGCAATTGTAGCGTAGATGGGATAGAACAATGAAACAAACGCAGGGGAACTTAATAAAAAGGAACACTTTTTGATTGATTGAGATTTGAGCCTACTACTACTTCATTTAAAACTTAAGATTAAAATTTATAATAAAAGGGAAAAAAAAAATTTGTTGAATTTATAATGATGGATTGGAGTAGAAGAATTATAATGCTGCTTTCTTCTTCCTTGCAATCTGTCGATTGTTTGTTTTTATCGTGGTTTATTGACTTATCGTTGTTCGTATTTGTTATAGTTCTTTCACTCATTATTATTCTTATTATTCGTATTGGGTTGGGATTATTATTACCATTCTTTCTTTCTTCCCTTCTTGTCCCGGATCTTCTTCTCCTACCGATCCCCAATTCTTCTTCATTCGGTTTATTGTTCATTCTTCTTTCAATTCCTATGTGGGTTGCTGTTAATCCCTTCTTCTCTCGACCCAGACCGTATCTCTTGAGGGTTTCATAGGCAGAGTTGAAGAAGAGAGCTAATCGTTTAATTCCCAGAAATTCTCCCCCTTTTTTTGAACTTTTGGTTTCTGGGTGTTTCCGTGATCCGGGAAACCCTAATTGGAAACTGGGGGGGTTCGAGATGGATTCGAATTCCGACGGAGAAGATCGGAAGCCCAACAACAAGGGCTCCGGCGGGGAGGGGCAGAGCAAGCCGAAGCGTCAGATGAAGACTCCTTTCCAACTCGAAACGCTGGAGAAAGCTTATGCCTGTTCGTACTCTTACCCACTTGGTCTCTTGTTCATGAATTCAGTTTATTTGTTTTGAGTTAGTTTTTTCGCCCTTGGTTTTGATCTTGATCCCCTTTGTTTACAATTGGGTAACGTGAGAATATGATTTAGTTGTTGGTGGAAGAAATCTGAACTTGAGAACATTGTTGTTGTACTGTACAAGGCATGTTTGAACTTTCAGGTGGCTTGGTGGGATGTTTGATTTGATCTCTTACAGTTTGATTCTGTTGATTCAATACCTTGTGAATGTGGTGCTTCATATTTTGGTTTTAATGTGGTAAGTGTTGGATATTAGTTCATTGAAGCTTGTTGCTTTATGTTTTGTGCAGCGGAAACATACCCAACTGAGGTGACGAGGTTAGAGTTATCTCAGAAGTTAGGTCTGACGGATAGGCAATTGCAAATGTGGTTTTGCCATAGGAGGTTGAAAGACAGAAGGGAGGAGAAGAAAGAAGAGAAAAAGGACATCACCCCGGCAAAGAAACCACGAAAAGCTCCACCTCCCTTGCCGGACTCACCTGTCGAGGAACTCAAGCTTGCAGTTCCTGATCCTGGGAGTGACTATGGATCTGGCTCGGGTTCCGGTTCCAGCCCGTATATGGATTCAAGGAAAATGGTTGTGGATGATGTGCCAATGTCAAGGGGGTACTTCGACCCATCTCCTCAGTCAGCTATGGAGCTTAGAGCCATTGCATGTGTGGAGGCACAATTGGGGGAGCCTTTGAGGGAGGATGGTCCTATTGTAGGAGTGGAGTTTGATGCATTGCCACCTGATGCATTTGGAGCCCCAATAGGTATGCTTCTTAATGGACTCGGTATCGTTCGTATTATTAACCTCAATTGATGAGCAAAAGATAGCTGTATTACAATGCACATACAATCTGATGTTTGGTTCGACCTGAGGGATGTTTATTTTTCGTTTGTAATTTGTCTACTCGATATATTGATTTAGAAAATAGAGAGTTCTTGCTGAGAATGGAGGTTTAGTTGTATTTGCTTATTGTTTACACATTATTAAAAGTTCACGGATTTGCTGACTTCTTTGCTTATCTTGTTGAAATATCATGAGAACTCATCTTTTCACCATATGTCATATGTGTTCTCGTATTTCTCAACTGATCTCAAATTCATGGTCTTACACATTTGTCCACATTCTACCGCTTTCATATTGGCATTATGCTCTTCTGTGTAGCAGCTGTGGTGGAACAGCAGAAGCGATACCCTTATGATGGAAAAATACTTCAACGGCGTGAGGGGAAATCAAAAAAGGTTTTTTCCACAATTCCTCCAATGAGTTTGTACTTGCGCACGATTTATTTGGCTTGCACATGAATGTATCTTATTTTACTTCTCTGGTTTGTTGTTATAACACTAATATGAGACAGAATGGATAATGCGTTTTGATCATTGTTTGGAGCTGTGGAGTTATGATATCTACTACCTTTCATCCATTTTTTTGTCATCCTGTTCCAAATTATGCTAATTCTTTTTGTTGTAGACAGTGTAATAGGCACAGGATTGGATTATAGTCAAGCCGCTAAATTTTGTATGATTGAACAAGTTGTCATAAGCAGAGCAGTCTTTCTCTGATCGATTTAGATAGTGCTGATAACTAGACGAACTGTGCCAGAGCCAGCAAGTTACTTGTCTTTAGGTGTCACAATTCTTGCCGTCTTGGCCATGAGTCTTATTTAAGACATTTTTTTGTTACCTCCTAATTATGGCTTTCACCACTAAACATGCCCAGAATGTCTCTAATATCTCAAATGATGGAAAAGAAAATGATAAGGGATACTATGTGTCATAGACTTGTGTAATCTGTCACTCCAAACTATGTTTTGGTTCTGTTGCATTGCATCTGCTTCACTGCAATTCAGATTATAGAAATCCTGGCCATTACGGTCTAATGTAATCATTTCTTGCTTGACAGATAGTAACATGAGAATCATAAGAAAAAGGACTGATAGTAAGTGTGCGCAAACAGTTTCTGTTGTCTGTCCTTACCTAGTTGACCATTTCAGGCCTCTGCAAGGGCTCTTCACGAGTATCAGTTTCTCCCGGATCAGTCCAGCATAAGACCTGACACATATGGACAAGTTGCTCAGCATTCTTACCATGATGTGCCAGCTGATACTCTTAGGGGAAGAACTTCACCATTTGTACGTGGAGATGAGCATTTACCCAGGATTCATGATGTCCACACTCCAGTGTCACGTGTACGTCTCTTATCTCCACAAGAAAACAAGGGTCATCTTCCATCAACTCATTGGGATGATGATTATCTTTTGAGATCAGAACCTTTCCCGAACCATAGAATAAAAGCTGAATCTTCCAGTCACCATATGGCAGCACCAGAAAGTACACACATGTTCCATGATGCCAATGTCTTCCAGAGTGAAGCAGATATGCGCACAGAGAAGAAACGCAAAATAAAGGTTAGTTACTGACATTTTTTTTGTCTCAGTTGCTGTTTGCTGGCTGCTGCTGCGCATCTGTACTTATCTTTGATCGACTCTGTCAGAGTGAAGATGCTAGACTTGCCAGGGAAGCTGAGGCGAATGAGATTCGGATGCGCAAAGAGCTCGAGAAACAAGAAATTATGAGACGCAAGGTACTGGTTTAGTCTTTTAAAAGCTATACTGCTCTTGAGATCCATGCAAGGAAAATTCATTATGTTGTACTAATGACATTTTCAATTTATTTTCCATGCAAAATAGAATGAAGAGCGAATAAAGAAAGATATGGAGAGGCAAGACCGTGAAAGAAAGAAGGAAGAAGAGAGATTGATGCGCGAAAGACAACGTGAGGAGGAAAAGTCATTGCGTGAACAAAAACGCGAACTAGAAAGGAGGGAGAAGATGTTGCAAAAAGAGTATTTAAAGGTTCGTAGGTTATCTGCATGTTGATATGATCTTTTGATTCTTTCTTCAATATGCATTACTCTGGACTCTGGTGGTCGCTTTTTTTTATTGTCATCAGTCTATTTGTCTATTAACTTAAAAAAGTATATGTGCTGTTAGGCTGAGAAGCAGAGGCAGAAAGAAGAGCTAAGGAAAGAGAGAGAGGAAGTTAGACGTAAAGCTGCTATTGAGAAAGCAACTGCACGGAGGATTGCCAAAGAGTCTTTGGATCTTGTTGAGGATGAACAGTTGGAGCTCATGGAATTGGCTGCTGCAAACAAAGGGTTACACTCAGTGGTTCAACTAGACTATGATACTTTGCAAAACCTGGATGTATACAGAGGTATGCCAGGAGCATTTGAATGGTTGAATTTGTCGAAAGTCTTACTTTTCCGTATTTTGGCAATTTATTGGCAGCAAGACATTGTATATTTTGTTTTACAGGGCTTTATACATTAATATGTTTCATTAGAGAGTGTTTAACATGCATGTTAGTAGATGTTACTAGTTGTGACTGTCAAATCTTTGTTCGTGCAATTGCTTACATTTCACGTCAAATTGTTTGTTGTTGATTGTGGAATAGATTTACACCACTTTAAGATAAGCAGTTGGATGAATTAATTAATGTCAATAGCTGGTTAATCCAGGAGAAACCAGTCCTTTCATTTTCTTACATAAACAAAGATGGAAATAGACGAGGAATGTTAATAGCTCTTCAAATTTAGGTCTTCTGTGCTGTCTGAATTTTTATATCTAACCCTAGTTATTGTTCATCTCTGCTTCATTCGCAACATATAAATATGATAATGTAAATTTGTTATCATTACAGAGCTTGTTATTGCATCCTTTATTAGTCATAATAAAATAATATGCTTACTACTGATGTTATTACACATTTGTACATTTATTTCTGAAGTACCATTTTGACTTACAATTTTTTCCCCGGCCTATCATAACTTGATTTCCTTCTCTAGATTCCTTATGCAAATTCCCACCAGAGTCGGTACAGTTGAAAAAGCCATTCAGCTTTCTGCCTTGGGTAGATTCAGAAGATAATGTTGGAAACCTTCTGATGGTATGTATCCCAAATATTATACTTTGTTATTTGCTTGGTGATCTTTACTCATTAGGATCACGTTTCTCTTAGTTTAGTTGTTTTTGTTATTTAATATAAAGCTTGCCTCCATGTTGGAGAATGTTCACTATCACTAGATGAAGATCACTAGAGGTCCTTATTTCAATGACTCTCTACTCTTATCCTGATATCTGACCTCAAACTGTATTTTTCAGGTCTGGAAGTTCTGCATTACTTTTGCTGATGTCCTTGGGTTATGGCCATTTACCCTTAACGAATTTATTCAAGCATTTCATGACTATGTGAGTTGCTAATGATTTATAATGTTTTTCTTGTCTTTCTCCTCGCTGAAATCTGAACCTTTCCTGCCCTCTCTTATTTTATATTGATACCTTTATGGTCCCAGGATTCAAGATTGCTGGGTGAGGTACATGTTGCTCTTATGAAATTAATCATCAAAGATATAGAAGATGTTGCAAGGACTCCGAATGGATTGGGGACGAACCAGTATTCTGTCTCTAATCCCGAAGGTGGACACCCACAGATCGTTGAAGGGGTAAAATCTCGTATATACTTATTTCTTTCTTATCATGGGGTCTGAGATTCTTGTGTTGATCCTGGATACGGCTGTGTGATTTTTGTAGGCATACATGTGGGGCTTTGACATACGCAAGTGGCAGCAACTCTTGAATCCATTGTCGTGGCCTGAAATATTTCGGCAATTGGCCTTATCTGCAGGATTTGGGCCACAGGTGAAGAAAACGAATGCAGCATGGCCACATGCGAAGGACGAGGTTTGGCTTTGATATTATAAAAATAATAATGCTTTCTTGGTACCATTACCATATAGAGTTTACCATAATTTAATCAGTCTTGAAAGTGTTGAGAGCTATCATATTCAGTAAGTTCTGTGTGGAAAATAATTGATTCATGTGACCGATATTATCTTTCCTGAGCGGAAGAATAGAAAACAAAGTTGTGCTATTTTTTTTTCCAACTGATTACTAAGTTTAGGCAGTTTGGATGTCATGAACTATGGGAAGTTCAAGCGGCTTGAATCTGATAAAATACGCTGTAGCTTAGGGCAAGCTCTTATGATTCTGTTGTTTGGTTATGGTTGCTATGAAATGATATCCTACTGTGAGATTTAATTTTCAAAGATTGATCAAAGAATATCTTTCTTCACAGATCAAAGGTTGTGAAGAAACAGTTTCAACGTTACGTAATGGATTGGCAGCTGAAAATGCTTTTGCCTTGATGCGAGAAAAGGGTTTATTAAACCCACGGAAATCTAGGCACAGACTTACACCTGGCACTGTCAAGTTTGCTGCTTTTCATGTTCTTTCACTTGAAGGAAGTGAGGGACTAAATGTTTTAGAACTTGCAGATAAGATTCAGGTGAGTTTCTCTACTGTCGTCCCCTTCTACAGTTTGTGCATTTGTCCTGATATATGTCCTGTGCTACAGAAATCCGGGCTTCGGGACCTTTCAACAAGCAGGACTCCCGAGGCATCCATATCCGTTGCTTTGACAAGGGACCAGAAGCTTTTTGAAAGGGTCGCTCCTTCCACATATTGTGTGCGGACTCCTTACAGAAAGGATCCTGCAGATGGCGAGGAGATAATTGCTGCAGCAAGAAGAAAAATCCAAGTATTTGAAAACGGGTTCTTAGGCGGAGAAGAAGACCCTGACGAGGTTGCTGATGAAGTTGAAAGAGATGATGACTCTGAGGGCGAAGTTGATGAGGATCCCGAAGTCGATGGTCTGACTATTACACCATTGAGCCCTAACAGACATGTTGAGCAAGTTAATGGAGTCATCAATACTCTTTTGGGGAATGAGATTGATGATGGACAAGAAAATGCTCTGTTGGAAATTGGGAATGATGCTTATACGCGTGCTGGGTCTCCTTCATTATTCTTGAAAACTGAATCCGAGAATGAATTCTCACCATTCCCTCTGAATAATGGTTCCAGAGACTTGAGTACTCCTGGGACCACCATGGACCAATCTGTTATCCAAGAGGATGTCTGGGTTGGTAGTTATACGAAGGAAGAGAATCCTGAGATTGATGAAAGCAAGTCTGGTGAATCATGGGTACAAGGACTTACAGAGGGAGATTATTCTCATCTCTCTGTTGAAGAGCGTCTGAATGCTGTTTTTGCTCTCGTCAGCATTGCGAATGAGGGTAAAATCATACGTGCTGTTCTTGAGGTGAATACCTTTACCTTTCTTTTACAGGCCATAATGGGTTTGTTTGTTTCAGCTTTTAACCAAATTATTTTCAGGTTTTAGTAGAAGTGATAAAAAAATTGTGTTTAGTTGAGACTTAGAAAAAGTTGAGCTAGTGTGATAGGAGGTATATTTTAGTGATAGAAAAATAGTTGATTGGATGGTAAATAGTTTGTCTAAGTTTATCGAAATGAGTGGATTTGGGATGTGGCTTTAGATTGATATTTGAAAAGGGTAACGATGGAAATGAAATTTCATCAGCGAGAGTGATTTTTGGATTTAACTACTTTGTGCGGCTTATGGTGAATAGTTGTATTAAAAAGTTAGATTGGCCAAGTGACTTTTCTTTTATCCAAAACAAACACCCCAAATATCCTGAATCATCCATTGCCAGAATCTGTTTTGCTTGTTTTGTACTCACTTCATTTCTCTTCCTTCTCCTTTGTCTTTATTTGTACGTTTCCAAGGATGATATTGACCTGGATGTCCGCAGGACCGTTTGGAAGCTGCAAATGCTCTTAAAAAGCAGATGTGGGCTGAGGCACAATTAGACAAGAGTCGTTTGAGGGAAGATGTTATGGGGAAGTTGGACTTGCTATCGGGTAAATTTGATGCCCAAGTTAGTGGGTATGCAACTGACAGCATCATCCAAAGTCCAGTCCGTCAAGCTGATGGCTTTAAGGAGGCTTCTCAAAGCTTGGTAGAAGAACAAAAGTCACTGCTTGCATCTGAGCATGTACAGAATGACAATGCTCATGCCACAGACAGAAATTTGGCGGTTCATGATCCCTCCTTGAGTTTAGAGCACTTCCCAAATCAACAATCTTCTAGTTCCAAAAGGTTCAGATCACAACTAAAAGCTTATACGGCCCATATAGCTGAAGATACTTATATATATAGGTCACTGCCGCTCGGTCAAGATCGCAGACGTAATCGTTATTGGCTGTTTGTTGCCTCTGCTTCTGTGAGTGATCCTTGTTCTGGCAAGATCTTTGTGGAACTACAAAGTGGGAAATGGAGGGTTATTGATTCTGAAAAGGTAAATGCTCTAGTTGCCATATCCTATGTGGATATTTAATTATCCATTCTATGTGTATTTCATCTGATTTCATGATTTTTTTTGTGATTCGATTTTCTCATAGGAATTTGATGCCCTTTTGTCATCCTTGGATAGTCGTGGGGTCAGGGAATCCCATTTGCGTATAATGATGCAGAAGATCGAAGCATCATTTAAAGATACTGTCAGGAAGAGCTTGTCATTCGACAATGTTGCACGTCCAATCATTGAAAACGAAGCTTCTGAAAGAGGCTCCAGTCCTAATGGCTTAGTCGGTATTGATAGCCCTAGCAGTTTGCTTTGTGCTTCAAACTCTGATACACAGGATATATTTTCGTTCTTCCAAATTGAGCTCGGGAGAAATGAAAGAGAGAATAAGGGTGTATTGAGAAGGTATGAGGATTCGCAGATTTGGATGTGGAAAGAGTGCCTCAGTTCAACGGCGTCATGTGCAATGAAGCATGGCAAGAATAGGTCTAGACAACTGTTGGATGCCTGTGATCTTTGTCTGGACTCGTACTTATTTGAAGACCACCACTGTCTTTCTTGCCACCAGACATTTGACAGTGGCAACAGGATGTTTAGCTTTGAAGAACACGAAACTAAATGCAATGGAAGTAATTCATCCTATTCTTTGAAGAGCAGTGGCAACAGGAAGCTGGACTCTAGGGACGACCATGGAAGTAATTCATCCTTGCCGGTGGGAATCAGACTGCTCAAGACTCTGTTAGCTACGATTGAGGTGAATTGATTTTACATTTTGCAGCCTTATTGCTTTTCTTAAGCTGAAACATGAAGAAGAAGCACCTTATTCTATTGTTCTATAGATTCCCAATTGATAAGTAGCTCAAATGTGATATGTGATGGCAGGCATCTGTCCCAGCAGAAGCTCTCGAACCATTGTGGACAGAGAGCCGTAGAAAGACTTGGAGCAAAAAATTGGCAAAATCGTCTTCAATAGAAGGACTTCTGCAGGTTTTTAATATGATATGTCGATTCCAGGAAAAAATCATGCTTTGTTAATTAGTCATTGCGTGGTAGTATGATATGTCGATTCCAACTTATCTAAATACGGATTTCTTATTCAGCATTCTTACATTGCAGATGCTGACAGTGTTCGAGAGTGCTATAAAACCAGACTTCTTGTTGCCTAATTACGAGTCTACAAAAGAATTACTAGGGACACCTACAGCATACTATGACAAAACCGATCTCAGCTCAGTTCCTGTGCTTCCTTGGATACCCAAAACCATGGCAGCCGTGGCGCTGAGGCTTTTCGAACTTGATGCTTCTATAGTTTACGTAAAACAGGAGAAGTCTGCATCTTCCAACTACAACTCTGCTAACGCTGTAACGGTAACATATCCCCCCCTACTAATTTTTTTCGTTTTGTAGAGGACGAGAGGTACATGAATCAAATGTAGCAACTTATCTACATTATAAATACATGCAGAAGCTTCATTCAGGATACACTTCAGTGAAGAACAAAGAGGTTGAACTCACGGAAAGGAAAGAAGACTACTTCAATGAAGTCGCCATCAACCCACGGAGCAATAAGCGTAACATGGCTAAACCTCGACGTAGGAACCACGATCAAGGACGTCGGCCCAAAGTGCTGAGAAAAACACCTACTCAGGCAGCAAAGAGGAACAGTTCGAAGCCGGCGGTGAGCAACTTCAACCAAGGTGTGGGAGGATCGAGACAGCAGCATGGACACGAGGTGAACATTCAAGGAACCAGTCGGGGCCCACGAACAGTCCGGAAGAGGAGAGTCGAGAACGTGATTACCGGAGACCAACTACTGCTCGGCAGCATGTCCGAGAGTAAGGTTCCGCCGCCTGCCAAGGCTGGCAGGTACAGTGGAAGTTATGAGATTGAGGACGATGGGATGGAAGTCGATGACTCGAGTGACGATGACAGCAACAACAATAGTGATGTCAGCAGCTCGGAAGAGTCCGAGGATGACAATCCTGCAGAGGAGTATGAGCAAGGAGGTTGGAACAACCGAGGGTTTGATGATGCAGGCCCTTCCTCCAATGGTTGGAAAGACGACCTGATGGAAGATGGCAGCCCCAATAGTGACGATGAAGATCCCCGGCCAACCATGCCCGGTAGTGATGGAACAAGTGAAGATGAAGAAGATCGAGATGGAGATGCTTATGGTGATGATGATGACGACGATCCTGGACGTGGAAATGGGGACTCCTTTGCATATGCATCGGGCGAGGAAAACGAAAATATGATCGAAGACGATGGCGTGCCAGTCTACCGGGATTCTGAGAATGCAGGAATGAGTGATGGGTCGGACGAACAGCGAGTGGTCGACGATGATAAAGCTGTGGAGAGGAACGATGTTGAAGAAGAAGAAGGTGACGGTGAGTCAGATGGCTCGGATTCTGAGGATTATAGCAGCGATTGAGTGAATTGGTGAGAAGCAGTTTTGCCCTTTTCGTGAGGCTGCATGATAGTTTTTAAAGGTTGCAGCTGTGACAAAAGAAGAGAATCCCAAACCGCTCATATATAGCATACAAGTTAGCAACGTAGAGAGTAAAGGTTTTGCTAGATTTAGGCTTTTGCCCATTTTGTATTCAATTGTTCCTAGTTTGTATTCTATTGAATTGAAAATGGCAACCCTCTTCTTTCTATATTAAATACTCCGTTTAATACATGTATATGTATCCGTACATACTTTATCCGTTTAAAACTTCTATATCCGTATTATTGTCAAGTCGTTTCATTTTTTCTTGTTCATTTGATGACTTTGATGGCTTCCGTACTAAACACGTATAAAACATGTATAACACATTTATTATCCGTATTTTTCAAATTAAATTATTAACTTTATTATTATTTATATATTTACTTATTTTTAAAATGATTAATTTTATATATTTATGACTATTAACGTACTATTAAACGTAATTTTAGCTTAGAGACAAAGTATAATACCCGTATGTATTTTTTACGTACGGTTTTTACTAACTAGGCTATATATGCAATATTCCAGAGAGAATCAGGATCTGGTCTAGCCTGGCCCAATATTCCACCCATTGGGCCTAAACCCATAAAACAGGGAAACTCTGAATCCATTGTATAAAAGCCTGGAAGGCCAGTTGTCCGTTTCCAAGACGCGCCATTTCTCCGGCAGACGCGGTCAAATCGTCCGGTGATTTTGAGTTCCCGCGAGTTCGTCTTTCTCACTCTCCTCCATTTCCTTCGTCTAGCTCCAGAAAAATGGCGGTAGCAGCACCGGCCTATCTTTTTCTGTTCGCTTCCACTCTGGCATCTCTCTTGGCGGTTACTTCGCAAGCTGAGCTATTCGCCGACGACAACAGCAGCAGCTTCATCCGTCAATTGCAAGAAGCCAAGCTCAAGCTCGCGCGACTAGGTGAGTGAGTCTATTAGTCCTTTTCTCTTCTAATCGAAATGCGAGAACGAAACCCTAGATTAGCTGAGCGTCAGTGAAATTTGAACAATCACCGTTGATCTGCAGGATCTGATTTCGAGCATGCCGAAGCTCGAGACCGTAGACTTGAGGAGAACGGGAAAGAAATCGAGGAGATGGAAAAGGAGTTCGCTCATCTTATGGCTATTCTCACGAACCTCAAGGTTAGTTAGTCTCATCTTCGTAGCTTAGCATTTGCGAATTTTCCTTTTTAGTTGCAGAACCGGGCTCATTGACCGTCGCCGATTCCTTCGTCTTTGTAGCTTAGCATTGTGCGATTTTACCTTTCCAAGGCTTTGATGGCGTTTTCTTGGTCCGTTCTCGTTCTAGGATGAACTATTAGCTGGAGATAGTGTCGTTATTACGCTGGAGAAAGAGGTAAGGCAGTTTTGCCTCATCTTTTCTTACTCTATGGAGTTAGTTGTTCAGGAACTTCATGATTCCATTTGTTGGTTGCTTGACCAATGCCTAGATACGAGATCTGTGGGATAAGTTGAGGAAGAACGAGTTCGATATCCAGGTCTTGATATTGAAAGCTAAAGAATCTGATACGTCTCCGGATACAGTTGCTTTACACCTTAAGAAGGTTAAACATTCTTACTCACTAACACAAAAACTCTTTGACATGATAGAAATGGTGTTTTGGATTTGAGAGAAGCATTTGTTTTTTGTGTTATTGATTTTGTTTGTTTTTCCTTGTGCCTTGCTTGCCAGGCAGAAGATCTCCTTGCAGAACGCTGGATCCTGATTCATCAGTTCGAGCAGGCTCTTCAACTCCTTGATGTACTCTTCATCCCAACTGCAGTAACTCCTGCTACGCACGCACGCTGAAGACTGTAAAAGAAGTTACTATTACCAGTTGAATTCTTATCCATGGCTTTACTCATTTGTTTCTGACAGATGAGGCTAATGGAAGCTCAAACACAAGCAAAGTATTCAAGGTCCCCATTCTTGAAGGTAGATAGTTCTCTACTTTAACTTTCCGGTTTCACTCTTGACGTCGATGCAGAGCTTTCATAGTGCCACATTTACTATTTCTGTATGTTTGGAGGTGAGTTTGTTCATGATATATGTGGAAATTGCAGTACATGAATGACCTGAATGGAAATATTTCGAAAGCGAAGCGATTTGATGTAGAATCTGGCTTGAGTTCCTACATATCCTCCATGCTCGAGCAGTTGAAGAGACTCTACTCAACAGTCAAAGAGTTCCACTTCGAGGTTTGCATAATCATTCAATTAATCGCTGAAATATTGATCCCGCCTAGCTCTTCTTACAAGTTAAGCCGTCATTTCAACTGCAGTTACAGAGTTTTGTCAGACAAATAATGGAACACTATGAATTCACCAAGTCCATTGCCAACGACGAGGTAGTGTTTTTCCTGGTAAGCTTGCTCTAACTAATATTCGCTTCCCGGTTTGGAAACTTAATACAAAATCGCATGTTCCCTTTTCTGCAACTGCTAATGATGGCAATTGGTGGGAAATTTGCAGGCTTCTGTTTTGCTCGTGATTCCTGTATTAGGTGCATGGATCTTCCTATCTGCTCACCTACTGTAGAGTCTGGTAAGGACTACTACTACTACCTTCTACACTTTAGGAGAGAACTCATACTTGTAGACTAATTTTGCCATGTAGAGATGTTCCAGACTAGAGTAAAACTTGTAGATCCTTTTGTGCACAGCCAGCCTACGGCTTCTGAATTTTGGAGCTTTCAATCATGTACTACTACTATAGAATCACTACCTCATCTGATGGAACGTAGGTAGCAAGTCATCAGTGGCTTCAACTCAACTGTAAAGGAATTCTGTGACTCTATACGTAGTTAAAAGCACATATAATACATGTCATGCGTTAGTACTCACGTACTTCGAATGTTTGGAACTTTTGTACACGTACTACGGTTGAACTATCTCATTTTTCTCGTTCGGTTGACGTTTCGTTTACAGAGACATGTTATATGCCTGTAATAATATCTTTGATACCCTACTTTTCTGCTCTTATTATCGTTGATCTGTCTTATTTTTCCCATTTAGTCAACATTTTGCTTCTGCTATTAGCTTATAATCTTTGGTATCCATGCTTCAGGAGTTGAATTTGATAGTTTTTAATGTCATTACTCATTTGTATGGGTGAGGCCCAAAAAGGAAGAAAGTATGATTGGGCCAGGCCCATAGTGGATAGTCCAACGTGGGGCATCTTATCCCCCAATCTTTCCCGTTTCCACATCTCACACACACCATAGAAAATGCCAGATCGTTTCTCGTCCTCTGCCACCTCGCCGGAGAACCTCACCATCTCAATCCGATGAACCGCAAAATGGAAGAGTCACCACCGTGGGAAGAGAGGCTCCACCACACCATAACCCACATCCTAACCAGCCCGACCACCTCACCGCCGCTCCACTCCCAATTCCTCGTCGCCCGACAGTTCCCCTGCTACCTCAACTGGGACTACCCTCCAATCCTCTGCCGCCGCCACGACGGCGACACCGCCGGCCGCCGCTTCCCTTCGCTCCTCCAGCGGTGGGGATTCTCCCAGTTCGTGAAAAGGGCCTCGCGATTCGGGCTCCCGGAGACCTCGTGGCGGAGCAAGTGCCCCTACCAGCAGCCGCCGCCGCTGGTTCTGGCGAGAGGGTTGGAGGAGGCGCGGTGGGGCGACGAGGAGAAGAGGGAGTATTTCAGGAAGAGGCTGCGGAGGAAGAAGATTTTCAATAACATTCACCCTCTGATTCCCGCCGTTGTTCCCAATCTGTGTCTGCTGTCGTTCTTGCTCTGGAACCCATTTCCCGATGAAGAATGGTAGATGATGAACGGAGAAATCCTCGTCATTTGTTGGCGTCGGGATTTTTTCCGGTTGTAATAGTAGTCTGTGAAATATGGGGTAATTAGCATAAATGGTAACAAATCTTTGCACTTAGTACAAAACGGTGACAAACCTTTAATTTGTAACAATACGGTAACAAAACTTTGAAATTGTATAAAATGGTCACCGCTATTTAATTTGTGACCGTTTTGTTTTAAATGAAAAGGTTTGTTACCGAATCGTTACAAATTAAATGTTTGTCATGTTTTGAGGTCGGGTAGTTTGTTCGTTAAGTATATGATACTAACCACTTGAACGACATATAAGATGTCAGCTCATGTGCTCATCGACATATTTGTTTTGTCAAATAAGAATGCCCTCAGTTGACCTTTCAATTTCGATACCAATCTATCAAAAACAAATTTCGATACCAAGAAAGTAGACAGAGTTTTTTCAACTAAAAAGCAGTCTGGAACCCGTTTGTGAGCCATTGAATTCTCTCATTGTCATCCTTTATGACGATCATATCATTCACATACATTAACAAAACCATCATACAACTAGAGCGAATTGTAACGGTGATTGAGCGTTCAAATTTTTGAACTTAATTTGTACAAAACGGTCACCAAAAGTCTAATTTGCAACGACACGGTAACAAAAGTTTGAACTGGTATGAAATGGTCACACTGTTTAATTTGTGACCGTTTTGTTCTAAGTAAAAGTTTTGTTATCAAATGGTTACAAATTAAAAGTTTGTAACTGTTTTGTACTAAGTGCAAAGGTTTGTGACCATTTATGCTAATTACCCGTGAAATCTGTGATTAGTCGAGTTAAAGAAGGGGAAAAAACTGTATTGTAAACTTTCTGTTGGGCTGGGCTTGACTCGAGGGCTGGACTTCACATAGTAATAGGCCCATTGAAATTTATAGTAGGTATGTGTTCTAGTGAACTCATTTTGATGGATGCAACCGATACAAGTTTTTGATTTATTGTTATGACCTTATGGGTAAGTTGCAAGGTTGGTCGCTGGAAGCCACGTTAGCAAAAAATTAACAGTGTTAATAGCGACTAATTACGAGTGACCAAACGTGAAACATTTAACCACTTTCAGTGACCACTAATGGAATAAAATACTTTTACTGACCAAACGTGAGTTTTTTTAGTATTTCTAGTGACCAACCTTGCAATTTACGTTGTAAATCGTGGTAGGTATGTGTTCTAGTGAACTCATTTTGATGGATGCATTCGATACAAACATTTTCAGTTTATTGTTATTATCCTTTTGATTCTTCTCAAACTATTGTCAATACTCAAATGCAGTAGGTTGATGTATAAAATGCATAAATTTATGCAATAATGTCGAATAATCTATTCACCACCGCACACCATTTGATTAATGTGTCGGTCCATTCACATGATTGATCCTCCACTAATATCATTCGGATATCCTACGAAAGTACGTTTTCACGAGCTACGAACTCGAAGGAAGGTTCTAGAGGAAGCCGTTGTTGGAATTGGAAATCAAAACTACTAATTGCTTCTCTCTGCTTTGAGGGCTCTAATTAGGCTGTTTCCTCTGTTTCCTTCCATTTTTCTTTTGCGGTTTCTCAGTTTAGATCTTTCGGTTTTGTCATACCAAACGACTTTGTGCCTTTGTCCCACCTTCCATCTCCATCACGACCGGTTTACACATAAATTGGCAATCAAAATGAAAGTTTTGATTTTTGAATAGAGAAGGCTTAGGGGACCCCATAATTCCTTCCGCTAGTCACGGTAAAGACTCTAAACAAAGCAAAAGAGCAGCTAAAGATAGAGCGGAGAAGAAAAAGGAGCTTCTTATTCTAATTAGCTGGAGTATTTGGTCAAAGGATACAAAAGAACCAACGTTTGACAGAAAAAGGAAATCATTTCCTTGCCCCATAATCCTTGTCCGATTCCATCAAGGGTTGATTTCATTTGTCTGACCGGTTCCAATAGTGAGATGGTCCTCTCAAACTTCTAGATATGGTTAAGAGTACACGAAAAATTGGTAATAGTTACAACCCGTTCTCGACTATCATGATTCAAAGTACTGGAGCTAAAAAAGAAAATCTATGTTTTCGAGAATCAAATCGAATATCAAACTAGAGAAGTCAGTGGTTTATGCTTCATTGCAGAACTATAAGTTAATTGTGTGTAGAATCACTCATACCCTATAAAAATAGAATATATATATATATATCACTCTAATTTAGGACTCAATAATTCCAAATCCTTATCATCCAACACTAGAGCTTCTGACAGATCATTCAAACAGTCTCACAAAAAAAATTATAAAAAAATTTATCAAAATACAATTTAGTAATTTGGATGGTAGTCGGTAGTGGATCGCGTAAATATGTTAAGGTGGTAGAAGACGAAGAATAGGAAGTAGAAGTAAAATTAGTAACAAGAGTTAGATGGTCTTAGTAAACGTTATATACTTTTATAAAAAAAAGATTATAGTTACAAGAGTGAGCCATTGAGCCAGTCAAATCGAAGATAATTCATCCGGTTCAATGTCCAACATTAAAAAATCATTTGGTTCATCTCTTACACCCAATCTTAAAATATATTAAAGAAGTTTTAGAAACTAACCTATTCCACGCCAGCCGTCCTACGCTCTCCGCATATTTCGAAATTAAGAATTTTTTATTTTAATTTTTCTTTCTCTGCCGTTTCGCTGAAAATCACTTATTAGTTATTATAGTTTTTTTTATATTTCTAATATGCCCCTCTACTATGGCGTTTTATCGAACATGCCCCTCTACTATTATTTACATCAAACATGCCCCTGTGCTTTGGAAAAATGGTCAAACATGCTCTTCTATTAAAATTTCCATAAAAAACTGTTAACCACGACCAAACTTTGGTTTGGGCGACACAAATGTCTAAATATCCATAATAATTTCACTTTATAATTTTTTTTGGTTTTTTTGTATAGCCAAATAATTCTAATAATTTCACTTTGACGAGACTCAGAGAAATAAAACAGGGGACAAAACAGACACTTTCCTTTCCATTTGCCGATGTCGGGTCGTCTAAATATCGGTTCAACCATGATTGGCGATTTTTTCAATAAAGAAAATTTAACAAAAGGGCTTGTTTGATAATTTTTCCAAAGTACATTGGCATATTTAATGTAAAAAATAGTAGAACGACATGTTTAATAAAACGACATAGTAGATGAGTATATTATACTTGTAACCCAATATATTTTCATACTAAGATTACCCGGCCAACGGACCGGGCCCGGCGCTGGTGTAACTAATGAGCTTGTAATATGTTGAAGTGGAAGGCCATGTTTGGGCGGGGCAGACTAGCTAGATTGAGTCCACTTTACTCTTGCATCTTTTGCGACCAATGTCCCACTTATAAAATGAAGCAAAACATTTACTGACGGCAGCAGCTTCTTTTATCTTTTGCCGGCTTTTTCCCGCATTTTCCATTCAATGATGCATCTGTTTTCACCCACCACCATCACCATGTCTAGATCAAAAAGCAAAACAAGTAACAATGGGTGCTAGAGCGACTTTGACGTCGGTAAATATTTTTGTTGTTGTCGTTAACGAGATTCTATTAACAATGTGAATGATAAGTAATTTTTATCAGTTTGATATTTACGGATTAAAACGATCAAGCCTAGATGCATGGTTGATTTCATTATGACTTGAGAATGAGTGAGTACTATTTTAAGGTCCAAACTCCAAACCCATATCAATGAACTCAACTAACACGTGCAATTACTAATTGGGTAGCATTAGTTTTTCTAATTGGGTAGTAATTATTAATTGCTATTACTCATTGATTCCCATGTCAAATTTTTTATTGATCTACTTAACCCTACAGTCGAATTGCTAAAAGACCATTTAAATCAACCCATATGAAGAACGAGATATCATACCCTAAATTGATTATCAAATAGCATTACCCATTGAGCCTATCTCACGCCACCAAATCCACAAGCACCATATTTTCTCTACTAGCATTGGGCCCGGCCCGTTGGCCGGTGTCGTATAAAATCTATCTGTGAATTTTGTTTTATTCTATTTGAAAAGTAGTAGAATCTGTAGCTAATGGTTATGCTTAACAAAATCTTTATCTTATGGTTATTATAAAAATCGTTAGCTTATGAGATTCTATTCCATGGAAACAACACAAATAACATCTATATAAGAGCATTATCACGTGACATAAACATCCATTATGGTTGTCCAATTGATGAAATATAATAGTAACCAACAAATACTTATTTGAAAAGAATCATGTATCAAGTATTATATATTGCCATGATTCTTCACAATACAACGATTTTACATACGCAACTTTCAAACGACCCCTAAATGATAGAATTACACAAAAGTCTAATCCTCCAAATTTATAAGCAAATAGCCAATGCCTCAACAGGCAAGAAAGACGGAAAATATCAGCAATCATATCGTATTAAAAAGACAACAAAACCATGTAAGTGGCTTTTCATTCATAAAAAATAGAGCTACATTCAGACTTGACTAACCTTGAGATTGGTTTGGCAATTATGAACCAAACTTGAGAAACAAAAAAGACCATACATAAGGGTAAAACTATCCAACGTAGGATAAAATAATTGAAGGCAAAACCCCGCATTGTATTCCACAAATGAAACTGAAAGACAATCCATGAGGAAAAAAACTGGAAACAAAGTTTCAATATCAATCTCAATGAAAACATAATACTAAACATCACCTAAATGAAAACAAAATATAAACAGAAGCTTCACATTGTGATCATTAACTACACAAAGTTTTCAGCAATACTATGTTGCTGGTGGCATCACTTCAAACGATTGGCTTGGGGAGCTTCTCATTTTTTGTTATCGCCTCATCTAATTCCCCTCATTGAGATGTTAGATACTTGACATCATGCATTTTTTAAACATGTAACTTAAGTGAGAGTTGTAGCATGTAGAAGAGGAAAAAGGTAATGGAGCTAGTAAGATAAATGTAGCCCACAACACATTGGTTTCCGACAATTGTTATATGAGGGCACATAGCTAAGTACTTGAGCTAGGAATGTTTCTATTTTTATAATGGTGGTGTGATTTTATTATAAGAGACACTGAACACAACAAAGACAGTTCCATCTCTATTTAGAAAGACTACTACCATAATGCACATCTTCAAAAGGAACAGCAGGGGTGTATACACTCCATTCCAATCCAATCTGCAGACTCCATATCAAAACTCAATGAAGCAACAAAGAACCAATATCAAACCTCATCACATCCATTTCTGGCACTCTCGTACCACTATAATACCATTACCAACATCATACCACTATGCTAAGATTGATAGCACCCTCGTACCTGTTGGATTTTTAAGTATGGGAAGTGGGTATTTTTGTGAAGGAAGGATTTTAGGATAATTGTTTGGACAACTTGTTTTGGAAATGGTGAGTTGCGGCAGAGCAAGAATGGAACAATAGAACCATTATCATATTTTTTGTGAAGGTTTTATGAAACCCTTTCTTTCTTTTGGTGGGTATTTTACCTCACCTCTTTAGTGGGAGATTTTCTCCACACACCTTCCAATTACATATAACACATATATATACCATACACCACCACCATCGTAGAAAGCTCTAGGAAGGCTAATTAATAAGGCCAACTCACCATGTTGGCTTAGCCGACACTAACATGTGGTGTATGTATTTTTTCATAGTTTATTTCTTTAAGTGACTTGATAGGTAGTTGGCGGATGAGCAGATTTTTTGCTCTTGCAATTTCTTCATTGATGATGAAGCTTCTGGAGTTGAATGGAGAATTTGCTTCACTAATTCAACAGTACCTCTATAATACCACGATTTTATCACTATAGTAATATCATGATATGATATCTTCTTGTATAGCAAAATTTTTTTTTATCTTTTTATGCAAATACTTTTGAAATTCGATGTAAAACAAATGAAACATGGTCCGTTAGAATTTTGTAGGAAATTTGAAAAGTGTTTAACAACACGTCTGAAAATTCGTGTCGGCAAAAAAAAAATCTGATCAGTTACCCCCGAAATCTTTTATTTCCTTCCTTACCCTTCTGTGATATGAACTATTTAATGTCTCATTTTCTAATTACAACCGTTCAATATAGTTTTGTAGATCTATATATACATAAAGAATTTTCTATTGGTACCTAAGTCGTTATTATTATTATTATTATTATTATTATTATCTATTAAGGTCCCAGTTTTTTGAAAAGAAAGTCTTAGTTCAATAATATACTATAAAAAATTTTATCTCAAAGAAGAGATTAGGGGTCTTTTAACATTTGAAAATTTAGGATAGGATAAGAATGATTCTTTGAATATAAGAGCATAATAAATGAAAAAAGGAAGTCAACAAAAAATAATTGACAAAAATAATAGAATTTACTGTCCACAAATAGCGTAAGAAGTGGGTTAGTGAGCGTGGGCTTGCAGAAAATGAATTAAGACTTTGTGGGCTGGTAGAAAGTAGAAACTAAAATGTAAAAAGGAAGTAACAGCAGCAGCGAACGGTTTTAAGAGAAATGGCAGAGAGGAGAAGACGAATTAATCCCTCCGAGTTATGCGGTATAAACAGCACGGGCTGATGTGGCAATAGTCTTATATTGACATTGCCTTATATGTTTTTGTAGATTATTATACCTAGGGTTTTAAAAAGGAACTGCTGTTTTTGTCTTCCCACTAGACTACGGGAATATTTTTGCTTTTTTATAAAACAAATATAAGTAGGAAACATAAACATATTAAATTAGGAAGAAACGTGACCCAAAGATAACAGTGGATCTCATTAATTGCTTCATCTATTCCGGGGACTGTAAGTAAAGCTTCCCAAAATTAATCAATCCAGAGGGACCATGTACGGCGATCATTTCTACTCATTATCGGATTATCACAATCAAAGTACCACATTGGTTATACAAGGAAAATAACCCGTGTATATTAGTAGTGTCCACCAAGCTCATCAGTACAAGGTCTTTTTGGGGAGGACACCCAAGAATAAATCCATGGAGGCTTGGCACAAAGCGGAAAATATCATACTAATTGAGCACCCCGGTTCGACAAGTGATATCAGAGCCTGGTTCGGTTCGGGGCGGTAGACATCAGAGTGGACCCTCATTCGGTGACCTCAGGATTTGCGATCTGCGTCTGGTTTGGTGGATCCAAGTTTGATTCGGTGACCTCAGGATTTGCGATCTGCGTCTGGTTTGGTGGATCCAAGTTTGAGCTACTTCTGGTCTGGCGGATCGAGGGAGGTCTGCGTTTGTCTGGCGGATCAAGATAATCGCTGATGTGAGGACACGAAGTTCGTGGTCCTTGTCTGGAGGGGAGGATTGTTATGTGACAATCCAAGTACCACATCGGTAATACAAGGGAAGAGACCCATTAATTAGGAGAGAAACTAGAGATTAAGAAATTTAATATAAAAATACACCTCAAAGAGGGTAGTTCTAAGAACATATTTATTGTTATGATCCTGTGCATTTAGCAAATCGCGGTCATATAGATATGACAACGTTTGTATTATGTCGTAGCGGATGGTCACCTTATGTACAGTTATACAATACTTTTAGAGTTTAGATCTCCATGTTCTAGAGGACAGCACATGTTTGATTAGGTTGCTAATTCGTGTATAACTCAACAACTTATGACTAATAATGTAGGTCCGCAGATCACCATCCTTTACGCTTACATATTCTAACTTAAAAAATTGTGGATAATATGAAAATCAACACAAAGAGAAAGACTTGTTCATCACCTAAAACGAACAATCAGAAATAAGAGGAGGCGGAGATACAAATTCAAACACTTTTTAATAACACAGAATTCGCAAATCATGTTTGATTGGATTGTTCATTCGTGTTTATCCCAAACAAATATGACTAATAATATTGTGGAAACATATCATCCTTTTACGTCGTCATATTCTAACAAAAAAAAATGTGAATAATTTGAAGAGCAACATAATTACAAAGACTTGTTCATCACTAAAAACGAAACGATAGAAATAATAGGGAATCAGAAATACAAATTCAATTAACCAGCTTATTTCCGGGATAATTAATATATAAATCCCACCTTTCCCCTTCCCTCCCTCACCACTCTTCCCCACTAGACACTCTTCACTCTCTCTTCTCCAATGGCTTCCTCTTCAAACGTCGCCGCCGCTCTCTTCCTCCTCTTCCTCGCCCTCTTCTCCACTGCCGCCCACGGCCGTGAGAGCCACTTCTTCAGCAGAGTCGCCGCCAATACCAACAACGTAGATCCTAACGCCGTCAACAACGGCCAACCTTCCTTCGTCCAGGAAACGGAAAACAACGGCTACGGCATCTACGACCACCAGAACCCCGAAGAAACGGCGTCGTTCGACCAGACCGCCACCAACACCAAGCTCACCTCTTTCCCGACCAAAAGCTTCCGTCCCTATAACGCCCAGACCAATAGCGACGACACTTTCCGGAACGGAAATGCTAACAACAACGAGAAATACTACAACAACGACAGGTACAACGGCGACAACAACCACGACGAGTTCGCCGACAAGGAGCAGGAAAAGCTCGGCGAGACTAGCCTGAAACAGCAGGATACCACCGGCTACCAGAAGTCCGGTTGGGATTTCGGAAACAGTGGTTACGAATTCTTCCCCTAACAGACCAGATTGATGAATGCAGCATTAGAGAATAAGAAGATGCGCAGAGTTCTTAGTTGCAGACGAATCCCAGAAGCAGAGAAAGTGAAACGCCAACGTTTGTGCAAGGTGGTGATGTAGCCGTTAGTTGGACATAATTGAATGAAAGCTACGTGTCGGCTATTTTCAGTTTACTTATAAACTTGCCGTTATTTGTAGTTTTTATTGTAGATGAATTCTGGTTTTCGGGAAGTATAAATGGAAGAGTAGAGCAGATAGCTCACTCTAACGATTGATCCACAATTCGTTCTTCTTCAGCTGCTTCTATTTTCTTCCTTCCTATTTCATTCTGATGCGCGCGCCGTCTTCATCCTCATCCTCAATAGTAAGTAGCATGTTCACCGTAACCTGACCCAAGGGTGTGACCACAATAGAGCGGAACCGATGGAAAGTGAACGAGTTTGAAATTTCAATATAGAAAAACTCACGATTGCACTACGTTAACTGTTTATGAAATAAAACGATCGAGTCTAGCTAGCTAGTCAGATGTATGGTTGATTTCATCACGACTTGAGAATGAGTAAGTACGATTTTAAGGTCCACACTCCAAACACATATCAATGAACTCAACTAACACGTGCAATTGTGAGCTATAGCTAGGGGGACCTCGTGTGCCCTAATTTCGAGAGTGATTGGGAGGTTGGTTACATCTGCCCTTTGGTTGAACAAGTTTAATGTTGTTGAGCAAATGATGCTTCAACAAGGATCATATATATGGATGGGGCTAGGCTTTTGGGTAAACTAGTCATTGATTATAAAACTATTAAGCTATGTCGTTGTTATGGGTAAACGAAATTAATAAGAGCTACCAGCCTACCACACTAGCTAGAAAACTAGAAAGTGCCCTTTAATCCCAAACCCTACCATTGCACAAATCATTGATTATGTATAGTATAGGGTTGGAGTTCGGTTAACCGAACTGAATTGGTCTGGTACTCGAACCCGAATCGGCTCCATTAATTTCAGCAACCATAACCATCGTCGATGTCGTTTTCGGTTACCTGAAAACTGAATGTCTCGGTTTTTCCTGGTATACTTCGGTTACCCTCACTGAATCTGATGACCCATTGGGCTTGGTCCATAATCCGGTCGGACCTTGGAGATGGAATGACATGGTGGGTCAGGCCCAAATTCGGTTGGATTTTTTGATATATTCGATTATTTTCTAACCAAAACCCGAAAAATAATCTAAACCCACAACCGAAATTGTTCCGTTGGTTTAATTTCGATTCTTGATTACCGTTCACCAGCAAATTCTGACTTTAGTTTCGATTAACTCACTGAACCGAATGTCCAGCCCGTAATTTTGTATATGTATGTACTATGGGGAATTAAGAATTGGGAGGTGGGATTGGTGGGTGCGTATGGACCAAACTAACAATGAACAAAAATGGCAAAACAAAGCCAAATAAATAGAAGGGCAGAGTAGGGGACTTGGGAATGGGAGTAGAATGGGTAAATGCCATATTTGGTGACTGGGATTATCAAAATTATGTTATATTTAGTCATTAGAAAAAATTAATATCAATTTTGGTCATTCAAATTATTAAAACGGGCCACATTTAGTTACTCTCCCGTTAGCCTCCGTCCAACTCCGGTCACTCGAACTACTTTTTTTTATGATGGTCACTCGAATTACTGAAACATGTCACATTTAATCATTCTTCGTTAGCCTCCGTCCAACTCCATTGTCACTTGAATTACTGAAACATGTCACATGCAGTCACTCTTCGTTAGCCTCCGTCCAACTCCATTACTAACAGAGAGTGACTAAATGTGACATGTTTCAATGGAGTTGGACGGAGGCTAACAGGGAGTGACTAAATGTGACATGCTTCAGTAATTAAAGTGACCAAAATTAATATTAATTTTTTCTAGTGACTAAACATGATATGATTTAGTAATCTCAATGACCAAATGTGACATTTACCTAGAATAGAACAGTCTAATCTTTAGCGACGAGTTGAGACGAATTGGAGAGTGGTGGGGGGAAGACGAGTCTGATCTTTAACACAACAAATTATGACTAATAATGTAAGTCCGCAGATCATCTTTTACGCTGATATATTCTAACTTAAAAGAATTGTGGATAATTTGAAAATCAACCTAAAAGACAAAGACTTGTTCATCACTTAAAACGAACAATCAGGAATAATAGGAGGTGGAGATACAAATTCAAACACTTTTTAATACCATAGAATCCGCAGGTTATGTTTGATTGGATTGTTAATTCGTGTATATATCCAAACAAATATGACAAATAATATTAATTCAACAGATCATCCTTTTATGTCGTCATATTCTAACAAAAAAAAAACAATGGATAAATCAGAAGAGCAACATAATCACAAAGACTTGTTCTTCACTTAAAACGAACAATAGAAATAATAGGGAATCAGAAATACAAATTCAAACAATTTAATATATAAATCCCACCTTTCCCCTTCTCCTTCATCACACTTCCCCACTATACACACTTCACTCTCTCTTCTCCAATGGCTTCCTCTCCAACCCTCGCCGTCGCTCTCTTCCTCACCCTCTTCTCCACCGCCGCCCACGGCCGTGAGAGCCACTTCTTCAGCAGAGTCGCCGCCAACACCAACCCCACCGTCTCCGTTTCTCCCGACTCCAAACCCGCCGTCAACACCGACAACGTAGATCCTAACGCCGTCAATAACGGCCAGCCTTCCTCCGTCCAGGAAACGGAAAACAACGGCTACGACATCTACGACCACCAGACCCCCGAAGAAACGACGTCGTTCTACCAGACCGCCACCAACACCAAGCTCACCTATAACCAACAGACCAATAGAGACGAGACTTTCCGCAACGAGAACACAAACAACAACGAGAAATACTTCAACAACGACAGGTATTCCGGCGAGAGCGGGTACAACGGCGACAACAACCACGACGAGCAGGAAAAGTTCGGTGAGACTAGCCTGAAACAGCAGGATGCCACCGGCTACCAGAAGTCCGGTTGGGATTTCGGAAACAGTGGTTACGAATTCTTCCCCTAATAGACCAGATTGATGAATGCAGCAGTAGAGAAGAATAAGATGCGGAGTTCTTAGTTGCAGACGAATCCCAGAAGCAGAGAAAGTGAAACGACAGCGTTGTGCGAGGTGGTGACGTAGCCCTTAGTTGGACATAATTGAATGAAAGCCACGTGTCGGCTATTTACAGTTTGCTTTTAAATTTGCAGTTATTTGTAGTTTTTATTGTAGATGAATTCTCGTTTTTCAGGAAGTATAAAAGGAAGAGTAGAGCAGATAGCTCACTCTAACGATTGATCCAAAATTTGTTCTTCTTCAGCTACTTAACCTAGCAGCTGCTTCTATTTCCTTCCTTCATTATTTCATTCTGATGCGTTGTCTTCATCCTCACCCTCGATAGTAAGTAGCATGTTCACCGTAACATGACCCAGAGGTATGAACCCAATAGAGCGGAACCGTGATGAATGCATGTAATAATAAAATAAGTGTATTGTAAGACTACATCATTTGATCTATTTGTTTGTACCCATGTATTTTAATAGGATGAAGTCATTTTTTCATGGCAATGCCATTTTTACCCCTTACTTATCCTAACACTTATTTATAGAGATTCTGCATCTAAACATGCTCCATTCAAAATTTCTAGCTCTATGAGAAAACTTAGGGAGGATATTTTTGTCATGTGTATTTGTTATAAAAAAAATGTAACAAACTCTACGCATAAGTGACTATTGCTCTACAAAAGTTATTTCTTAATAATTAAATAATTGACAAGTAAGTAAGGGACTATTATCACTCTTCACGCCTCAACTAATTATTATATTTTCTATTTGATAATTCATTTAAAAATAAAACTATTATCAACAACAACATTTTTAATATTTAGGACTCAACTTAGTTGCGGATTCAACCAAATTATATATGATTTTGGTGTTTCCTTTTTTAACATGAGTTTGTTGTCTCCAAGGTTGGATTTGTAGAGTTAATGCTGAAAAGTTATTAAAAATAATGGAACAATAAAATATCCTCTCTCTTATAACTTATTAAATGAAGAAATGGAGCATTTACAAAAAATAGATTGTAATTTAAGTTCCACATCAGGTTTAGTGGTTAAAAAATGTAGTCAAAATAGCATTTTAAATCTTAAAACCTTACGTTTTTAGGTTATCAAAACTAATCTACACATAATCACGCTTTTTGACTGCATTATTGCAAGGTTAAAAGTTTATGCTTTTACGCTTCTAGATCACCAAAACTAGGGATGTCAATCTAACCCGTAACCATGGGTATCCTACCGACCGTAACCGGTCAACGAGGGTAATTACCCGCTTTGATGGGTTAAGGGCGGGTACGGGTAATACCAGGTTTCAAAATAAAGGGTAGGGTACGGGTATGGTAATCGATAATACCCGCCCCGTTATACCCGCCCCGTTATACCCGCCCCGCTAACCAAAGGGTCAATTTCCCTTGAGAAATTTAGTTTAGCTTGATCAATTGAGTTTAGCTACCATTATTGATGATGAAGATGTAGACGATTATAATCACGCTTTGAATGTGTTGGTTAGAACACCACAAATCCCAACATAATTAAGATTTTCGAAGATAATCAATGATCTCCAGCAACAATTGTGACTAGAATGAGGTGAATTCTTTGTTGTAAAATTATTTTTTATATATGGTTAAGTTTAGGGTTAATATTTTCGTATGGCCTGAACTTTGACCAAAATAAAAATCCTGACCAATCTTTTCGATCTATAACATCCTGGCCCGAACTATACACCAAAATAAACAATTTGGCCAGATCCGACTTTTGACCTTTAACTTGGACGGTCAAACGCGTTGACCGTTAGTCAACGCGCCAAATCCCAAGAGTCAAGGAGTTGGCACAAATCCATCGTTTGCTAAAGGACACAAATCCGTGGGGCTCACGGATTTGCAAATCCCACATTTCATTTAGGATTTGATAATGGAAGACAAAATTATGAGACAAATCAATCATAAACCTATGGTAAAAATTAACTTAACAAACAATGTTATCAGTCATTTTTGAATACCTATAATACTGTCTCATTAAGTTTATTATGAGTTGATATTCCTTCCATGAGTCCTATAATTTTAACTCCAACCACAATTTGCATATATAGAAGACAATGATTACAAAGTAATAATATGTATGATGAATGCTCATTTTCTATTTTCTCAACAATTGAATAATTTGACTTTCTTAATGGACAACTATATTGGTATTTTTAAAAATTGATAGAATTACTTTTTAATTCGCATGACATTAACATATAATCATGACGTGAATATAAAAGAAGAGAATATCACTAGAATTTAAACTTGGAACATTTGTTATTTACGATTATCAATCATATTGCAACCGGCCAACGGGCCGGGGTACTATCTAGTAACATATAGAGCAAACAATAAGGGACAAAACCAGAAGAAAGAAAAGGAAACAATCTCATCTATGAAATTGTACAATCTTTCAAAATGAATGATTGTTCCTTTGAGACAAAAAGAAAACAATCTACATATTGTATGTCATAAAAAAATGACGCATTAACAATCTCGAAAACAAAACAACTCATATTTTTTATAACACTCACTCAAATTTCTAGCTCCATCATCGAACCATTATTTGTTTACTTTATATTGTGTTGAAGTTGAAGGCCATGTTTGGACGGACCGTGCTAGTTTGTTGAGTCGACTTTACTCTTCCTCCTTTTATTTCCTTTCATTTCCCGACCAATGTCCCACACATAAATGAATCAAAGCCATTTACTGAGGCCAGCAGCTTCTTTACTCTTTCATCTTTTGCCGGCTTTTGTCCATTCAATGATGCATCTGCTTTCTCCCACCACCATCACCGTGTCTGTCAATGAAACAAGACATGCCAAAGTTCATCAAGCTCACCTCATGTACAAGTTCTCGATCAAAAAGCTAAGCAAAACAAGTAACAATGGGAGAGCTACCACGACCTTGACGTCGGTAAACATAGATCGTTGTCGTTAACGGATAATTGTTAACAACGCGAATGACAAGTAATTTTCACCAGTTTGATATTGTACATTATGGAAAATGACGAGTTTGAAATTTCAACATAGAAGAACTCATGATTGCACTACGTTATCTATTTACATATTAAAACGATCGAGCCTAGCCAGGTGAGCAAGTTTAATGTTCAGCAGTGATGCTTCAAACAAGGACCCATAGTTAGTAAAATACGATACGGGAAAGTTACGTAAAAAATACGTACGGGTATTATACTTTGTCTCTAAGCTAAAGTTACGTTTAATAGTACGTTAATAGTCATAAATATATAAAATTAATCATTTTAAAAATAAATAAATATATAAATAATACTAAAGTTAACAATTTAATTCATAAAATACGGATAATAAACGTGTTATACGGGTTTTATACGTGTTTAGTACGGGCGTCATCAAATGAACGGGGGAAAATGAAACAGCTTGACAATAATACGGATACGGAAGTTTTAAACGGATAAAGTACGTACGGGTACATATACGTGTATTAAACGGAGTATTTACTAACTATGCAAGGACCATATATATGGATGGGGCTACGGTTTTGGGTAAAGTCATTCATTATAAAACTATTAAGCTATGTCGTTGTTATGGGTAAATGAAATTAATATAAGAGCTACCTACCAGCCTAGCTACCACACTAACTAGAACACTATAAAGTACCCTTTAATCCCAAATCCCACCATTGCACAAGTCATTGTTTATGTTAATTTAGGGCTGGAGTTCGGTTAACCGAAGCGAATTGGTCGATTACTCGAACTCGAATCGTCTCCATTAATTCCAGCAACCATAACCGGCGTCGATGTGGTTTTCGGTTACCTGACAACTGAATGTCTTGTTTTTTTTGGATATACTTCGTTTACCCGCATTGAACCTCCGATGATCCATTGGGCTTGGTCCATAATCCGGTCGGACCTTGGAGTTGAAATGACATGGTGGATTAGGCCCAAATTCGGTTGAATTTATGTTATATTCAGCTATATAATTTGTCCGATGTTCTTTTCTTGATTACCCGTTAACCGACGAATTTTGTTTTGATTTTGGTTAACCTGTTGAACCAAACCCGAACATCCAACCCTGATTATGTATATGGCCTATGGGGAATTTATGAATTGGGAGGTGGGGTTGGTGGGTGCGTATGGACCAAACTACCAATGAACAAAAATGGCAAAACAAAGCCAAATAAATAGAAGGGGCAGAGTAGGGGCGTGGGAGATAAAATCATAAAATAGAGTAGGCTGATCTTTAGCGACGAGTTGAGACGAATTGGAGACCGAGTGGTGGGGAAAGAGGGGCCACAAGGAGAGTGGGAGCACACTATTCTTAGAACTTAGAAGTGCCATAATGTTGAGCTAGGTTAAGGTGTTTGTATGATTTGAAAAATGAGAGGAAATAAGAGACACAGAATATTGAAAATTTTAGCGGAACAATCGATAATTAATACGATACTTCTTTATTGGGCTGCATATGTCTAATCGAAAAAAAAGGTCTAACTATTTGGTCGATCCTTAGATCTTGTAGTTGACTATCAATTTGGATTTAATCTCTATTATGTGCTTGCCCATTCAAAAGAAAGCCTCGTGTAATCATCAATTTTTTTCGGAGCATGCTATGAACTGTCAATTTGGCAAGGATGGATGATAACCACAGGACACTTAATTAGCATAAATATATATTTGATTCATTTTTTATTAAATGGCGTGGTAAATATTATTTGTTGCTATCAGTACTGGTGCACATCTCAAAATTTCGTTGATCTACTTAACCCTATAGTCGAATTGCTAAGAGCTAGACATTTAAATCAACCCATATGGATAACGAGATATCATATTCATACCCTAATTAAATATTATCATCCACATTACCCAATATTGAGCCTATCTCACGCCACCAAATCCACATTCACCATATTTTCTCATATTATAACGAGATATCATATTCATAGAAAAATTTAATATCAATTTTGGTCACTCGAATTACTGACACTGGTCACATTTGGTCACTCTTCTATAGCCTCTGTCCAACTCCGGTCACTCGAATTATTGAAAAATGTCACATTTAGTCATTCGGATTACTGAAACATGTCACATTTAGTCACTCTCCCAAAAGTTTCCGTCGAACTACATTAATGGAGTTGGACGGAAACTGACGGGAGAGTGACTAAATTTGACCAGTTTCGGTAATTCGAATGACCAAAATTGATATTAATTTTTTCTAGTGACTATACATGACACAATTTAGTAATCTCAGCAGGGTTCAAGAAGGCGCGCCTAGGCGCACGCCTAGGCTCAATTAGGCGCTAGGCGGTGGAGGATCGCCTTGACTTGGCCATAGGCGTTGTAAAAGGCGCTGGTAGCGCTTAGTAGGTAGGAATAGCGCTTAGTTTGCGCCTAGTGGGGATAAGGCGTGCCTGGGCGAGCTTAGGCGGTTAAACCCAATACTCTTCGTTTTGTCCTAGAAAATACAAAATTGCCTCTTGCCCTAGAAAATCAGAAACACGGGAAGGGATGACCATGCTATCTATGTATTCGTAGATGAGGATGAAGAATCATATTGTGCACCCTCCAGTACTGTTACAGATGCAATGGCGGGTGAACAGAGTGAGCTTCGCATGAGTGAACGAGTGAGAGAGCTCCATGATGAAGAATTAGAGTCTGAAGAGGAGGAAGAGGAGGAGGAGGAGGAGGAGGATGATGAAGATGAAGTGGTGGCTGGACGGACCTACTTTGATGATGAAGAATGAACATTTTCCTATGAACTTATTGACTATTGTTTAGTATTTCGACATTTTATGAACTTGTGATTCTAGAAAGTGGTCAATATTTGCTAGTTATTTGTTATGTTAAGTGTTTACTGTTAAGAACTAGGCATTGCTAATTTTATATGCACTTGGATTATATGAATTATTCCAGAAAACAGGAAATATTTGAGAACTTTTTCCATTTATGCTCTGAACGCCTAGGCGCGCTTAGGCTACGCCTAATCAGGCAAGACGCAAGTCATGAGCCGAGCGCCTGCCTTACGCCTAGCGCCTTTTAGAACCTTGAATCTCAGTGACCAAATGTGTCATTTACCCTTATTATACGTAGGGTTTTAAAAGGGAACTGCGCGCTGTTTTTGTCTTCCCACTACGCACTATGGGAATATTTTGCTTTTTTTATAAAACAAATATAAGTAGGAAAATACTTTCTCAACCTTTTGTTATGGTGTTTGAAAAAAAAAAAGAAACATATTAAATTAGGAAGAAACGTGACCCATAGATAATAGTGGATCATCATTAATTTCTTCATCTATTCCGGGGATTACAAGGAAAGCTTCCCCAAAACTAATCAATCCAGAGGGACCATGTACGGCGATCATTTCTACTCATGAGCCCCATTCCCATTTTACACCTTCTATCGTTAGAATAACCAAAACAATAGGAAAAGATCCATTAATTAGGAGGGAAACAAGAGATTAAGAAATTTAATATAAAAAAATACACCTCGAGAGGGTAGTTCTATAAAGATATTTGTTGTTTATGATCCTGTGCATTTAGCAAGTCGCGCGGTCATACGGATATGACAACATTTGCATTATGTGGTAGCGGATGAGATCACCTTATGCATAGTTATACAATACTTTTAGAGTTTGGAGCTCCATGTTATAGAGGACTGCACATGTTTGATTAGGTTGTTAAATTCGTGTATAACTCAACAAACATGACTAATAATATAGGTCCGTCAAATCATCCTTTATGCTGACTTGTTCTAACTAAAAAAAAACTGTGGATAATCTGAAAATCAACATAAAGAAAAATACTTGTTCATCACTTAAAAGTTAACACGAACAATCATAAATAATAGGAAGTGGAAATAAAAATTCAAGCACTTTTTAATACCACAGAATCAGCATATCATGTTTGATTGGATTGTTAATTCGTGTATATCCCAACCAAATATAACTAATAATATAGAGTCAACAGATCATCCTTTTACGTCGTCATATTCTAACAGAAAAAAAGCTGTGGATAATCCGATCAAGAACAACATAAGCACAAAGACTTGTTCACCACTTAAAACGAACAACAGAAATAGTAGGGGATCAGAAATACAAATTCAAAACACTTTAATACCATCACGAAATAATGAAAGAAATTTGGACCATTAGGAAGCTAATTAACGAGCGTATTTTGGGGAGAATTAACATTTAACATACTAATAGAAACTGAAAATCCTGAATTTAAGTATTATATTAAAAACTAGAATATGGAAAGTCCAAAAAATCCGACTTCACTTGATATATAAATCCCCACCTTTCCCCTTCCCCTTCTCCTTCATCACACTTCACTCTCTCTTTCCCTCTTCTCCAATGGCTTCCTCTCCAAACGTCGCCGCCGCCACTCTCTTCCTCCTCCTCCTCATCGCCCTCTTCTCCACCGCCGCTCACGGCCGTGAGAGCCACTTCTTCAGCAGAGTCGCCGCCAACACCAACCCCACTCCCACCACCGTCACCGTTTCTCCCGACTCCAAAACCCCCGCCGCCGCCAACAACGTAGATCCTAACGCCGTCACTAACGGCCAGCAATACCAACAGCAGCAGCAGCAGCCTTCCTTCGTCCAGGAAACGGAAAACAACGGCTACGGCATCTACGGCCACCAGGCCCCCGAAGAAACGGCGTCGTTTGATCAAACCGCGGCCACCACCAAGCTCACCTCTTCCCCGACCAACAGCTTCCGTCCCTATAACCAACAGACCAATAGCGACGAGACTTTCCGCAACGGAAATGCCAACAACAACGAGAAGTACTACAACAACGACCGGTACTACGGCGAGAGCGGCTACAACGGCGCCAACAACAACGACGAGTTCTCCGACGAGGACCAGGAAAAGTTCGGCTACGAGAAGTCCGTCGCTAATTCCGGCAGGGAGTTTGGAAACAGTGGTTACGAAAACACCCCCGTCGCTAAAAGGTACAATTATAACAACAACAACAACAACAACAACGGCAAGCAGCAGGGGAATTTTGGAGAGACTAGCCTGCAACAGCAGGCCGATAACACCGGCTACGAGACGGCCACCGCGGCGGCGAATTCCGGCAGGGAGTTTCGAAACGGCGTGTTCGAGAACAACGCCGTCGCTAAAGGTTATAACTACGACAACGAAAACAATGGTGACGGGGTTGAGAGGCAGGGGATGAGCGACACGAGGTACCTGGAAGGCGGGAAGTACTACGTCGAAGCGAAGAACCCGAATCAATACCAAGGGATGAGCGGCAGCAGAAATGATTTCAATTACAACAACAATGTGAAGAATGATCGGAATGGTTACTATAGCAACGGAATCAATGGCGACCACGGCGACTCGTACGAGTATTATGCCAATCGCATGAACAACAGGAACCAGAACCAGCAGCAGCCAGAGTACTTCCAGGGGAACAACTACCAGAACCAGCAGTACGTGCCATGATTGAGGATTGTTGATTAGAGTGTTGTTATGGTTTCTTAATTAAGTTAATTAAGCTGTTGATTAGCAAGTTTGGGAGATCAAATTACTGCAAGTTAGTAAGAAAGAAATGAAGCTGAATGCATATAAAAGTGGAGTACTTTTTGTTGTTTGGATTGTGGTGTATGATCCCTTTTGTGACATGGGTATTAGTATGATTGTTCTGTTTCGAACGATTTGTGTCGCTAATTATCTATACTATCGAATCAGGTCGAATCGAACACCTTGAAGTTACGACATTGTTGTTCGTGGTACTAGGTAGCTTCTCTGTTGCAGCAAGAACAGAGTGGTGGGGGGGGGTTGAGTTTTAGTAACTCCATTGCACGTAGAGCTGCAGAGAATAATAAGAGGTAGGGAATGAATTTGGCGTACCCTCGAGTTGCCCTGTTTTGGAGGGCAACCAACTGTAATCAATTCATTTCACTTGAGTTGTCCTTGTTTAATTATTGTGCTGGAAAATTTAAAATTTGCCAGCTACATCCAGCTATATGAGTAAAAGAAAGTGACTAAGGTAATTATTGGTGCCACACATTATCTGTTTGATTATTGATTTAGTAACTTCCACACAGGGGTGAACAACTGATTCAGATATAGGTTGTCGAATACCGATTCTACCGATCAATATTTCAGTCTTTGTAACATTCTTTCCTTCATAGAAAATGAGTCTATATATAGTCGATTAAACCCTTTTTACATAATAATAACGCTGAACATGCATAATTGGTAAATTACAGTTACACTACTTATGTGGATTTAACCATTAGATAAAGACTCAACTATGTAACTCAAGAAGTTATAGCTTTGTGTTATTGAGAGGATTATAAACCTTGATCTAGAAACTTGTGGGTAAAAGTCAAAAATCAAAGTTACCTCTCAAGATTAAAATGATGATGACACATAATATGACTTTGATGTAATGATCACTAATGAAAGGTGAAAAAGTGAAAGGCTAATGTAAAGCAATGGAGAAAAAAAAAGGGTGGAAACAGAGGCCATGTGCCCTACAATCCATCCCACTATTATAATCATCAACTCCACCATACCCATCACAATTGGAAGTTCCAATTTCTCCAACCCACTTCAAAAGTCACAACTCATCCCTATCTCCCAATCTTGTTAAAAACATCAATAGGGTCCATCAAGTCCTCCAACTTTACCTACCCCCCAAAAAACAACCCAAAGACCCTTAAATATAAGACAATGACCCTCAACTTGTTTTCATCTTTTGGCCCATACCATGAGAGCTAGCTAGCTACATAGCTTTTTCCCTAAATAGGATGGCAAAAGGATGGGATACTCATACATGGAGGAGAACTTGTCCTTTCTAAAGGGTATGTAGTTCCATACATTGATCTCAAATTGGAAAATCTCTCTAGATCAGGCTCCCAATTTTCCACTACTATAGCTACCATCATGATTGTGTACCATTTATTTGATGAGGGTGACATTGCCCTTATTTCTAGTAAAGGGTACAACTACTAGAGAGAGTTGCCCGATTGATATTGCTCTCTGTGGGATTTTGCTGTGTTGGGGAAGGGAATAGGATCAGTAAGGGCAGAGGGGGAAAGAGGGATTATGAGGCAACCACTAATGTATAAGGCCATGTGCTATCTTCGTTTTCGCCATTAATGAAAACCCTCAAACCCCACTTGGATTCTGGTCGTGGAGAGAAAACCATTCCTTTCTCAGTTTCTAAACAAATACCGAGACCATCCATCAACTCATTAACCATTCTATCTAGAGCAAAGGGTTGGGTTGGGTTGGATGTGCTGTATATAGTTGTATTAGGAAAAAGGAAAACAGGATTCCCTAAGGATTTTGCGGAACCCATGTAATCGCATAAGGTTATTTGTAACCGAATCATATTCTTTTGCTGAATTACGAAGTAGTAGGTATTTTATGATGATGTCAATCTAATCAGTAGTTTCCGAGCTTGTTAAAATTGATGTTAAATCTGAATAAGAGGCTATACCAAATCGACATGCCGGAAAGTTAAAAACATAGTCTCAGACAGATTATTTAGAGGACGTATAGTAAAAAAAAATCCGACAATTCCGATCCAGCAACTTGGACAAAATCCACGAAGTAGAACATATCGAAAGTTAGTTTTGTGTGCACGGCAACTCGAACTCGATAAAAACCTATCACCTAACACAAGACTGCCAATAAGTGTACACCACCATAGTCTATAAATAGTATGAGAAACTACCATTACATAATCTCTGCACTCTCTTACTTCTCCCTCTAAGATCACTTAACTTCCAAACTCTTACCTTAAACAGAGTGCCGACATATCCATAGTACGTAAACCTTAATGTCTTCCTTTACACGACTACTGGTTTGTGCTCTGAATCTCACTCCATTTTCCCTCAAATTTCTGCACTCTAGTTGGACAAATCAACAGTATTCGCGACGGCAGTCCTTGTAGGGTTACCAATCCTCCTTCCCATATCCCTTCACCATAGAATTCCCATAAAAATGTCCACCTCTGCCGCTGCTCTGCTCTGCTCTTCCACCTAATTTACACGACTTGTACCTTAACTAGGGAAAGGTGGAGAACATGCATGCACCAATCACTCCCCCACCCACTCGCAACAAATTGAAGGTTCGGTTAGTGGTCACTCTCAAAACACTGTCCTTTTAGGACCGTGCAGATGTAATTTACATGGCCAAGACACAGACTATGCACAGAAACCAGAGCTAGCTAGCAACATCGAGAAACCCGCAAGTTCGTTATTATGGGTATATCTTCTACAGAAGATCGGACTAATGACGTTTGGTACAATATGCAAAGCGCGTAGTAGTTATTCAGTTAGTACAGTACTTCCCACTGCTGGAGTAGCCCGTAAAGTTCGTTACTACGAGTAGCTCCTACCAAAAAAATCGTACTAATAAGGTTCGGTACACTTCCGTGAATGGTGGGTGGGGTCTGACTTAATCATAATCTTTTGCCCTAATTCGATTTCAAGAACAGTGGGAAGAAGTCAACAATGGCGAGGAGAGGAGAGGACTCTGTTTTCTCTGACCAAATCGTCTGACTTGCTGCACATTTTGCAGATGCTTAATAAAAAAAGGAGGTTATTTTGTAATACCTCTTATGCTGCAAGAACCCGACCCGAGTACTGATCCATACCCGGGAAGAAACTTAGGAAGGGGTCGTTTGGTTTGGATCGAGTTGCAGTTGGCAAAGAGAGAGAGAAAGAGAGTACCGAAGCTTTGAACCAGCGACCATGTGGTTGTGTGGAAGAACACACAAGCCACAACAGCCAAAGGAAGCTTGGTACTCTAAAGTCCAAATTTACTGAGAAAATATATAAAACTGCCCAACTCTTTCTATCTCTTTGTAAGCAGTGTTCTCAACTGATTGGGTTGAGGCCCATGTTTAAACCGAAAGAGTACCCGGGCTTTGTTGTTTTAGTAAATGGATCAAGCAGCAGCCGATTGGTAAGAGCCCCAACGTATGTAGTAAGCTTTGGGCCTGTGTGCACACCCGACCCGACACTGCATTTTGAGTTTTGAGTTTTGACACTCAGCCAGTCAACCGGCTTGATTAAGATTCTGAGGGATTTAAGATGGTGTAATGTTTGTGATTTATAATTTATTTGATTAGAGTTGGATTGAATCGGTGGACTATAAACATTGTTAAAATGAGTCTATAATTTTGCTGGGGATGTTGTTATGAACCAAATATGAAAAGCCCAAAGAAAGGTTATTGGGGGTCTAAGAGTTAGCCCAAATTAAATATGAGTGAAGTTTAGGACATGTGGTAGTCTGGATAGGTGGGTCGGGTCCTTGACAAGAGCGCATAAGACAAAAGACATACAATAGGGGAAAATGTACGAAAAGCTGAACTTACGAGGTCATGACTCATGAGTCCTGAACTTCTGATGAAGGTGTCAAGTGGTCGAGGCGCATGGTAAAGGAAGTGTACGGCGGCCAAGTTGGCATAGGGCGAAATTGGAGGGGGGGGGGAGGCATTGATCGGCGGGGCTCCTAGTATAAATAGTGAAGTAGGTGAACCTCATTTACTTGGGTGGAATTCTCTCACTAGAACTATCCTTACTTCTCTCTCTAAACTTGGGCACTGACTTGATCGTTGGACACCTAAGGGACCCCCGAGGGCCAGGTGTGCGCTCCGTTTGCAGGGGGTAGTGCGTCTCAAAGAGCCAGGCAAGGTGAGAGGAGGCGCGTCGCGTGGCTACGGGAACTTGGCATAAACAAATTTCATGAAAAGTGAAATTGTTTTCGCCTATTTTTGTGCTGAATTCAAATGACTAAAACTCTTTTGAAATTGTATCAAAACAACTGAATTAACCTATGTAGAAATGTTAATTCTATTTGTGCACCCATTAAGTTATCTTTTAATGAAAGGTTTGTATCAAAACAAGAGAGATTGATCACAGAACGAAAGATAAACGGTTTTACGAATAAAAAATTATGAAAATGATAAATTAAGTTATTTTTTAATGCAAAGGTTAATATCAAGACAAAGAATTGATCATAAATGAAAGAAATTACGATTTTACGAATTTTGACAAATTCTAAAACAATTCATTATTGTGACAAAATAAAAGAGAAGGTATTTTATAATACCTCATTTTTTTGGGCAACATGATCATGATCATCATCATCACCACCATCACCAACCAATCCATTTCCAAACGACCCCTTTACCAATGCTCGAACCCACGACCCACGGTGTCATGGTTCAAGTATCATAACAACGATACTGTCCGGCATTGGTGTGCCCACTTTCCGAATACGAACTCACCTCCTTTCACTCCTGGAGAAAGATCCTCGGCATCTACGCGTTGTCATTGAAATTCTTCACTGAACATAAAAATGGGAGCTTCATCCCTGTTATTGAAGGGCGATAGATTGGTAGCCATTGTTAACTTAAATACTTAATACAGTCATACAGATACCCACCATTCTTCCCGCCGGCGGCCACCTGTGGGGGAGTGGGAACGGCGGTAAGTGGCCGTCAATTCCCGATTGGGCTCATGGCCCGTCATCAAAACCAAACAATTTACAGTGTGGAAGCCCAATCTTTACAAATTTATAGCCTGGCCCATTAATGCCACTGAATCTGCTTCCCTTCTATTCTATCTCTCACCAAAACGGCAACAAAACCCCTTTCCCGTTCTTCTTCTTCGCCGGCAGATTCTGCTGCCCAGCCAGAACCACAGGTGAAATCAAGGTGGCCGTCTCGCCGACTATGCAATATGAGCCGTTTCCGGCGACGAGAAGCTTCTCTGGCTGGCGGCAGCTAGGGGCGATCAGGATGGAGGAAGGATATCGAGGCTTGGCGCCTGAAGTTCTGCCGCTGCGGCGGGTGAATTTAGCAAAGCATTCTTTGGGTCTGCTTAATTGGGAAACAACCGCCGGTGAAAAAACCCTACGCCTGCAGGTTTGTTCATCATTATACTCCTTTATCTTCTTTTCCCTGCCCTGTGCTCTCATTTAATGTTTCTTTCATACAGCATTGGCATCTTCCACTTGCCATTCGCCCCAACGAGGAGAAGCAAGCAAGGTTGCCATACTTTCTTATCTTATATATATTAAAAGGAAGGCACTGTTTCCACATGATGCGTTGTCGGTAGGTTTTCTCAAGTCAACTTGGCACTGGATCAAAGAAAAAAGAAAGGCGCGTTAATGTTGGATTATTGATCCGCATCTGAACATTGCCAACAGAGGCTTCGTTTTCTACACAGCAAACAAAAATGGCAGCTGCTCTGGGTGAGTTGGTCCTCAAGAAGTTGGGTTCGCTAGCTGCTGATCAAGCAAGCCTCCTTTGGGGTCTCAAAAGCGAGATTCAGAGACTTGAAAGCACGGTTTCCAGCATCCAAGCTGTGCTGATGGACGCAGAGGAGCAGTCTAGTAAGAGCCATCAGGTCCAGCTATGGCTGCGAGGACTGGAAGAAGCCCTTTATGATGCTGAAGACTTGCTGGACGATTTCTCTACAGAGGTTCTCCAGAGGAAACAAATGGATGGCAATAGCTTTGTGAATGAGGTATGCTGCTTCTTCTCTCCATCCAACCAAGTTGCTTATGGATTGAGAATTGCTAATCAAATTAAGGCTATCCGGAGCAAGTTAGATGAGATTGATCAGAATAGGAAGCAGTTCAATTTTCAGACGTGTCCTGTGGCTAGCCAGCATGAGAGGCAAACTGAGTCCACTACCCCTGAAATTGTTGTTGGGAGAGAAGAAGATAAGCAGGAAATAATAAGCATGTTATTATCTCCTAGTTACAAGGAGAAAGTTGCAGTAGTTCCCATTGTTGGGATGGGGGGCTTGGGGAAGACAACATTGGCACAACTCATTTACAACGACGAGAAAATCAAATCTCGTTTCGATTGCAGATCCTGGGTTTGTGTTTCTGAAACTTTCGAGCCTAAAGTCTTGGTTAAAAGTATTTTGGAGTCCATGACCAAGAAGAAAGTGGAAGACCTTCCCTTGAACGTATTGAAGGATCTTCTCCATGAGGAGATAAATAACAAGCCGGTATTTTTGGTTTTGGATGATGTTTGGAATGAGGACCGGGAGAAGTGGATTCGCTTCAAGGGTTTATTTGCTAGTGCTGCAGCAGAAGGTAGCAGAATGGTGATAACCACACGTCTCCGAATCGTCGCGGAGATGATAGCTACCGAGACGATTGTGCCGCATGAGTTGAAAGGTTTGTCTGAGCCTGAGTCCTGGTCCTTGTTTGAGAAGATGGCTTTTAAAGGGGGGGTAGCATCAGGTCGACGATACGTGGAGTTAGGGAAAGAGGTTGTGATGAAATGTCGGGGAGTACCGTTAGCCTTGAGATCGATGGGGGGAGTTCTGTTCTTCAAGGATACCGAGTCGGAGTGGGAAGTAGTAAGAGACAAGCAATTGTTGAACCTAGAGGGCGACATCTTGACAACTACTCTTAAGTTGAGTTATGATAATTTGCCTTCTCATTTGAAGCGATGTTTCGCCTACTGCTGCTTGTTTCCAAAAGATTATGAAATCAAGGTAAAAATGTTGGTACAGCTTTGGATGGCCCAAGGCTACGTGACCAAGTCCAATCAATCTTCACTACTTGAAGAAGTTGGAATGGAATATTTTAAGACATTGTTGTGGAGGTCCTTCTTTCAGGAGGTGACAAAGGATGCATATGGAAATATGGAGTCGTGTAAAATGCATGATTTAATGCACGATCTTGCTGTCAAAGTTGCAGGAGAGGAGACCATTTGCTTCAATGCTTCAAATCTTACGGATAGCCTTCTTAGCAGTGGCAATGTCGACCTGAAAAGGATTCGGCACATGTCCATTGATTTTGATGAGAGATCGTATCATGAAGGATGGCAAGTTCCAACTCTCTTGGCTAAAGCAACAAGGCTTCGAACGTTTCTTATCGTAAATGTAGCGTACAAAGCCAAGTTCGAGGGAGGCTGTGAAAAAATCTTTCCAAAGATGATTAGGCTGAGGGTGCTCGGTCTTAAAAAGGTGAAAACGGAGATTATCTTGTCTACTGTCCATGAATTGAAACATCTTAGGTACCTTGATTTTTCTAGGAACATGATGGATGTACTTCCTAATGAGATTTCAAGATTGGTAAACTTGCAAGTGCTCAATCTTTGGTTTTGTAAAAACCTTCGACTACTACCGACAGACATCGGGAAGTTGTACAAGCTTGTGTATCTTAACCTAGAATATTGTCGGAGATTGACTTGCTTACCAGCCGGGATCGACAACCTCTCCTTCCTTAGAGAATTGACTGAATTCATAGTGCCAGAAGCAGCCGCATACAGCTCCTCGAGAGCAGCTGGTCTTGGTGAACTGAAGAGATTGAACAACCTAAGTGGAAAGTTGACTATTAAAGGGCTGGAATGGGTGAAGGATAAAACCGAAGCAGAGGCAGCCAATTTAAAGGATAAATCGAGACTTGGACGGTTGCATCTACAGTGGGGTGAATTCACACCTTTCGTAGCTTTAAGAGAAGATACTGATATGGCTAGAAAATCGGATCTTGATTGGTCAGTATTGGAGGCATTACAACCACATCCGAATTTAAAGGAGATAGAGCTGCGGTATTACTGCGGGACGGGTATCCCAACAAGAAGCTGTTGGTTCTCTTCTCTTATTAATCTGGTTCGAATCAAGCTATTTATGTGTACGGAACTGCATAGTCTGCCATCCTTGGATCCTTTTGTTTCTCTTGAAGAATTAGACTTGCGGTATTTATTGAGCTTAGAGTACGTACAGAACGACACTGTAGCATCATCACATTCTACTTCTTCTCCATCTTCAAACAATGACTTGGAAATTCTGCCCTCACTCAAATCTGTTGTGATTGTGTTTTGCCCAAACCTGGTAGGATGGTCTCCCACAAATACAGAAGGGTCGGCTCTGCTACCTCGTGTTTCCACCCTGGAGATCACATTCTGCCCAAAAATGGCATCCCTCCCGCGTTTTTGGGTAAACTTTGATCAGGTTAAGTTGATGAATGTGAGCAGTGAGCTGTTGAGTGCATTTGGTGCCTCTCTGATCTCTCCACCTCATTCTAGGTTTCATGAGTTGGGTCTCCAATGCGTGAAAGATCTGCCGCAAAGGTTGATTGCACAACTTGCTTCCCTCGAGAGGCTATATATATCCGATTCTACTTTATCTCCATCTATTCTTCGACAACTCCCTTCCCTCCAGGAGTTCCATATGGAAAATTCTCAAGTGTTGGAGCTAGAGGACACCGATTGTGATGAAGGGGATGATGAACACAACAACATGCCACCACCGTGTGTTCTTCCATGCCTCCGTCGGTTGGTAGTCCAACATTTTGAGTTGGTGACTCTACCGAAGTGGATTCAGCATTCCTCAAATTTGCAACAGCTGAAGATAGTAGGGTGTAACAAGCTCAAGTGCATACCAAGTTGGCTCACAAAGTTAACCGCCTTGGAGTCTTTGAAAGTATGGGATTGTGATATTCTATCTGGGAGATGCAGAAGTGACACAGCTGAGGACTGGCCCATCATTTCTCTCATTCCAAACATCCAAGTTGATGATCGAGTTGTCCAACAGGACGGCCACTATTTGGAAGAAGAAGAAGAAGAAGAAGAAGCACAACAACAACAACAACAAGCATCCTCACACACCCTAACCTCAAGGTATTTTGAATTAACTAGTTATGGTGTGTGTAGCTATCCCTTTTCTTTAATTCATTACCTTTCTTTAGATCATCTTTCCTCATACTTTGGAAGCATAGTTAGAATGACTATAAACAGCTTTTCTTTTTCTGTATGAACCTGCAGCAGGCTGTTACAAAATTGCTTTGCAAGGATGACCTGCAACCTATTCCAGAGATGTTTTCTCCCTTAACTACCGACACTAATGCGCCTTCATATTGTCACTCTGGGTATTAACTTTTCCCCAAAACTGATTGTTCGAAGAGAGGTAGTCATTTAGACAGCATTTGCAGCAGCTTTGTCCAGGTACTCATTACTCCTTGCATTGCAATGTCATTAGCTACATTTGAAAGGCTCTTCCCTTCCTGCAACTCCACTTTTGATTTGAGATAGTGAGTGGATTTCTCGTCCCTCTGCAGTTTTCAATCTCCAAATATCCATAGCTTATGTTGGTGATATGAAAGGCAGCAGCAACGCCTTTGTCGTGTTGTTTCTTTAAGACTAGAGGTTTGGGACCCAAGCTTCTTCAATGTCATAATTCAGCGTGGTGCGTTGAATTGATCCTTTAGCTTTTATCGCGTGCCCAATTTGTATATGTTGTTGAGCTTTATGTCATTTCCAGTGTTCGTTTTTCCTATGTAACAGTGGTGTTTGAAAGTTTGATGTAGGACTAGCCGTTAAGCTCGCGCTTGCCATGGATGATGTTTTTGGATCCTGGTGGCTAAGCTAATCACTTAATCAACTGATTACTTAATTTCCCACCATTAAATCTTCCCTATTAAAGCAGCTCCTCCATCCATCAAAGAAAGAGGAAACAGGGGGGTAATAATAACTATCATGGAGATAAAAATGATAATTTTACCTTTAAGCGGGTGTCTTTGAATCCCAGGGAGGACATTCCAGCCTAGAGTCACTTGCTGGCCCACTCCAATTCCAAGATATGAGAACTTGAGAGGTACGTACGTACAATGGTAGCTACGATTGATTGTTGGGTTCAGAACAGCAGTACAGGCAACAGCAACACTTACCTCAACCGCTGGTAATTACTTTGAATCTCCCTTTTTTCTAACTTCTCTCCTCTGCCATTGCATTCTGCTCACTAAACCACTTCCTCCCTTAATCAAGTGAGCACCTATTATGTAGCACATGCATGATGCATGCATACATCTGTTGTCTTGCCAAGTTGCATTGATGATACAGAGTGAGAGAGAGTCCTGTTATATATTCTCTCGGTTTCTTCATGTGGTGTGGCTTCTAATGTTGCGTATCCCATCTCAATTATCTTGTGGTGGGTTGGTTGGTTGGTTCGTTTGTTTGCTGAACCAACAGAAGGATGCTCTGACAAATGGTTGAACAATCTGGTGTTAGGAGGAAGAACAGAGATCAGCAGCAACATCACTCTCTAAGTGCTGCTTTCGAGGGAAGCAGAAGGTGGTGAAAGGCGGCTTGTGCCACAAGAGCGATACAAGAAACTATCCGCTGTTGGATGTTCACCTCTCATTCCTTAGCGAATTGCCTATATTCGAAGTGACAGAAGCAGCTGCAGACGGCTCCTTGTGTGCAGCTGGCCTTGGTGAACTGAAGAGATTGAACAATTTAAGTGGAGAGTTGACTATCAAAGGGCTGGAATGGGTGAAGGATAAATTCGAAGCAGAGACGGCCAGTTTAAAGGATAAATCGAGACTTGGACGGTTGCATCTATGTTGGGGTGAATTCATATGGACGCGTTACAAGTACAGCCGGTTAAGAGAACATAATATGGATATATCAGTATTGGAGGCATTACAACCACATCCGAATTTGAAGGAGATAAAGCTGTGGTCTTACCGCGGGACGGGTATCCCAACAGGAAACTGTTGGTTCTCTTCTCTCAGGAATCTGGTTCGAATCGAGCTTCGTGAGTGTACGGAACTGCGAAGTCTGCCATGCTTGTATCCTTTTGTTTTTCTTGAAGAATTGAAGTTGCACTATCTAAAGAGCTTAGAGTACGTAACAGTGGCATCATCAGCTTCAAGCAATGACTTGGAAATTCTGCCCTCACTCAAGTCTCTCTCGATCGAGTATTGCAAAAACCTAGTAGGATGGTCTCCCACAAATACAGAAGAGTCCCCTCTGCTGCCTCGGGTTTCCACCCTGGAGATCGTTTATTGCCCAAAAATGGCATCCCTCCCGCGTTTTCGGGTCAACTTTGAGAGGGTTGATTTGATTAAGGTAAGCAGTGAGCTGTTGAGTGCATTCGGCGCCTCTCTGATCTCTACACCGCACTTTAGGTTTGATGAGTTTAGTCTGGAATTCGTGGAAAACTTTGCACAATTTACTTCCCTCCATGATGGCGATGGTGATGAGGGCGATAACAACATGCCACCGCCGTGGGCCCTTCCAACCCTTCATTGCTTGGTTGTCAAATATGTTGACTTGGTGACTCTACCGAATTGGATTCAGCATTCCTCAAATTTGCAGAAGCTGGAGATAGAAGAGTGCAACGAGCTTAAGTGCTTACCAAGTTGGCTCACAAAGCTGACCGCCTTACGGTCTTTGGAAGTAAGGAGTTGTGATATTATATCTGGGAGATGCAACAGCAGCACAGCTGAGGACTGGCCCATCGTTTCTCACATCCCAAACATCCATGTTGACCGTGAAAACGTCCAAGTGAACGGCAGCTATCAGGAAATTCGAAAAAATAGCTCCCCCTTCGAATTTGATTATGGTGCTATGCGTCGCGACACCATCCGCTTTATGGGATTGTTGAGAATGGAAGAAGAAGAAGAAGAAGAAGAAGAAGAAGAAGAAGAAGCATCCTCACAAACCCTAATCTCAAGGTATCTTTTTGATTCATCTAGTTAAGTTATAGCGTGTGCTGTTAGAATGACCATAAACGGCGTTTTTCCCCTGTATGAACCTACAGCAGGCTGTTACAAAATTGCTTTGCAATGGATGGCATGTAACCTATTCGACAGATGTTTTCTCCCTTAACCACCCGACACTAATGCCGCTCCACATTATATCACTTATCAACCTTTCATCAGAACTGATTGTTCGAAGAGAGGTACGTACCTCATTTATGAAATTCCAAGATTCGAGAACTTACCAGGTATATATGCACAATGAAAGCTACGATTGTTGGGGTCAGAACAACACTACAACAGCACTTTCCTCGAGCACTGGTAATTACTTCGAATTCACCTTTATTTCCTGGCTTCTCTTCCCTGCCATTGCATCTCTGCTTACTAACCTACTACTTCGTCGCTTAATCTTACAAACTGAAGAATGCCAGCCCTTCTAACAATCTGGTCGAAGGTAGAAGGTCAATGGATCAGCTGCAGCGATACATTCCGATCGTTGCATTCGAAGGAAGCGGAAGGTGAAAGGCGGCTTGTGCTCTAAGAGAAAGTAGGAGCTGCAGCGGCGGGTCAATTGGTAGATGTTGTTGGACTTCTTGTACTAATGCATATGCAGCCTTTGGTTTTAGTTTAGGGATCTGGTACTGGTACGATTCCATTCATTGAACTAATGCGAAGTGGCCATATTGCTATTTGTCGTGGTTATGAAATGTGGCTTGATTTCAATTCTATTCGGAATTCTTCGTTTTGATATTTCTTTTGTCAACAAGGAAAGAAGTGAGATGAAATCTATGTTCCAGGTGGAGCTGGAGACCACTCTATAAGGACAGGATTCTTATGGATAGGTAGTGTGGTTGCTTTTCTAAGGGTAGGAATGAATTTTACCGAAACTGGCAGGGGTAAACGTTAGAGCTGAAAATTGAAACACCGTTATACAATATCTTGGATTGTTTTACATGCAATTTTACTGAATCCTTAATATGGTCTTGAAGGACTTGAAGGACTTTGGCTTAGCAAGATGATGAGTAATTAATTTATTATGCCTATTTATTTGATTGAATCGTTCATGGATTGTTTCCTTAATTTTGCTTGGGGATCGGGATAAGGTTTTGGTCCTGTCTATATATATCTAACTTATCGAATCACTTTATATTCTCAACGAAAATAAAGAGTAAATTGCAAGATTGATCACTGAAATTATTAAATATTTCACATTTGATCACTAAAATATTTTATTTCAATCATGATCACTAAATTTAGTTAATATTTCATCTTCGATCACTTTCTATTAAAAAAAAAAAAAAAAAATTTCTCTCTTCTTTCTCTCTCCTTCCCGTTCTCTGAGGACAATCTATCGGGCGATGGCCGCCTCGCCGGCCTCTCAAGCTGGTGAGGGCTCATGGGCAAGTCTGTTTGCCGTAGCTCCGGAGAAACGACTTACGTTCAGGCCTCCGGAGAGAGTTAACGATGGGTTTCGTATCCCCAAAGAGGTGAAGGAGAAGGGTGCAGAACGATGGCGCGATTCCTTGGTGGGTCAGTTCGTCGGAAAGCGTCCAGTGGTAGCTGAGCTACAGTCATGGGCTAATAAGCTGTGGGGAAGAGATGGTGTGGTAAGGGTCTCGCGGTTTGGGCCAAAGCTTTTGATCTTTCAGTTTCCCTCCTCTGCTTCGTGCGAATGGGTATTCACTTCGGGGCCATGGCATTTCAAGGGCAATCCGATTTTTTTTCAGGAAATGGGAAGTTGGGATTCAACCAGTGGTGCCGAAGGTGGCTACTCTTCCGATCTGGGTCACGATCAGGGGACTGCCTTTGGAATATTTGGGTAGTGATGGGGTGGAATGGGTAGCGAGCGTCATCGGGAAGCCGCTTTGGACTGATCAGAGAACTAGGGTTGGGGCTCAACTTGGATTCGCGAAGGTATGTGTAGAACTAGCAGCAGATTGTGGGTTTCCTGCAAAAGTTAGGTTCTATCCAGACAATGATCCTGATTTTGAAATTGGGCTGGAGTATTCGCATCTGCCGAAGGTGTGTTCGAAGTGCTGTCTGTTTGGGCACACTTGTCTGCAAGAGCCTACAACTCAGTGGCAGGCTAAAGATGTGCAAGTCCATCAAGAGGAGGTGCAAGAGTCCCTGGTGCAGGGGGGTCAAACAGTTGAAGTGGAAGATATGGTACAGGAACAGAACTTGGGTGAGAGGTTGCAGGCCGAGATTGAGGGATTGGATGAGGAGCAAGAAATTGGGGAAGTATCTGATATGGTGACTGAGCAGGCTGATGAGTCAATGGAGGACAAACAACCTCTTCTGGCCTCTAATGGGGGATCTCCTCCAAGCTTTGCACAGGTGGTGAGGGGATCACCATCAGGGGGTGGGGATTCAGATGCTGGTGCACAAGGGTTGGATTGTGGACAGTTGGTTCGAGGAGATCAAGGGAAGGAGAACAGACAGCCTCTAGTTGATAAAGGAAAGAGGGTCTGGGTGGATTCGCCTTTGGTTCCTATTCAACCAAAAAGAGGTGGGAAAGGTGGAAGGGGTAGGGGTAAGAGATGAAAATCCTTACCTGGAATACTAGAGGGTTCAAGGCAGATGGTAAATACACAGCTATACTTAGGAAAATAAATAAATATAGTATAGATATAGTAGCCATATTAGAGCCGAGAATAAGGTCCTCTGAGACAGATAAACTAGCTGAGAAGAGGTTCCCAGACTGGAAGAAGAGGGTACAGCACAATTCAAATGGGTTGGCGAAAATCTGGTTACTTTGGAAACAAGACATTCAGCTTACTGTTCTTCATTCTTCAGATCAATACATACAGTTTATGGTTAGTGGGGCACAGGTTTTCTTTGGGACGGTGGTTTATGCTTCTAATGAGGAAGCTAGTAGAAGGGAGTTATATAATGAGCTGAGTAGTATCAGAGTGATTCAAGCCCCTTGGATTATTATGGGTGATTTCAACGATATCAGAGCATCTACAGAAGCTTCTAATTCACCTGCAATGGATACACGTATGATGAATTTTAATGATTGGATTAATGATATGGAGTTAGAGGAACATCAGGCAACTGGCCCTTGGTTCACATGGTTAAACAAGCAGGCCGCGAATCCAATTGCAAAGAGGTTAGACAGGGTCCTAATTAATCTTGCTTGGCTAGAATTGGTGAATGATAGCAAGGTGCAGATTCAAGCCCCTGGAGTTTCAGACCACTGTCCACTCTATGTTGATACATCCTCTTCTTTGAAGTCAATTCCAAAGCCATTTAAGTTTTTTAAATTCTGGCTGAGACATCCTACGTTTGATGCATTACTAGCAGAAGCTTGGTCCAGTAGGGTTACAGGGCATCCTCTTATTCGAGTGTGTAAGAAGCTGAAAGTTCTGAAAAACTTGTTAAGGAAGCTAAACAGGGAGGAATACTCTGACCTGCGAGAAAGGGTAAAAGCTAAGGAAGCTGAAGTTTTGCTGATGCAGCAGCAAGCTCTGTCTAATCCAACTACTGAAACATTTGATACTATGATCAGGCTGGAGCAAGAGCTTAAGTCAATTTGTCATGATGAGGAGGTATTTCTTCAACAGAAATCGAGGGAAACGTGGTTGAGAACTGGGGATTCTAACTCAGCATACTTCCACAGATCACTCAAAACTAGGCAGAAGAGAAGTACAATTAGGGTTCTAAGAAATGAGCAAGGAGAGAAGGTTCAGGATGTGGAGGCAATGTCTCAAGTTGCTGTGAGGTTTTATGAGAGGTTGCTTGGTGTGGCTGACTCAGCAGTGGAACCTCAAACTGATGAATATATCTCTGGATTGTTGAAAAGGAAGCTTACTGAGGATCAAACTGAAGGGATTTGTGACTCTTTCACTGAGCAACAGATCAAGGATGTTATATTCAAAATGGATGGGGATAAGAGCCCAGGACCAGATGGTTTCTCTGCGGCTTTCTTTCAATATGCCTGGCCAGTCATTGGTTGTGAGGTAACTGATGCTATTCTATACTGTTTTGAGCAGGACAGAATCCCTAATCAAGTGAATGCAACTATTCTTACCTTGATACCTAAAATACCTAATCCTGATGACATGAAAAATTTTAGACCAATCTCTTGCTGCAATATTTTGTACAAATGCATTTCTAAACTTATTGCAAATAGGTTTAGCCCTCTTCTCCCTGCTCTGATCAGCAAAAATCAAACGGCTTTTGTTAAGGGCAGGTTAATAGGTGAGAATATTATGATGGCTCATGAGCTGGTTAGCAAATATTCACATAATAAAGTATCTCCTCGATGTGCGTTAAAGATTGATTTGATGAAAGCTTTCGATTCAGTGGATTGGTCTTTTATATTCCAAGTTTTGAAGTGTATGGGGCTCCCTGATAGGTTCATAACCTGGATCAAAATGTGTGTTAGTACCCCAAGTTTGAGTGTGTGTTTCAATGGGGGTCTGGTAGGGTATTTCCCTGCAAGAAAGGGGTTTAGGCAAGGGGACCCTCTGTCCCCTTACCTATTTGCAGTTGCTATGGAGATTTTTACCTGCTTGATAGACAAGTCTGCTACTGCAGGAAGGTTCCCCTATCACCCAATGTGTAAAGGGATTAACCTTACCCACCTCTGTTTTGCGGATGACCTGCTGGTCTTCACTGATGCTTCAAATTATGGGATACAGGAGTTGCAGAGGATTTTAGTTCAATTCAGGAAAGTTTCTGGTTTACAGTCTAACCCTAGCAAGTGTGAGTTGTTTATTGGAGGGCTACCTCAGGAGGAGAGGGTAGTTCGAGCTGCTAGGTATGGGTATAAGCTTGGGGAATTTCCTGTTAGATACTTGGGGGTGCCCTTGATTGCTGGTAAGCTGAGTGTCACTGCTTGTAAGCCTCTTATTGAGAAGATAACTGCTAGAATTACTGCCTGGAAAGCCAAGTCACTGTCATATGCAGGGAGGATAGAACTTGTTGGCACTGTTCTTTACAGTTTATCCCAATTCTGGATGTCGGTTTTTATTTTGCCTCAAGCTGTGGTTAAAGAGGTGGAGAAGCTGTGTAGTAACTTTATATGGGGTGTTGAGAGAGGAGTGAAGCTCAGAGCCAATGTTGTGTGGCAAAAGTTAACGTTTCCAAAGAAAGAAGGGGGCCTGGGTTTTAGAGATATGAAATGTTGGAATCAGGCGTGCGCCTCAAGGCACATATGGCAGATCTTGCTTCAAGAAGGATCTTTATGGGTGGCTTGGATTTCCAAGTATAAGCTCAAGGGAAGATGTTTCTGGACTCATAGCAGCAAGGCAGGATCTTGGAATTGGTGTAGAATCCTGAAACTAAGAGGTACAATCTCTCCTTTCATTTCTAGCAGAGGTGGAGTTCTTTTGCTGGATGGGATGCCAATGCCTCGTTTCTCAATTAAACGAGTTTGGCAGCTTATTAGACCTGTTCAGCAGAAGGTTGACTGGTGGAAGTTGGTGTGGCAAGGGGTGACCATTCCAAGTAACCGATTGCTGACTTGGTTGATTATTAGAGGAAGCATCCATACGAGAGAGAGTATGCAGAGATGGGGATATCAAGGATCGATGGAATGTGTTCTGTGTGGTGATGGTGTAGAGAGCAGGCAACATATTTTTGTACTCTGCCCTTTTTCTAGGCAGGTTTTGAATTCCTTGTTTACAGGTTCTATGTAGATCCCACAGCACCTAACATGGGAGGAAATGTTATTATGGATGGTTGATAAATACAGTAAGAAGGTGGAGATTGCTGAATCAGGTAGGATGATATGGCAAGCATGGCTCAGTCACCTCTGGAGAGAGAGATGTCGGAGAATGTATGGGGGCAAGGTGAGGGAACTAGCTGATCTGATCTTGAGTATTAAGGTTGAGGTGATTCATGTCTTGGGGAGTGAGCGAGTGAACCATTTCTGGGAAAGCTAGTTTTTCTGTTTCAGAGGTAGGTCCAGTTTAGTAGGTTGATTTGTGGTTTGTTACAGACTTTTTTATATCCTAGCTAGCAAGGATGTTGCTAGCAACTTTCTTTTTGATGAATATATAACCCGCTGATTCATCAAAAAAAAAAAATAGTGAATTTTAGTAGGAAAGAGACATGAATGATGCAACGAATCAAAAATCAGCCTTATGAACCAAAATCAAGTACCTGTTAACTTGTGAAACAATATTGTTTCTGGTAATATGATGAGGTGGAGTAAGTTTTATAGAAACCGAATTTCAGAAAATCGAATAAAAAATCGCCTATCCCGCCGGTTTTCGGGAAATGAGCATCTCACAATCGTTGCTAGCTTTTACTCGGCCCGTTGGTCGATTAATTTGCTTTATAAAACTTTCATCTTGTCATCATTGTGCTTTCTGGTTTTTTGCCAAGCCATGATAAAATCTAAAGAAATCAAGAATGAACAACACGATTTGGGATAGGAACCACCGTTCCTGTATCCCTAGAAAATGGTGGTAAACACGGACTCACCTGCCAAACTGGTTTGGATTGAGATTTTTATCAGGTATCAGGGAACCATGTGATTATAAATTAGACTTGATCAAAACGGCCCAAAACTTGAAATTCAGCCTGTTTGACCGACCCATGCCAAACTCTAATTATTCTTTACTTTTAAACTTTCTATTTGAAAATAAAAAATAATGAAAGAAAAGAGATGACTGTAATTCGCCATTTGCACATCACTGATTCGGGAATAAAACTATAGAATTTCGAAAGGAATCTGAAAATGTTTAGGATCGTTTTAATGTTAAAAATAACCAAATAGATCTTTCTGTACAGATACCAAACGATTCCCTATAATATACACTATAATTTAATCATTATGATATCAAATAATTACATAATATATATTTCTAATGATAAAAATTGGACTAATTGGGCTGGTCGAGGTTGAACCATTGAATAACTTTAAAATACATTATATTTTAGCCACTAAGATATAAAATAATAGCATAATATATATTATGCTAGAGAAAATAGCTTGCTTTAGAATGGCAAACCCATGATGTTCATTTGTTTTACTTGATGGGCAAATCCCGTGTAGGTCAGACCCATTCAACTCTTTTATTTTATGATTAGCGGTTTGCCTATTAGAATCCATGCATTAGTTTATTGTTAAATTTTTTCATTTTAGCAATAAAAAGGAGTATTGTTTTTGCCTTTTTCATATATATTTTACCACCACGGAGAAATAAAAGGACTTAAAGAAAAAAATTGACACTCCTGGACCTGTTTAAATCCACATGTGTACGGTAAGTTGGCCCGTTCCATAGAGGAAAAAGAAAAAAAATTGACACTCACTAATCTACCATTCCTACAAACGCTCATGGAGCAGGGAATTTGAAATGGGGAAGGGTTTTTTCCTATCTGCGATTATATGTATTTAAGTTAAAAAAATACAACAAATGTATTTAGTGTGATTGGTTATGATCCTTGCTTTTCTTTAAAGTGGTCATGGTTCGAATCCTAGTAAGTGTATTTTTAATGAATAAAAAGAAGTAATTGTGAAGACCAAAATGTCCTTCCTACTTTCACTCTGGATGTAGGAAATTTGAAATGGGGCTTCAAGTTTTCTCATTTGGCTTTTATTTATTGTGTAGATAACATTGATACATCCAATTTAACCCGTCACGTCATAATAACTCGATGACTCAGCCTTCCTAGCCAAACCAATCAATGAAACCAATTCATTGGAGCAATACCCGAATCTATATCCAACCTAACCAGTAACCAGCCTTTCCGAGTTCAACCTCGCCGGCAACTTCTCACCGGGACATCACCGCTCGGAATCAGACTGGAAACATTGGATCTTCAGAACAACCAGCTCGCTAGATCCGTCCCTGAGAAATTCTCTTCCGTCACCAGTCTCGGGCATCTCCAACTCTCCGGCAGCAATTTTATCGGGAAAATCCCCTAACTCAATCTCATCCCTTTCCCCAAACCTGGAATACCTCGAGCTCGCCCACAATTCCCTCACCGGCCAAATCCCTAGTTTCCTGGGAAGCGTCCACTCGTTCGACACCATGAATCTTGGAAGAATCTCACCGTAGCGTTACCGAAATCGTTCAAGAATCTCAAGGAATTAAGGAGGAGAGGCATGACACCGACGTTCCGGCTCCGACGACCTCACAACGACGGTAGGGGGTTCTGAACCAGAATCTTTTGTCGACCGAGCAGTAGTTATAATCTCGTGCAGCAGCTAGGAGATATGAACCAGAATCTGCAGCTTTTGTTTATTCCGAGTATAATTTCCGTGTGGTATGCATCTGTCAATTTGGTCCGAGTCTATCACTGAAGGGAAATGGACGCATTTGTCAATATAGTATCGTGAGAAGGAGAGTTGTTGTTTTTTGTTTTTGTTTTGGCAGGCTTAGTTCTTGAGAAGTCCGTTTGGTATGCCTTGAGTGTTTGGAGACAGGAAGAAGATGGTGAGTACTGGAGCCAAGAATGTGAAATGTTGTTGAAGACGACATAATCATCATTATGGGGTGGGTGGCTATGAACTTAAGAAATGTTGTGTGGTTTATTTGCATCAAGAGAATCAGGAAATTGTCTACTTCAGCTCCTTGTATGATTATGTCTTTTGCTGCAATGTTAGGACGAAGAAGGGAGAGCCAGAGTTCTTTTCTGCAATAAAAGCAGCTGTCTTTGAAGCCCGGTGAAAGGGCAGTCCAGCCTAGAATCGCTTGCTGGCTTACAACAAAACATCCCTCAACCACCGGTAATTATTTTGAATCTCTCTCTGCCATTGCATCTCTGCTTATGAACAGCTACTCCCTCGCTTAATGATCATCTGAACACCTACTAAACAGCACATACATACATATATCTATTGTCTTGCCATGCTTGTTACGATGATACAGAGACGGATAGAATATATCAACAACTAGCTAACTTTTTGGTTTCTCCCTATTTGGTCCCATGGCCTGTCAGCAAATCCTGACCCATTAATGCCATTGAATTTCCTTTCCTCTACTTCTCCAGTATCTGGCCAACGCATTAAAAGAAAGCCGCGTTATGGCGTTAGATCTTTGACTTTGGCTATTGTATTTGTCTTCATATTCTCAATCATGATTACTGACATATATCTACATTCGAGTATTGCCTTATTATCTCAGAGGCTCCCTTTTCCTCCACAGAAAATACCCGATCTCTTTCCTATCCCTTGGGAGGGGGGAAATGGCAGCTGCTCTTGCTGAATTGGTCCTCAAGAAGTTGGGTTCGTTAGCCGCTGATCAAGCAATCCTCCTTTTTGGTCTCAAAAGCGAGATTCAGAAACTTGAAAGCACGGTTTCCAGCATCCAAGCTGTGATGCTGGACGCAGAGGATCAGTCTAGCAAGAGTCATCAGGTCCGGCTGTGGTTGCGAGGGCTGGAAGAAGTCCTTTATGATGCTGAAGACTTGTTGGACGATTTCGCTACAGAGATTCTCCAGAGGCGACAAATGGACGGCAATGGCTTTGTTAATGAGGTATGCCGCTTCTTTTCTCCATCCAACCAAGTGGCTTATGGACTGAAAATTGCTAATCAAATTAAGGCTATCCGGAGCAAGTTAGATGAGATCGATCAGAATAGGAAGCAGTTCGATTTTAAGGAGGCGGTTGTTGGTAGTCAGGAGTGGAGGCAAACTCACTCCTCTGTCCCTGAAGTTGTTGTTGGGAGAGAAGAAGATAAGCAGATTATAATAGACATGTTATTGTCTTCTAGTTACAAGGAGAAAGTTGCAGTGGTTCCCATTGTTGGGATCGGGGGCTTGGGGAAGACAACATTGGCCCAACTCATTTACAACGACGACAAAATCAAATCTCATTTCAATTGCACATCGTGGGTTTGTGTTTCGGAAACTTTCGGAACTAAAGTCCTGATTAAAATTGTTTTGGAGTCCATAACTAAGGAAACGGTGGAAGAACTTTCCTTGAACCGACTAAAGGATCTTTTTCTTGAGAAAATCAAGAACAAGTTGGTATTGTTGGTTTTGGATGATGTTTGGAATGAGGACCAGGAGAAGTGGATTCGCTTCAAGGATTTATTTACAAGTGGTGCTGCAGAAGGTAGCAGAATCATAGTAACCACACGTCTCCGAATCGTCGCAGAGATGACAGCAACCGAGACGATTGTGCCGCATGAGTTGAAAGGTTTGTCCGAGTCTGAGTCTTGGTCTTTGTTCGAGAAGATGGCTTTTAAAGGAGGGGTAGCGTCAGGTCTACGATATGTGGAGATAGGGGAAGAGATTGTGAGGAAATGTCGGGGAGTGCCTTTAGCCTTAAGATCGATGGGAGGAGTTCTGTTCTTCAAGGATACCGAGTCGGAGTGGGAAGCAGTAAGAGACAAGCAATTGTTGAACCTAGAGGGCGACATCTTGACAACTACTCTTAAGTTGAGTTATGATAATTTGCCTTCTCATTTGAAGCGATGTTTCGCCTACTGCTGCTTGTTTCCAAAAGATTATGAAATCAAGGTAAAAATGTTGGTACAGCTTTGGATGGCCCAAGGCTATGTGACCAAGTCCAATCAATCTTCACTACTTGAAGAAGTTGGAATGGAATATTTTAAGACATTGTTGTGGAGGTCCTTCTTTCAGGAGGTGACAAAGGATGCATATGGAAATATGGAGTCGTGTAAAATGCATGATTTAATGCACGATCTTGCTGTCAAAGTTGCAGGAGAGGAGACCATTTGCTTGCATGCTTCAAACTTCACGGACGACTTTCTCAAGCGTGGCAACGTCAATCTTGAAAGAATTCGTCACCTATCCGTTGATTTTGGTGGGGGACTGTACAATGAAGTATGTCAAGTTCCAACTCTCTTAGCTAAAGCAACAAGACTGCGAACATTTCTCATCATAAATGTATTGTTTGTTGGCACTTTCGACAACAGTTGTGGGAAAATATTTCCAAAGATGATCAGACTTAGAGTGCTCCGTCTAAAAAATGTGACAATGGAGATTCTCTCGTCTATTGTCCATGAATTGAAACATCTCAGGTACCTTGATTGTTCCGGGCACAAAATGGAGGTACTTCCAAATGAAATCTCAAGATTGGTACACTTGCAAGTGCTCAATCTGTTTCGTTGTGTAAACCTTCGGCTACTACCGACAGACATCGGGAAGTTGTACAACCTTGTGTATCTTGAACTTTTTGGCTGCAGGAATTTGACAGGCATACCAGCCGGGTTCGGGAACCTCTCCTTCCTTAGAGAATTTCGTGTATCAGAAGAGACCAAAGCTGCTGTAGGCGGCTCCTCGCGAGCAGTTGATCTTGGCGAACTGAAGAGGTTGAACAACCTAACTGGTGCGTTGATTATTGAACGGCTGGATCGGGTGAAGGATAAATCCGAAGCAGAGACAGCCAATCTGAAAGAGAAATCGAGACTTCGACGGTTGCATCTAATGTGGGGTGAAGGTATGACTGCCAGAGCAAGAGATGACAATGATAGTGATAGAATATCGGGTCTTGATTTGTCAGTATTGGAGGCCTTACAGCCACATCCAAACTTAAAGGAGATACAGTTATCGTACTACGGGGGGGCGAGTATCTCAACAAGAAGCTGTTGGTTCTCTTCTCTCAGGAATCTGGTCAGTATCACGCTTTATGGGTGTACGGAACTGCGAAGTCTGCCATCTTTGGATCCTTTTGTTTCTCTTGAAGAATTAGAGTTGCGGATTTTATGTAGCTTGGAGTACGTGCAGACTGTAGCATCATCATCACCTTCTACTCATGTATCTTCAAACAATCACTTGGAAATTCTGCCCTCACTCAAGTCTGTCGTGATCACGAACTGCGAAAACCTAGTAGGATGGTCCCCCACAAATACAGGAGAGTCGCCTCTGCTACCTCGGGTTTCCAACCTGCAGATCATATCGTGCCCGCAAATGGTATCCGTCCCGCGTTTTCGGGTAAACTTCGAGAAGGTTGAGTTGACGGCTGTGAGCAGTGAGTTGTTGAGTGCATTCGCTGCCTCTCTAATCTCTCCACCGCGCTCTAGGTTTCGTGAGTTGCATCTCATCTTGATGAAAGATCAAAGGTTGTTTGCAGGACCTACTTTATCTCTATCAATTTTTCGACAACTCCATTCCCTCCAGGAGCTCTGTATTGCAAATTGTGAAGTTTTGGAACTGGAGGACTACGATTGTGGCGGTGGTGATGAACGGGATGATGAGCACGACAACATGCCACCGCCGTGTGTCCTTCCAAGCCTCCGTCGCTTGGTTTTCGAGGAAGTTGATTTGGTGACTCTACCAAAGTGGATTCAGCATTCCTCAAATTTGCAGCAGCTGGAGCTACTATGGTGTGACAAGCTCAGGTGCTTACCAGGTTGGCTCACAAAGCTAACCGCCTTGGAGTCTTTGCAAGTACGGTTTTGTGGTATTCTGTCTGGGAGATGTAGAAGCAGCACAGATGAGGACTGGCCCATCGTTTCTCACATCCCAAACATCGAAGTTGATGGTAGAGCTGTCCAACAGGACAGCCGCTATTTGGGAATGAAAGAAGAGAAAGAGGAAGAGGAAGAAGGGGAAGGAGAACAACACCAGCAAGAAGAACACCACCAAAGTTGTTATTTTGGAATGGTAGAAGAAAAAGGAGAACAACATCAACAAGAAGAAGAGCAACAACATCAAGAAGAAGAAGCATCCTCACACACCCTACTTTCAAGGTATTTTGCTTGCAGTTATCCCTTTTCTTGAACTCATTACCTTTCTTTGGATCATCTTTACTCATAGTATGGAAGCATAGTTAGAATGATTATAACTGCATTTCCTTTTTTCTGTATGAACCTGCAGCAGGCTATTACAAAATTGCTTTGCAAGGATGACCTGCAACCTATTCCAGAAATGTTTTCTCCCTTGACTACCCGACACTAATGCGCCTTTACACTGTCACTCCCGGTACCAACGTTTCCTGGAAACCGATTGTTCGAATAGAGGTACCCATTTATCCAGCATCTGCAGCAGCTTCGTCCAGGTACTCATTACTCGTTACAATGTCATTTGCTACATTTGAAAGACTCTTCTCTTCCTGCAACTCCTCTTTTTTATTTGAGATAGTGAGTGGGTTTCTCATTTCTCTGCAGTCTTCGTGTTCCAAATATCCTAAGCTTAGCTTCTGATGGTGCTATGACGGGCAGCAACAATACCTTTGTCCTGTTGTTTTCTTAAGACTGGAAACTTGGGACCCAAGCTTCTTCAAAGTCATATATAATTCAGCAATAAGATTGTTGAGTTCAGAACAACACTACAACAACACTCTCCCCAACCACTGGTAATCACTTGGAGTGTTTACCTTTTTTCCTAGCTTATCTTCTCTCCCATTGCATCCCTGCTTACTAGCCCTACTGCCTCCCTTAATCAAGTGAACACCATACAGGCATGCATACATCTGTTTTCTTGCCAAGATGACACAAAGAGAGACAGTCCTGTTATATATTCTCTCGATTTCTTCATGCGGCGCGTCTTCTAATATTGTGTATCCCATCTCATTTCTCTTGTGGTGGGTTGGTTGGTTGGTTAGTTTGTTTGCTGAACCAAGAGAAGGAAGGATGCTGCCAAACCTTGGTTGAACAATTCTGGTGTTAGGAGGAAGGACAAAAGATCAGCAGCAGCATCACTACTCCTCCTTTGTTTCCAGCTGAAACTTGAAAGTGATGGTGAACAGAGATGTTGATGTGAGAAAATTAAGAAGAGATAGAAAGGTTAAGGAAATCGTAGCTCAGCTCTCATACCATGTAAATCCGAAAAATTATTAAAATTCAGATCAATACTCCTTTCCCATTTATAGATGATTCATAAACGTTACCCGGACTAATTGTAATCAAACAATATACCGACGATAGAGCAATTATTATATGATAATAATGAGTCATCTACCTGTATTTTGAGATTAAGATGTATTCCTTGGGGCAAGGTGAATTTGTATTTTAGGTGACACAATAATTTGATCATTTGATCAGTAATCTTAATGGCTTGTATTTTAGGCTAATACAGTCATACAGATCCTCGCCATTCTTCGCGCCGGCGGCCACCTGTGGGCAGTGGGAACGGTGAGTGGCCGTCAATTCATGATTGGGCTCATGGCCCGTCATCAAAACCAAACAATTTACAGTGTGGAAGCCCAAATCTTTAGAATTTATAGCCTGGCCCATTAATGCCACTGAATCTGCTTTCCCGAGTTTCTCCAGGTGGTTTCTTACGATCATGATTTTATTTTATTTTTTTTAACTCTAACCTCCTCTGCTCTTCCCCTTCTATTCTATCTCCACCAAAACCCCTTTCCCGTTCTTCTCCTTCGACGGCAGATTCTGCTGCCTAGCCAGAACCATTGCCACATGTGATATCAAGGTAGCCGACTATGCAATCTGATCCCGTTTCCGGTGACGAGAAGTTACTCTGGCTGGCGGCAGCTAGGGGTTGCCACGGCGGAGGAAGATTAAGAGCACCGAGTCGGAGCTCAATACCGTGGCCTGAAGGATGATGATACCCGACCCGAGAGGCGGCTCCGAGAGGGGATTGAGGCTTGGCGCTTGCAGTTCTGCCACTGCGGCGGGTGAATTTAGCGGACAAAGGATTTATTGGGTCTGGTTAATTATGAAGGTTCCGCCGGTGAAAACCCAAATGGCTGCAGGTTTGTTTATCAATTATACTCCTCCTCTCTTTCCCTGCCCTATGCTCCCATTTGCTAATTTCTTTCATATAGTATTGGCCTCTTCCACTCCCCATCACGAGAAGTAAGCAAGGTGCCATGTTTTGATCGTTGACCCATGTCTCAGTCGTCATACAGATCCACATCTATCTAAGTATTGCCTTCTCCTTTCCTCCACAGCAAACATCCGATCTCTTTTCTTGCACCTGTCCCTTGCAACAGAAAAATGGCAGCTGCTCTCGCTGGGTATGTCCTCAATAAGTTGGCTTCGCTAGCCGCTGATCAAGCAAGCCTCCTTTTGGGTCTCGGAAGCGAGATTCAGAAACTTGAAAGCACGGTGTCCAGCATCCAAGCTGTACTTCTGGATGCAGAGGAGCAATCTAGTAAGAGTCATCAGGTCCAGCTATGGCTGCGAGGGCTGGAAGAGGCCCTTTATGATGCCGAAGACTTGTTGGATGATTTCTCTACAGAGGTTCTCCAAAGGAAACAAATGGATGGCAATAGCTATGTGAATGAGGTATTCTGCTTCTTTTCTCCATCCAATCAAGTTGCTTATGGATTGAAAATTGCTCATCAAATTAAGGCTATCCGGAGCAAGTTAGATGAGATTGATCAGGATAGGAAGCAGTTCAATTTTCAGACGGGTCCTGTGGAGTCAGATGCTGCTAGCCAGGATTGGAGGCAAACTCACTCCTCTGTCCCTGATGTTGTTGTTGGGAGAGAAGAAGATAAGCAGATAATAATAGACATGTTATTGTCTTCTGATTACAAGGAGAAAGTTGCAATCGTTCCCATTGTTGGAATCGGGGGCTTGGGGAAGACAACATTGGCGCAACTCGTGTACAACGACGACCAAATCAAATCTCGTTTCGATTGTGCAGTCTGGGTTTGCGTTTCTGAAACTTTCGAGCCTACTGTTTTGGTTAAAAGTATTTTGGAGTCCATAATCAAGGACAAGGTGAAAGACCTTCCCTTGAACGTACTGAAGGATCTTCTTCATGAGAAAATAAAAAACAAATCACTGTTGTTGGTTTTGGATGATGTTTGGAATGAGGACAGAGAGAAGTGGACTACCTTCAAGAATTTATTTGCAAGTGGTGCAGAGGAAGGTAGCAGGATAATAATAACCACGCGTCTCCCAATGATTGCCGAGATGACAGCAACCGAGAAGATTGAGCCCCATGTGTTGGAAGGTTTGTCTGAGCCTGAGTCGTGGTCTTTGTTCCAGATGGTGGCTTTTAAAGGAGGGGTAGCGCAAGGTCGAAGATATGAGGACATAGGGAAAGAGGTTGTGAGGAAATGTCGGGGAGTGCCTTTAGCCCTCAGATCGATGGGAGGAGTTTTATTCTTCAAGAAGACCGAGTCTGAGTGGGAAACAGTAAGTAGAAGGCAATTGTTGAACCCAGGTTCCGATCAACAGGAGGCCGACGTTTTAAAAACTACTCTTAAGTTGAGTTATGATAACTTGCCTTCTCATTTGAAGCGATGTTTCGTCTACTGCAGCTTGTTTCCAAAAGATCATGAAATCAACGTGAAAATGTTGATACAGCTTTGGATGGCCCAAGGCTACGTGTCCAAGTGCGACGAGTTTTCATTACTTGAAGAAGTCGGAATGGAACATTTTGAGAATCTGCTGTGGAGGTCCTTCTTTCAGGAGGTGACAAAGGATGCATATGGAAACATCAAGTCGTGTAAAATGCATGATTTAATGCACGACCTCGCTGTCGAAGTTGCAGGAGAAGAGACCGTTTGCTTGAATGCTTCAGATCTCACAGACGACTTTCTCATCAACAATGTCAATCTTGAAAAAATTCGGCACCTATCCGTCGATTTCGATAAGAGATGGTACGATAAAGCATGGCAAGTTCCAACTGTCTTGGCTAAAGCAACAAGGCTCCGAACGTTCCTTATCACACGTGTATTCTTCAGTAGTGCTCTTGAGAAAGGTTGTGAGAAAATCTTTCCGGAAATGATTAGACTTAGAGTGCTTGGTCTGAGATGCGTGACAACGGAGAGACTCTCGTCTACTGTCCATGAATTGAAACATCTTAGGTACCTTGATCTTTCTAGGAACAAGATGGAGATGCTTCCAAATGAGATTTCAAGATTGGTGAACTTGCAAGTGCTCAATCTTTCATGGTGTCCAAACCTTCTGCTACTACCGACAGACATTGGGAAGTTGTACAACCTCGTGTGTCTTGACCTAGATGCTTGCTGGAGTTTGACGTGCTTACCAGCCGGGATTGGGAACCTCTCCTCCCTTGGAGGATTGCCTAAATTCATTGTGGCGGCTGAAGCAGCCGCAGACGGCTCCTCGCAAGCAGCTGGTCTTGGTGAATTGAAGAGATTGAACAACCTAAGTGGAGAGTTGAGTATTACAGGCTTGGGGCTGGTGAAGGATAAATCCGAAGCAGAGGCTGCCAATTTAAAGGAGAAATCAAGACTTCGACGGTTGCATCTACGGTGGGGTTCTGAATCCGGTAGAAGATCGGATCTTGATGGGTCGGTATTGGAGGCGTTACAACCACATCCAAGTTTACAGGAGATAAGGCTGTCGTGTTATTGGGGGACGAGTATCCCAACAAGAAGCTGTTGGTTCTCTTCTCTTAGGAATCTGGTTCGAATCGAGCTTTATCAGTGTACGGAACTGCGAAGTCTGCCATCCTTGGATCCTTTTGTTTCTCTCGAAGAATTAAAGTTGGATGATTTAAGCAGCTTACAGTACGTACAGAACGAGACAGTAGCATCATCATCACCTTCTTCTTCTTCTACTTTAAACAATGACTTGGAATTTCTGCCCTCCCTCAAGTCTCTCGTAATTGAGGATTGCCACAACCTACTGGGATGGTCTCCCACAAAAACAGAAGAGTCGCCTCTGCTACCTCGGGTTTCCACCCTGCTGATCAAATGGTGCCCGAAAATGGTATCCGTCCCGCATTTTCGGGTCAACTTTGAGAAGGTTGAGTTGAAGGGTGTGAGCAGTGAGCTGTTGAGTGGATTTGGTACCTCTCTGATCTCTCCACCGCACTCTAGGTTTCATGAATTGCGTCTCGGAAGCGTGAATTATCTGCCTCAAAGGTTGTTTGCACAACTTACTTCCCTCGAGAGGCTATACATATCCAATTCTGCTTTATCTTCATACATTCTTGGACAACAACTCCCTTCCCTCCAGGAGTTCCATATTCAAGATTGTAAAGTTTATGAACCGGAGGACTGCGATTATGAGCACAATGACATGCCACCGCCGTGTGTCATTCCAATCCTCCGTCGCTTGGTTTTGGAGGATATGAATTTGGTGACTCTACCAAAGTGGATTAAGCATTCCTCGAATTTGCAGCAGCTGGAGATAAAATCGAGTCAGGAGCTCAAGTGCTTGCCAAGTTGGCTCACAAAGCTAACAGCCTTGGAGTCTTTGGAAGTATGGAGATGTGGTTTTCTATCTGTGAGATGCAGAAGCAACACAGGTGAGGACTGGCCCATCGTTTCTCACATTCCAAACATCCAAGTTGATGGTAGAGTTGTCCAACAGAACGGCCGCTATTTGGGAATAGAAGAAGAGGAAGAGGAAGAGGAAGAGGAAGAGGAAGAAGAAGAAGAAGAAGAAGAAGAACCACAAGCAGCATCTTCACACACCCTGATCTCAAGGTACTTTGATTTAACTAGTTAAGTTATGGTGTGTGCAGCAGTTGTCACTTTTCTTTAATTCATTACCTTTCTTTCGATCACCTTTCCTCGGCGGAGTCTAGTCTTCTTATCGAGATGAGCATGAGTGGTCAAGCCCTGCAATGAGATCATGCGCCCTAAGCCTGGGCTACTTTTGTGTGTTCCGATCCTTCCAGTGAGAGCTTACTCCGCTGTTCGTGGTGGAGTAAGGGCTTAGGATTAGGGGTAAGGGCATGCCTTAAGGCAGCTCGTGACCCAGGGTAGGCGCATTAGACTGAAGTCGTTTTTGTTTTGGCATTTGTAGCCGAACCACAGCTCTAAAACTTTGGAAGCTTAGTTAGAATGAGTATAAACTGCTTTTTTTTTTTTTTTTTTCTATATGAACCTGTAGCAGGCTGTTACAAAACTGCTTTGCAAGGATGACCTGCAACCTATTCCAGAGATGTTTTATCTCTTAACTACCCGACACTAATGCTCCTTCACATTGTCACTCCCGAGTATCAAAGTTTCCACAAAACTGATAGTTCAAAGAGAGGTACTCATTTATCCAGCATCTGCAGAAGCCTTGTCCAGGTACTCATGTTACAATTGTCATTTGCTACATTTGAAAGGCTCTTCTCTTCCTGCAACTCCTCTTTTTTTATTTAAGATAGTGAGTGGATTTCTCGTTCCTCTGCAGTTTTCAAGCCCCAAATATCCTTAGCTTTGCTTCTGATGGTGCAATGACAGGCAGCAGCAATACCTTTGTACTGTTGTTGTTTTTTTAAGACTGGAGACTTGGGACCCAAGCTTCTTCAAGGTCATATATAATTCAACAATAAGATTGTTGAGTTAAGAACAACACTCTCCTCAACCACTGGTAACCACTTAAGGCCCACGAAAATCAATCTCATTTCTGGCCAACAAAGATGTCAAAGAACTAACTCTTACCTTATGAAGCCTTTTTCACAGCGTTTTCTTGAGAGACAATGATTGATTCACCATAGCAGCCAGTTTTCAATTTTTCATGCCACTGGTTTTGTTGCCACATTTACACGCCACATCATTTTATTGGGACTATTCAACTTATACAATCACCATTATCACACACCCTTAACTGCCCTCGAGTTTCACAGTTTGGGAAATGATGCCAGCGGGTTGGCCCATGTTCTTTCATGTTCATAGGGAAATTAACAACTTTGGGGTGACTGGGAAATTAGCTGCAGAAACAGAGCACTTCTATGTAACTGATCGACCCCATCCTTTTTACAGTTTTACTGAGGAGCTACTACTCACTGCAGACACTGATCCCCAAAGGCCAAAACTTACCATTAACAGTGGATGGTGATAAATTGCAATGGATGGAGAGCATCATCCAGCATTCAATGGCTGCCACCCATAAATGGGGGGAAAACAGGGTGTTAGAGATTCATGACCGTTACCACCACCCAATTTATTACAGTGCTCTGTAAAACTTCAGGGGAAAAACAGGGGATTGTGCAATGTGCACATGCAATGTCTTTGTCCTGTTCGTTTATCGATTTCGAGCAGTACTGTTTTGTAAGTTGAAACTTTTCCCTCGGCGCGACAGCAGGAAGTACATGTTCCGGTGGTTGACCCCTCCTTTGTTTCCAGCTGAAACTTGAAAGAGATGGTGAACAGAGATGTTGATGTGAGAAAATTAAGAAGAGATAGAAAGGTTAAAGGAAATCGTAGCTCAGCTTTGATACCGTGTAAATCCAACAAATTATTGAAATTCATATCGATACCCCTTTCCCATTTATAGATGATTCATAAATGTTAAGCCAACTAATTGTAATCAAACAATATAACGACGGTAGAGCAATTATTATACGATAATAATGAGTTCAAGTCTTATCCATTCCTTGCCAATCTCTTAAACTTTTTCTCCTCCTCTTTAGATATAGTGAATTAGTAGTGACCATGAAAACAAGCAAAGCAAACTACAAGCACATGTTGCACCAGAGACAAAGTAATAGTGACACGGTGAAAAGTAAAACGTATAATAAGTGCTTGTAATATTATATCGTATTACTAGGTGTAAAATAACCAAACAAATACGATTTTTTTTTTTATCACAATGTTGTTGTCTGTCTTGTAACTATACTTTGCACCATTAACCTAATCGTTAAGCTAATGGATTACCAAGCACATAATATACGAAAAAATCAGTCGGAGCAAAGCAAATTACAAATCTATACACGAAACAGTAAATGCATCCCTTCCCTTCCAAATGTTTCTTCAAATTCATTGGTGGAAACAGAAATGAATCTTGATCGACAAATGAAAATTAGTTAGGGGTTTTGCTTCTTGTGATTGATGCTGCCTCTGATATAAATGCATTTATTGGTGACGAATGCAAAGATGATAATGAAGGCGCCAACTGGTAGTTTAAAGGGCTAATTCAGTACTGGTATGATTGTCCTCAGAATGTTGACAGTAACAACAACCGGTAAAAAAAAAAACCCTTCTGATGTGGAAGTTTTCCCAAACTGGATGGAATCGAACCTTTGCAGTCAGAATCGAACCAAACCCGACAGGGGAATGGGTTTGATTTGAAAATCTGAACCTCCAAGTGGGACCTGGCTTGCCCTTTCTAGCCTGCAAGCTCCATTGATTGATTGTCTAGTCCCGTGTTTAAGGTATGAATTAGACGAACCATCTGAAAAACGTAACCTTCTCCAAAACAGAGGAAATTAAAGATTCTTGCCTGGCCAGCGACGATTCAAATTTCAATTCCCTGTGACAAATTTCAATACCTTCTTCTTTCTTGGGATAAGATAAACACCACGCCACCATCTCCCCCTCTTCAATATTTCACGCGAATGTGACCCTCCTCTGCCCATCAATGGCGCGCCCAGTAACAGAGGTAAAAACTAGCTAATTACCTTTTTCCCCCCTCCCCTGCTTCTTCTTTCTTCCCAACAGAAGCAAAGTTAGAATCTTTAGCTGGATTTCATTTCTGGGTCTTGTCTGGGAAATCCTTCGCTTGTGTGATTTCAGTGAAAAATGGTTACCTTTTCCCCCCTGTTGACGGAAATCCGTTGTGCATACGGATTCGTGTGCTCTACTCTGCTCTTGAGATTGATTTCCTCTGCATGTCCTTTTATGCTTCCCCCCAATTGATAGGGCAACGAGCAATCATGGAGCTCGAGTGGGTGGCCGCTTGGGCTGCAAATCATGAACTTGAGACTTCGAGTGATGGAGATCAGCAGAAATCAGACCAGCCGTCGTCTTCCGCCGTCGTCCAGCTTCTCCTCTCTGTCTTCCTCAAATCTCGACACCGAGGTACCAAAAATCAAAATCGAATCGGGTCGATGGGTGCTATCTCATGGTTGCATTGGATTTTACCACTGATCTGCTGGTCATTTCATTTTGTCCTTCTTTTGGTGCAGTCTACGGCGTCTTTCTTCCAAGACAACAGCGTGTCCCTGGGGAGGCTAATTGGGTTCCGGCAAGCTGTCCCAAGAAGGACGGGCGTAGCTGCGGCGGCGGCGACGGGGGCGGGAGATGGGTGTGGAGAAGGATCAAGAGGAGATGGGAGAGTAGGAATTATGTCGGCGGCGGCGGAGGGAAAAGGAGGGATCTGCATTCCTTTGATACTAAGTACTATTGAGAAGATCAGAAGATCCAAGGAGAGAGGTCGAGTTAGTTGATTTCTTGTTCTTTGTTCATGCTTTGTGGTCTGTTCGTGCTGTTGTGGAAAAGAACTGAAGGGTGTATGAGTTTTGTTTGATTCAATTGGCGCCATATTTGGTTTGAGATTAGAATGATTCGATTTACATTGAGAAGAAATCCGCTAGAGAATCGCCATGGTTGCTGCTGGTAATGCGATCCCTAGTTGAAGGAGAAGAAGTAAATCCATTTGCATTACGGATTTCTTATTCACATTTCTGACTCAATCTGAATGCTCATCGATCCCTCATCAACCACGGCAAAACTGAAACGCCGTCGTTTTGGGACATACACCTTAAACCACTCAAAGAGTCTGTCGCTGGCCTCTGTTTTCCAAAACCTAAACCTTTGAAATCGCCATGTCCGCCACCGCAGCCGCCAGGTCAGTCCTCCGTTTCTCCTCCGTCAGGCCAGCCACCGCACGGCGATTGCCCTCCAAAACTAGGCCGGCGTTCTTCGCTGTCCCCACCGCGAGGAGAATCCCTCCTCCTTCTCTTCGTATTTCCAGGTAATTTGATTGATAAGATATTCTTCTCGCCGTCGGACTCCGACTGTTATGTGAGTCAGTTTTCTGGTGAATTGATGAACTTCTCAACTTAGGTCGATGAGCTGTTTGGTTGACACATTGCTTCCGTATCACTCCGCCAACGCCTCCGCATTGATCAATTCGAAGCTCTCCGTCTCTTGCTGCGCTTATGTCTGGAATCTCGATGGTAATGAAGCCTTCCCATATTTTGCTTGAGAATTAGAACCCTAGAGTTACTTTGTTATGAACTGGTAATTTGATTGATTGATTGATGTTTGCGTATAGAACGACTACTGAATCCTAGCCTGTCCATGAATGCTCGAGTCTAGGGTTTCCGTAGTCTGCAGTTTCCAGAGTTATCAAATGAAATGTTTGGCTTATGCCTTGTTGCAACAATCCTTTTGCGATCTCGATATCGTGGTGGTTCTGTAAATAACAGCATTGTACAGCATGCTACAATGTATATCGTGCCTCGTAGGCAATTGATCTTCTATTGGTTACCAATTTGCTCAAGAGTAAGATCGCGCCATTGCCTCGTGTCGAGATTCTTGTGATGGATTGGATGGATTAGATGTCTGTGTTTCTATGTTTGTATGTGCTTCCTGGCATTTAGGGGTTTCATGCTGGATTTGCAGAGCAATACTGAGTTTGCATTACATGTGGCCTTCATTTTAGATAATAGATAATTAGCAGGTCAATACTGATGCCTTGTGTGGTGTCTGTGTTCTTTTCTGCAGATGGATGATTGGCTCAACGGGATAGAGACTCCGGTAATACCGACATCATTTAACTTTCCGATGGGTGTAATGAGTTGTTGTTGAAGACATTTCAGTCATTGAATGACCAAATCCAATTATTCGAAGTTCATACATTTCTACGGTTCACTATGCTTTTCCAACTAGAATTGGAGTTTTGGAGCAACTAAAAGTTATAATACGTGGTGCTGATGAAACTTGGACTGCTTGTATTCATTCTCCCGTGAGAGGGAAGGAATTACGATTTACTCGTCCTCGTGTCGAGGCATTATAGAACAAGCCATTGTGCTAGCTATACGTCCATGACTTGTTGTCTTCCTGCAGTTCTGGGAACTGCACTGCAAGCCTAGTTTTCATATTTCCACAGCATGCGACTGTCTTCTGTCAAGTTTCTCATGCTTCTCTCTCACAACGACTATGCCGGTCCCTTTCTTTTGCTATTAGCTGGACAGTCTTTGCTCTCGGTTTAGCGACCTTGCTAACACTAGTTTGGAGACTGTAGGACGCTGCAATTCAGGTTGTTTAACAAAACTTAACCGATCTGAAAAATACTTCCGTTGGGTCAAGACCGAGCCAAGATGTTATTCAATTCGGATTTGATCACATCACTACACAGTACTTCGATTTCAGCTGGATGATGATCCTAGTTATAACAAGTGAATCGAAGTCTCGGTTACAAGCACTATTCTAATAAAACGATGATGAGTACTACTACGATGCACACGATAAGAACGCTGTGCAACAGAGAGAGAAAATACAAAATACCAGAAACAGTTACACAGCTACTTCAATCGTAGAACGCCAGAGATGATCAGCTAAACAATAGATGAATCTACTATTAACAGTTCTAACACCAAATGTTTCGAGCTCCAAGACAATGGCTGGACATGAGAAAGCAAGTGAATAGCAACTTACACAAACAAACCATCTCAGTGGTGCTGAAATAAGGTCCAACAAGAACATCCTAGAAAAAGAAAAGGAAGAGGTTAAGCTTGAGATAGCAGAGAGACTGAACCAATTTCAGGGAGGTTCCATATACCAAACCCGTAAAGAGTCGTAGCATTACCATCCCACGACACAATGTAGGAAAACTAAAAACTTTGATGGACTCTGAAGACTTGCATAACTCCATTTAAAGCACCACTTAAGCAATACCCCCCAGAAGAAACATAAAAAAAAAAATCCGACCCTAACAAACACCACCACCACAAAAGCATCCGCTCTACTCATCTGCAGCAACCGCATCTGCAGCAACCGTCACCAGTTCATACTCCACCAGCGACATATTGTTATCCTCTTTTACCACGAAATTAGCAGGCTCAGTGACTTCGATGCGACCCCACTTGTCAACAGCTAGCCTCATGGAACCCTTGAACATGTCAATCTTCGAGTTTCGGATTATGATAGTGGTTTCAGGCTTCACCAAGTCGACTGCAGCAGGAACCCAAAGCAGAGATCAGTTAGTGAAATGAGACTGCAAATCGGGACATCAATAGCAAAAGCATCCAATAGCTAGAGGAGCAAAATGAAAACACAGACAAAGAATGAACTCGCCACCCTAAAATCTCAAACAGACCGATAGAGAAACATGCTATTCAGATTGGTAAAAAAAAAAAGGCAAGAATCCAACCGTTACACTTCATTGCTTGGTAACAAATTTACAGCGAAAGAGGCAGTAATTCGTAAGATGCTAGTCTCTAGCAGCAATGATACACACAGACCAACATAGTGCACATAGGGAAAGCAATGAGAAATTAAATAATGCCTCAAGTCTGCCAATTATCTAACCTCAGACCTAAGTACGCCTCATATCCCCATTAACACACATTTAAACTGCAAAACCAACATTCCTCAACAACTTAAAAACAGAAACTGGCATCAGTAATGATTAATGAGCCATGGGAGCTCAGCTCATCGGAAGAGAGAGGTCACCACAAACAACATAATAGGAATGAACATCAATAGCCAGGCCAACCAACATTTCAGGACCTAGAAACTCCCTTCAGCAAACAGATCCCCCCAAAACCAACCTCCAATCATTCCAAATACCATCAAAGACGAGAGGAAAAGGGAGGGAAAAGACAGACCTTGCTCATTACGAGCGGTGAGGAGGATAGTCCCTGTCTCGTCGCCGACGAGGCACTCGGCGATGCGAGTGTTGCGGAGGCGCTGAGACGCCGCCCGACCCTTCTGCAAGACGGTGTTGGACGACAAGACCTTGACGATCAGGTTGTTGTTCTGGGTCCCCGGCTTCAGCTGGTCGACTTTCACGAACACCGGCTTCTTCTTCTCCACCACCACCCCCGCGCTCTGCTGCTGATTCGAGCTCGCGACTGTCGCCATTTGATTCGATATGCGATTGATTCGGAGGTTCTTCGTTATCCGGGAACACGAAGCTTGCTAGCCAGCAAGCGAAGAAGTGTCGCCTTTTGGGAAAGGAAAGGAAAACCCTAGATGGGTGGAAGGAAGATGAGATGGCAGAGTTTTTTTTTTTTGCCGATTGATATTTCTCTCTTCTCTCTCCTCTCTCCTCTCTCTCTCTCTCTCTCTCTTCCCAAATTCGGGTGCTACTCTTCTGGCACCAACCCGTGCGTTTCGCTCCCAATTTCTTGAGTTTCCATTTTCCAATTTTAACTGCCCTTCCCACTATCCTACGTCGTCGTTTTAAGTGGTGGCATTACTACATAAAACGGTGTCGTATCTGCGTGATGAAAGACAAGGCTCGCTTTAATATGGCAAGAACATTAACACAACAGAAAGGATAAGGAGGCCCATTTGTTGTTCATGTTTCAAAACTGGAGGACATAGTCACAAAGATGATCAACTGAACACAGAGCACTCTTACTATCAACAGCTTTAACACCAAAGAGGCTTAAGCTCAGCTAATTAAATTTACCAGATGCTGAAACCTGCATTAGGGAGGTCCAGAATACCAAAACCATGCTCCGAAACAAGATCGATACACTCCCAATAGCATTTACCACCTCAGGACAACAAATGAAAGAGAGAACCCAAAAAAAACTATTGATCCTGCCTCTAGAGATTTGATATACTCCCTCCTAAGATGAACATCGCCACCACCGTGAAAACAATCCGCTCTACTCATCTGCAGCAACAGTCACGAGTTCGTACTCCACGAGCGACAGGTTGTTGTCCTCTTTTACCGCGAAGTTAGCAGGTTCCGTGACTTGGATGCGACCCCATATGTCTACAGCCAGCCTCATGGATCCCTTGAACATGTCGATCTTTGCGTTCCGGATTATGATCGTGGTACCGGGCTTCACCAAGTCAACTGTGCAGCAGGAACACCAGAGCAAAGACACAATTTGTAAGGAATAAACAATCAAGAGATGAATCTTTGCGCAATAAAGGCTACAGCTGGAGGATCAGAACCAAAACAATACAAAGATTGATGAGAAAGTGAAATGCGAGTATGAGGGAACAAGCAGTAGTTTATTAGATTCCAACGGGCAACGGTCTAGCAACTACAGTCACTGTGATTAGGTAATGTGCAGAGAGAAACACACTTTTAAGCCTAGAATCTGGAAATTGTCTAAACTAAACCCTAAAATTTCAGCAGGCCATGAATTACAGGAGACAGGGCTATGTAGAATGGCCAAATTTTCCCAGCCACTTAAATAGAACTCACAAGGAATGGACACTCATCACCATCAAGGAATGAATATCATCAATCGTTAGAACATCAAAATTCCCATAATGAGAAATTCAATTCACCTTTCAAAAACAGAGTCTCAAAGCCCCCTAACGAAAGAAATCCCCACAATTCCGAATATCAAACGAACAGAAAGAATAAAGGAGGGACAACAGACCTTGCTCATTGCGAGCTGTGAGGAGGATAGTTCCCGTCTCGTCGCCGACGAGGCACTCGGCGATGCGAGTGTTGCGGAGGCGCTGAGACGCTGCTACTGCCGCTGGCCGGGGACCCTTCTCGAGGACGGTGTCGAAGGACAAGACCTTGACGATCAGGTTGTGGTTTTTAGTCCCTGGCTTCAGGTGGTCGACTTTCACGAACACCGGCTTCCGCTTCACCACCGCCGCCGCCGCCGCCGCCGGCTGCCTCTGCTTCTGCTGCCGATTCGAGTTCGCCGTCGCCATAGATCCCCGTGGGAGGAATCGAAAACCCTAGACGGAGGGAAGGTGGCGATTGAGCTTCGGGTTCTCTATCTCTCACACTCTCTTCCCAAATTCGGTGCTCCCTCCCCGGCAACAATGAACAAACTCGTGTAGGTTTCGCTGCTATTTCTCGCTCACTCCAATTTTAACTGCGTTTTCCACACTTCGTACGACGCCGTTTCACGTGCTGGCTTCCGGGTGAAAGACGGGCCGTGTTGTGGACCTATGAGATTGGACTAGGCCTCTTTACAGTGTGGTTCTTTTGGGCTTTCCTAGCCCAACTATAAAAATAAGAGCCCGCTTTCCCGTCCGCCAAGATGGACGATGAACTTCTGCCTCCTCCGTTACCTCCGACGGAAATCCCTTCACCGGCGTTCTTCCCTGGCTTCTAACCCCTTTGATCTCAGTCTCCCCTCTATCTCCATACCTAAAGTTGTAAACTTTTCACACACGGCAACAGCGATCAGCCAGTACCCGCAAAAATTCACATCCTTCCCTCCTGGACTCTCTCTCTCATCCATCTCCGAGCGCTGCTCCAGACTTCTATCGCTATGTACTGCTTCAAAGTCGTTAGCTCCTGCCATGGAAGTTCACACCCATTTGATCAAATTCGGCCTCCATCAAGACGCAAGGCTGAGAAACCTCGTGGTTAACGTCTACTCAAAGTGCAGGTGCTTCGGCTACGCGCGCAAGCTGCTCGACGAAAGTCCTGAACCAGACTTAGTATCCTGGTCCGCCTTGATTTCAGGGTATTCGCAGAATGGGTTAGGCCGGGAGGCGATTTCGGCCTTCCGGGAGATGCATTCGCTCGGGGTTAAGTGTAACGAGTTCGCTTTCCCCAGTGTGTTCAAGGCTTGTATTCTCACGAATGATTTTAGCCTAGGGAGGCAGGTCCATGGAACGGTGGTCGTCACAGGGTTCGAGAACGACGAGTTCGTTTTGAACAGCATGGTCGTTCTGTATGCAAAATGTGGGGAGATTGCCGAATCGACGAGGATCTTTGATGCAATCCCACGCAGGACTGTTGTCTCTTGGAATGCTTTGCTCAACTGCTATGTGCAGCGTGATTCGTTTGGGGAGGCGGTGGAGTTGTTTCAGGACATGATTGTGACCCAAACGCGGCCTAACGAGTTCACATTGTCGACTATGATAAACGCCTGCACTGGCCTGGAGGACGGTAGGAACGGAAGGAAAATTCACGGGTACTTGATAAAGCTTGGTTATGACTTGGATTTATTCTCTGCAAATGCTCTTGTTGACATGTATGCAAAACTAGGATCTTTAAAAGATTCCTTGAGTGTCTTCAATGGAACAGCAAAACCTGACATTGTTTCATGGAATGCTGTTATTGCTGGTTGTGTGCTTCTTGAGTCTCACGATTGTGCCTTGGAGTTGTTTAGGCAGATGAACAACGAGTCTGGTATTTCCCCAAATACATTTACCTTGTCTAGCGCTCTCAAAGCTTGCGCTGGAGCTGGAAATAGAGAACTTGGAAGACAATTGCATGCGTATTTGATAAGGAGGGATTTAGGATCAGATGCATTTTTAGGTGTTGGGCTTGTGGATTTATATTCAAAGAGTGGCTACATGGTTGATGCAAGGTTAGTTTTTAACTTAATTCCTGAAAAAGACTTGATTTCTTGGAATGCTGTCATCTCTGGACATTCACAGAACGGAGAAGATGTAGAAGCTGTTTCTCTTTTCCCTTTGATGTACGGGGAAGGAGTAGGAGTCAATCAGACAACTTTATCAACTGTTCTCAAATCCACTGCTAGCTTGCAGGCCAACTGGATTTGCAGGCAAATACATGCACTTTCTCTGAAATCTGGCTTTGGATCTGATAATTATATAGTGAACAGTTTCATTGATGCTTATGGGAAATGTGGACGGACAGAAGATGCATCTAAGGTATTTAGAGAAAGTCAAACTTCAGATTTGTTGGCTTTCACTTCTATGATAACAGCTTATTCTCAAGATGGGCAAGGTGAAGAGGCTCTCAAGCTCTATTTGGAAATGCAGAGTCAAGGTATCAAGCCAGATGCATTTGTCTACAGTTCCCTCTTAAACGCTTGTGCAAGTTTGTCTGCATATGAACAAGCAAAACAAGTTCACGTCCAAGTGCTGAAGCTAGGTTTTATAACCGATATCTTTGCTGGGAATTCTCTTGTCAATAGTTATGCGAAATGTGGGAGCATAGATGACGCAGAACGTGCTTTTCGTGAAATACCAGAGAGAAGTATAATCTCATGGTCTGCAATGATTGGAGGAATGGCTCAACATGGGCATGGGAGACTTGCCCTCCGACTATTCGATCAAATGCTGAAAGATGGCATTGCTCCCAATCACATAACTCTTGTAAGTGTTCTTTGTGCTTGCAATCACGCAGGCTTGGTATCCGACGCCAAGAGATATTTCTCATCAATGGAGGAGCTATTCGGTGTTCGACCCATGGAAGAGCACTATGCATGCATGATTGATATTCTCGGGCGAGCTGGGAAGCTCGATGAGGCAATGGAGCTTGTAGACACAATGCCTTACGAAGCCAATGCTGCAGTATGGGGTGCTCTTCTTGGCGCTGCTAGAATACACAAGAATGTTGACCTCGGGAGTAAAGCTGCTGAGATGCTTATCAATCTTGAACCCGAAAAATCAGGCACCCACATTCTTCTTGCTAATATTTATGCATCAGCTGGGATGTGGGATGGGGTAGCAAAGGTAAGGAAAGTTATGAAAGATAGTAATGTGAAGAAGGAGCCTGGAATGAGTTGGATGGAGATAAAGGACAAAGTCCACACCTTTATAGTTGGTGACAGAAGCCATCCTAGAAGCAAAGAAATCTATGCTAAGCTCGAGGAACTCAGTGAGCCTCTGAGAAAAGCAGGCTACGTTCCCATGGTCGAAACCGATCTTCACGATGTCGAAGAAAGGGAAAAGGCGAAGCTGTTGTACCACCACAGCGAGAAACTCGCAGTGGCTTTCGGACTGATCGCCACCCCTCCTGGAGCTCCCATTAGGGTGAAGAAAAACTTGCGGATTTGCTTGGACTGCCATACTGCAATCAAGTTGGTCTCGAAGATCGCTTCGAGGGAAATCATCGTCAGGGATGTCAACAGGTTCCATCACTTCAAAGATGGTCTGTGTTCCTGTGGAGATTACTGGTGAATGATATGGGCTCTCTGCATTTTCTGGTGTTTGTACAATTGATGTATAATAATACTCTTGTAGCGCATGTAACATGTGTATTCTTCTACCATTTTAGAAGAACTAAAATAATAAGTAACAACTTTCAGTACTGTTGTGAGGAAGTCCAAGTCCCACCCAACTGACTTGATTTCGCTCGTACTCGTTTTCTTCTGTCTCCTTCTCTGCGTGTTTTCTTCACCAATACGCGGCATGCATGTTCCCCACTCTTTCTTCATAGTTTCGTTCGTATTCACACAAGACCTCGAAGTGGCTGATTACGATTAGACCCATCTAATCAATAATCCAAAGTTGATTCATCTCATTTACGTTCACTGCTGATCACACAATAGAGTGACAAATTACTGTTTTAAATAAGTTACTATTTTACATTTTACTTGAATCTTATTATTGTTGGTGACCCAATTGCCAATTGGAGTTCTAGCATGGCTCTTGGTTGACTCCGAGGCTCGAAACAAAAACGTCGGAGTGAACTGGGGTAGTGTATCTATACAAATACTCATAATTTCCATGTATATTTTATTTGGTTGTGTTGGTTTGCAATTCAAGTAACCACAAGGAAAAATATTCTTGTATATAGTATTTTTTCCAATTTCATTGGTACAAAATTTTTTGGAAATATGTTTTAGATTGGTTCGAGATTGACTCAAAAAGTACAAATATCATACCGACGTTAAGTGTCCAGATTCAACTTTCAACAAATTGATTTGAGAATTTTAACTCGGGTCATAGGTAGAGTTAGATTAACCCATTAGTTAAGTAAAATTATTGTTTTATATCTGCCGTTAACATAAGATAAGATAGGAGTAATTCTAGTAAATATAAGAGAGAATCTAGTTAAGTATAAAACGTCTAGATAAGCCGACGGAACAAAACATTATGAAAGAAGCTTTCGTGTCAAATACATATCCAAATTGTCATATACAATTATTGACGTCGAAATTATCATTGTAAGGTCAAACCATATAACCATTTGATTCAGATTTTGAGAAATGAGTCTTACCTATCTTCCTTCCGCATAATATAATGTTGTTAATTATGCAAGGTCACCATGAACAAAAAAATGCATGTTTTTCTCTGACATTCAAAACCAAAAATATATGTTAGATTGCATTTTAAAAAAATATATGTGTTAATTTGAAAGAGATTACCCATCAATTCATTAATTCATGTACACGTACATAATAGATATAGTTACATACTTGGGCGTGAGTATATATACAACTAATCCCACTTTCAGTTAATTAATTCAACAAAATTAAGGAGTGCATCTATCTATGGAGGAAGGATTATATGTATTTAATTGATTTGGGAAGAAGTTTCCAAGGAAACAAAGCCGAAGGAGATGTGCCGTCCGCAGACGACGACAACTGAAACTAGTGCTGCCCTGCCGTGCATAGCTGGTGTTTTGTGGCTGCTATGTACGTATGTTAACATTAATGCATAATTAAATAAATAATAAACTCTACCACTAATCTTATATAACATATGTATTTTTAATACAATTTAATATTTTAGTACTACAAATAGGCAGGTCTATTAACCCTTCGATCGCCGAATTCCCCGGCAATCACGGCCACCGGTTGCCCCCGCCGATTGACACGTATACTTTGTCCGTGCCTGAAGGCAAACGGCGCCGTCCAAATCCACCAGGTTCGCCGAACGAACGACGACAGAAATCAGGACAATTAAAAGACGTGTAAATCCCATTATTATTATTATTAAACGACGTTAAAAGCAAATAAATCCCGACATTGACGCGTGGAACTTTTCGGGCAGATAAAGTATCGGGGGCGGCGCGGGCTATGCCGGCCGCCAATAAATTAGGCACGTAATGTAATAATAATAATAATAAATTAACAAATTAATTAATCAAGATTATGTTATCTTCTGTAGGGGTGTTCAAACGGTTTGGTTACCATGGTAACCGTTTTAACCAGTACTATTTGGATAATTTGGTTTGGTTAATTTGGATAATTGGTTTGGTTTGGTTAAAGTTTTTAGTTTGTTTGGTTTAGGTGGTTTGGTTTGGTTTCAGACACTCCTAACCAGTCAAACCAAATTAACCAGTTAAATAATTAGTCATATATCTAACATATATTATATACACATACTTAAATACTTTGCATAACCACTCAAGAGTTAACGTTCATCCCTTTTAGACTCATAAAATATAAAGCTCAATATTGCTCATATAGTGTATATTTGTATATGTAAAATGTAGACCACAACATATGGACACCTAATTTAGATAAATTTAATACTAGGGATGGCAATCAAACCCATGGCCGCGGGTACCCGACCGCCCCCGACCCAGTCAACACGGGTAATCCCCGCTTTGACCGGGTATGGGGCGGGTATGGGTAAAACCCGCAACAGTTTGATGGGTATGGGGCGGGTATGGTTTTAGCCTCCCCGCCCCATACCCATACCCATATCCGCCCCACCAAGAGAATTTCTTCACATATACAAAAACATGTGGATCAAATTGTAATCTATCAATAGTGATGAGGATAACTGAAGGAAATAAATAGTAGAAATGCAATTGAGTGACCATTTTAATCAAAACCTAATTCATTTCCCTCAATTCTCCTTTAACTCTTTCACTTCCCCCCTTGTCAACAAGGTTATGTTAGTTAATTATTACTTAGTAGATGTATAAGAGTTAGAACATAATAATTTGAAAAATATTATACTCTGTATTATGTATTAATGAATGTTTAAGGATCATTATTTTGAACCATATTAAGAAAATGATCGTGTTTTGTTGAATTCGTGATATAATAGGTACGTTTAGAGTTGTAGTTAAAACTTTTCTTGTGAATTTTTGGATAATAGTGTTGGATGTACGGGTACGGGTATTACCCATGGGTACCCGAAACCCACATGTATGGGGATGGGTTTGCCGAACATTCCCCCGCATGGGTATGGGGCGGGTATGGGTTTGGATATTTGAAGATGGGGATGGGGATGGTTTAGACAAACCCACCCCATTGCCATCCTTATTTCATACATTATGATGGATGAAAACTTGAAAGGAAGGTCATTTCCAGCCTATGATAATGGCTAAGAGACTAAGTCAATTTACACAAACACAACAATTCATTAACCCATACCATTGTCATAAATTTTTGTTAGGTGAATACTTCTATACTAATCGTAAGATAATTGTCTTAGTGGCATGTATTATTGTTAAGGGTCAACTATAACTACGTGTTGATTGTTATGTTTTATTCATTATATAAATTGCGAATTGTTGCATTAACCGGAAAATTTTCATCGTCAATGATAATGTGATTTTATATTGGTTAATCTGGTTAACCAATTAACCAAACCGATTAAACTTTAGTTTGGTTAATTTGGTTGTTGTATTAGTTTGGATGGTTTGGTTATGATATTGTATTATATGGTTAATGGAATTTAGCCTTATTTGGTTTGGTTATAACCATGGTAACCATTTGAACACCCCTAATCTTCTGGAGGCAGGTTGTTATTTGGAAACACAACAACTACAATTAATCGATTATTAATTATTAATGCTTTTTTCATAATAAATTTATTTGGCCATAAACATCCGGATTTGGAATACCAGCATAAATACGGCTCTCTCCTCATTTTCTAAGTCCACTCTTTGTTATGGTCGTCGCCAGTTAATCACAAACTGGATAGCTATTTTTTGTCCTTATATAGTGAAATTGTAGCTCGATTTTATGGAAAATTTTTCATTTATGCAACCAATGAGGGAATATGCCTGGTTTTTTAATACGAAGGAAAACCGGCTGAAGTTTATGTTTTTCCTTTGGATTTCTATATGGGAAGGCCAGCACATTTTGACTAATAAAAAGTTGATACTGGAATTGACGTTTTCTACTTGTATGGTAGATTGAATTACTAAATATTTTTTATGAATAATTTAATTAAATATAAATAAATAAATATATTATTATTATTATTATTATTATTATGAAGGGAGTCCTTGGAATGCCCATTGCGCATTTGAATTTATTAAAAGGCTCACTCCAAAAACAAAACTTATCAAAAGGCATTCTAACTTTTACAAAGAAAATTACTAAAAAAATAAATTTGTATTATTATTATATACGCCTTGACAAAACTTGAATCGATCAAGAGAGGTAGAGACCCTCGTTTTACAAACTTTTCCCAACACATTGCTTTGTAATATACAAAATGACTCCTCAATTAATTACTAATTATTAGCAGATGCATGCCACATGCCAGAGCGTAAATTAAAAAAAATACGTATATTATGGCCAACAAGTGCTCTCATTAGAAGATAAAATATGCTATTTATAAATTATTAATAATAATGTAACTAGAAGTGATAAATTAAATCAATCTACCAATTTAATTCAATTCACTCTAAAATATCCAAATATGTGAATTTATTTAATTCAAGATCAATTTAATTGCGGATTCATGAATTATTGAAAAACTATAATTTAGTAATAATATAATTTTTTTAGGATTTCATACCTATAAATTAAGTTTTATGCAAAATATCCTTGATAAATTACATTTTGGCACCAAACATTTTTTTAATAGTATTTAACTATGATAATGGTCCATAATTTAAATGTCACTCAAATTCGTGAAATCATGGAGGATTTAATGCAATCTAAAAATCCACACCAATCCAATCAAATTGTCACCTCTGTTTAGTGATGCCAATGGGGCGGGACGGGGCGGGTACCTCAATACCCATGCCCCGTCCCATGCTACGCTACTACATGTCGTGGCGGGTCAGTCACTCTTACATGTTATATGAAAAAAAATACACACAAATATTACTTTTTTACGATAAAATGAATGAGAAAACACTTTATGAATGAAAAAAATAATAATAATAAAATGGGTAATTGAGTATGACTCTTACTAGTTAAAGAAAAGTCAAAATAGGAGAAATATGTATATAATGCGGTAAAAATTGAGATTGAATGGACCAAGAACATGGCGGGACAGGACAGAGCAGGACGGATCAGAAGTAGATACACATGCCTCGCTCCCACACTACTGCGGATAAGATAATACTCACCTCGTCACGAGTCAGATCAGGTAATACCAGCAGAGTGGGTTTAAATTGCTATCACTACCTCCATAATTAGAAATTAAAGAATTATATAGGAATAGGTTTGTACATTGCAGGCATATTATGGATTGGGAATTCGGTCATGATGATCATGCCCACATTTGCCCAACCATATTCACTTTCCCTTTACCAATAAAAAGGGGTTAATTGCATGGTTGGTCACTTAGATTACACAAAACGTTCATGTTTGGTCACTGAAAATATTTAAATCCAATCTTGGTCACTCAAATTAGTTAAATGGTTCAAGTTTGGTCACTCTCCGTCCAACTCCGTTAAATATGTCTGATGTGGCAGTCAACCCTCAAAGTTGACCGTTAACTCGGTGACGTGGCAGTTAAAAAATAATAAATAAAATAAATTTTAATCTTCTATCATTTCCAACTTATTTTCACAATAAAGTAAAATAAAAAAAATAAAAAAATTAGAGGCTCCTTTGAGGACATGATATTCACAGCCCTGGACATCAATTTCTACCACCAAATCCCATCCGAACAACAACAACAGAACCAGTGGTGGCAACAACAGCAAATGGACCCAAGCCCATCAACACTCCCAAACGCTTCCTCTTCCTCCAATTCCTCCTCCCGTCCCCTTCCCCACCAAATTCCCCTCCAATTGCCCGCCGCCGCTCCACCACCAAATCCCCAATTGGCTCTCCCCTCTGCCGCCGCCTGCCGCAGGGAGTCGTCGAGGTCGTCGTCCGCGGCGTCGAGGTCGTCTTCCTCTGATGCGTCTGGCGAGCTGAATGTCCTTGGGCATGATAGTGACCCTCTTGGCGTGAATGGCGCAGAGATTGGTGTCCTCGAAGAGACCTACAAGGTAGGCCTCGGCAGCTTCCTGGAGAGCCGAAACGGCAGAGCTCTGGAATCTGAGGTCGGTTTTGAAGTCCTGTGCAATTTCGCGAACCAGGCGCTGTAAGGGCAGCTTGCGGATCAAGAGCTCTGTGCTCTTCTGGTACTTTCGAATCTCGCGGAGGGCGACGGTTCCGGGCCTGCACCTGTGGGGCTTCTTCACTCCGCCGGTCACCGGAGCGGACTTCCTTGCGGCCTTGGTCGCCAGCTGCTTCCTTAGCGCCTTGCCGCCGATAGAGTTGCGAGCGGTTTGCTTGGTGCGGGCCATTTGAGAGAGAGGAGCTAGGGTTTGAAGATTATGGAACTTGGTGGATTACTGAATATTGAGTGAGAGAATTTGATTTCGGTGAGGATTGCCGGAGAAGATAGGGGGATTTAGATTTATTGGAATGGAGAAGTGAGAGTCGACTAAGGGTGTTTTATATTTTTTATTTTATTTTACTTTATTGTGAAAATGAGTTGGAAATGATAGAAGATTAAAATTTATTTTATTTATTATTTTTTAATTGCCACGTCACCGAGTTAACGGTCAACTTTGAGAGTTGACTGCCACATCAGACATATTTAACGGAGTTGGACGGAGAGTGACCAAACTTGAACCATTTAACTAATTTGAGTGACCAAGATTGGATTTAAATATTTTCAGTGACCAAACATGAACGTTTTTTGTAATCTCAGTGACCAATCATGCAATTAACCCCAATAAAAAGTATCAAACCGCCGCAGTAATAATAAGTGGCGGTATGGGTTGGGCGGCAGCGGCAGGGTCATAAGTTTCTACCAAACCAATTCGCCGTCTTCTGATTCGGTTCATTTGTGGGTAGGGAGTGGTTGATGGGTTTGGCCAACCACTTTTCTTTAATTTGTTCGGCTCGGTTGCAGCACTGTGGTTTTTTTTTTCTTTCTGGTCGAGTGACACTGAGTGAGGGTGTTTCGATACTCGGTTTTTGTGGCAACATGACTGGTTCGACCAACCACTTGGATCTTTCGTTCGCCATGCATCTCCTCGTGCTTATAAACAGGCAGCCGTCACGATGTAAGCCAAAATTTCCTTCGACGTGGATTCATTTAGGAAAAAAAATATACACGATAAATTAATTTTGATTAACTTTCATCGTTGATATAAATCTTTCATTTGTCAATATTTTTGATAGATTAAAATACATTAGCATCTGTACCAAGCAATCATTTCATAATTTAGTCAGTCGTTTGCTTTCGAATGCAGTTCTTTATAACCGTTTATAGTATCAATAACTTGAGTTGTTGTTATGAGAAGTTCAATAATGAATCATATATCACCTACTGACCACCGTCACGCCCCCCTCAAAAGACATCCCCCAACTTTATACTGGTTTTCATTTTTACACATATCTGAATACCGTGTACTTAACAAATGGACAACCGAGATTGAACACAAGACCTGTCGATATGCCATTCTCAATCAATCGTACTCTCATTTTATTCTCAGTTAACTATTTTATCCAGTTTACTCATTTTTTTCACCTGAAAAAACCATGGTCCATGAAACCGTACCAGACATTGTATCGGGAATGTCAGTGGTAGGGTATTTTATGATAAAACCGTGTTTTAACCGTAGTATCGTTAAATACCGCCTACCGGTTTAGAATCTAATATTGGTATTTCGTGGTTGAACTGCCGGTATGGTACGGTTTCATGGACCATGGAAAAAACAGCTTGAAATCGATCGAAACCAAATCGATTCGTTTGTGCACCGGTCCATCCTGTATATAGAACCCGAACCGAGCAAATGCCGCCACCCCCGTGGGTTGGTAAAAGAAACCGGTAGAGGAAAGAGCGTGAGTGAAGAAATAAAGGGAAAGGTGGCGGTGTGCGGGCAGTTGGGGGGAAATTGTCAGGAAGATAGAGGCCAGCACAGCAGTGCAGTGTCTTGCGCAGCCGTAGGGACGACGACTTCTTCTTAAATTTAGGCGGTGGCCTAACTTCTTCTTCTTCTTCTTCCTACAGAAAACAGCAGTAGACACGCGTCGGGTCACCATTGGGTGCCGCTTCCGCATCCTTCTCTCTCTCATGGTCCACACGAGCGGTTCAAAGGGATAAAGGCGTGGGGCTCTCTACTACAAATTACAAAATGGTTGGCTCCTTCCTTCCCCTCCAAATTAAAAAAAAAAAAAAAAAGAGGCTATAATAAAAAGGCGGCCCATCACGGGAAAAGAAAAATATATATGGATCCAAGTCACGCGGCGAGATAGCAGAACATGCCGACAACTTGTTCAAACTCCCGTCTTTCCCCTTTCTCCCTCGCCACCACGCGCCACCCCTCCTTAATTCCCGTCCTAATCTTTATTTAACACACTCCTAATCACAGCTATCCCCCACCGCAAAATACGGTCGCACACACCGAGAAATTTTAGGAGACAGTCATTCTAGCCCCATCTTTAAAAGAAAAATGTGCCGAAATTAATATATCGGCTTAACAAGTTTGATAGTTATGACGACTAGGCACCGTTCGATACTGTCGGATCAATTTATGAAAAATCGTAGGTTCATAATCCGAAGGTGTCAGCCCATGCTAAGTAAAAATTACTAAAACCTTAAAAAATGGGAAGAATAAAGCATTTACAGAGAGTCGTCGAGACTCTTAACATACCGCACCTAAGACGGATCTTGAACTTAATACCAGTGGATTATGAGCATCGCGATCACTGGTTTGTTTTAATCAAGTATTTTTTTTATAACTGATTTCGATAACTAAAAACAAGCGGGGACGGACAGCATATAATTAGCGGCTGGAAAGGAAATTAAAGAGAGGTTGCATCCGACGCGCCGGCGGTTTGGGAGTGGGGGAAAGGGACAATGGTCCACCGCACGCAATCTGCAGTACGATCGCAGCCGTAGGATTTAAAACCAATTTTAATTATTAATAAATAAAATTCCCGGGAACGGCAAAAGGAGGGGAATTGTAATACCCAAAATACCCTTGCAAAAAATTCAATAGATGGTCCTGCTGCTCGGTCGACATCCCACATGCCACGAAATCCGGGCACCACTGCCCCCGCTCCGCCGCCCCTCTTCCTCAGTCAAACCCGCCGTTGACTCCCACCTTTTTTTTTTTCTCTCTCTACCACATAAATTCCACGTCGGCACCTTCCTCGCTATATAACCAACCATTCCCCTTTCCCCTTCAATCTCCTCCTCCCTCCCGTCCGCTGTAAAAATTAACCCCTTTTTCACGAAATTCCAATTCTCTCTCTCCAAACAGAAAAACAAAAAGGAATGGCTCCCAGAGACAAAAGCACCACCGCCGTAAAAACGAGCGGCGGCGGCGGAGGTGCGGCGGAAGGAAAGGAGGCGCACTTTCGCGGAGTGAGGAAGAGGCCATGGGGGAGGTACGCCGCCGAGATCAGGGATCCCGGGAAGAAGAGCCGCGTGTGGCTGGGAACATTCGACACGGCGGAGGAAGCCGCCCGCGCCTACGACGCCGCCGCCCGGGAGTTCCGCGGGGCCAAGGCCAAGACCAATTTCCCTTTCCCCGGCGCCGATTCGTTCATTTCTCCCATTCCCATGAACAACAAGAAGGGTATCGTCGTCGCGGCGAATCATTTCGCCGCCGCGTCGGCCAAGAGCAACAATCGGAGCCCCAGCCAGAGCAGCACGGTGGAGTCGTCCAGCAGGGAAGCTCTGGCGCCGGTGATGACGCCGATGGACTCGTCGCCTCGTCTAGATCTGAATCTGGGGCCCATGGGTGGCGGCAGCTCCGCCGTCGTCCGTTTCCCGTTTCAGCCGATGGTGCCGCCGCAGGCGGCGGCTGCGAATCACCATCCGCATCACGTGTTTTATTACGATGCGATGATGAAGAGTGCGCAGTACCAGCGGATGATGTTCGATCACCAGCAACAGCAACAGCAATATCTCCAGCACCGCCCTCGCCCCCAGGCCATGTTTAGCGGCGGAGCCGGAGGGGTCCAGAGCGATTCAGATTCGTCCTCCGTCGTCGATTTGAACCAGACCAGCGATCCGAACCCGACGTCGACGACGACGACGACGACCAGATCTCTGGATCTGGATCTAAATTTCCCTCCGCCGGCTGAGACCGCCTGATCACTTTTTTCCCCTCGTCTGCCGGAGATATGGAATCAACCTAATCTGCCTGTTTTTTCCGTCATAGTTCCCCCTTTTTTGTTTTGTTTACCGTCCCCTCTCAGAATTAGGGATCCAAATAGAATTAGCAAAGGAAACAACAACCCCAAAAAATTGTATTCCCCAGAAAACATAGAAAGAATGAGCTGAATGTAGTACTCCGGCGAGCTGCCGATGGTACATCGATCTGAGATCGGGAGAAGGAAAAAAGAAAGCCAAAATCCCGCCGGCTCCGATGTGTATAAGTTAGTAAAAAGCCCGATGGATCGATCGATTTCGCTCCCCCCGTTTTTTGCGACGAGAGGATCTCCCTCGTTGTTCATAACTAGTCCTTTACTGTACCCTTCCTTGTTTTTGGATGTATGGAAAATCGGAAATGAAATCGCAGTTCTCAGCTCTTCTCTCATTCATTTCTATCTCTATGTATTCAGTTTCGTCTGTCGTTTCTTATGTTTACGCCGGCGACAGTGTATGGTTAAGAAGAGGAACGGAACATCGGAAATGAAACGCCAATTCTGAGTTCGTTCTCTCGTTCATTTCGCCGGCGCCGGGATTTGTACGGACAAGGGGAGGGATTGGTGTTTGTTTGGAGGGGAGTAGAGGGCGCCGGCTGCCGGCTACGTAACTAGTACGGTCCACGGACAGCGGATTTGTGCGTTTTGTTTTTTAATTAATTTATTGATATATTTAATTTTGGAGATTAAGAAATTAATTAATTAATTAATAATGGGGGAAAGGAGGCGTTTGTTGAAAATGATGTCAGGCAAAATGCGCCCCGTACTAGTAGTCGGTGTTGGCATTAGGGGTGTGCAACGGTTCGGTTCGGTCCGGACCGGACCAAACTCATGAGAACCGCGGTCCATTAGTGAAAGACATGTTAGGACCAAGGACCGGACCATTCTTGCATTTGGTCCATTTGGTCCGGTTCGGTCCGGTCCAAATATGAGCTCGGTCCACCATTTCTTCAGTAATTATAAAAATCAAGAGGACCAAGGACCGGACCGCATTTTACTCGGTCTGGTCCGGTCCGGTCTTAACAACGGTTTGGTCCGGTGTGGTCCGGTACGGACCGGACCATTGCACACCCCTAGTTGGCATGGTAGGAGAGCTTTCGGCTTTTTTGACTGTGGGGGGAATTCGGTGACAGACAGGTGTCGTTATGACGTTGTTACAGCTTTGCTTCCGATTCTTTTTCTCCGTTCCGTTTCCGTTACCCCCTGGAATTTATTTATTTTTACATTTTTTGTTTTAATTACACAGAATTAATTGATTGGTTTCACTAGCATAGTAGTATTGTACTGGTTTCCCTCGTCGGCTAAAGAAACGGCAGCGTGTGGCGGTGGAAATGGGGCATAGTTGTTGTAGGGCCGTGTCTTTGAGGTTTATCATGATATTGTCTTCGGTTTTGTAGGGAAGAGTATTCGTATTGTAGAAAAGAAATGTATAATTCTTGATGATTGTTTTGCAGAATGGGGTTACATGTTGATTTGTTCATGATTTCTGCCAATGATGATTCGAGCTTATGGTTTGGGTCGGGAACAAGGAAGATCTAGTTGTGATATGGTCTTATAATTTGGTTATTGGATGCGACTAAATGATTGTTATCGAGCATTAACTATTATTTTCTTATTATTGACATATTATGTTTTTCGGAAGTTAGATGCACACTGATAATTGATCTTAGAGCGGTAAACATCATGGTAATCTACCTATAAGCAATGGTAAAGCTCTAGTCGCATGTCCCGGGTAGTCTGACAGTGAGTTTTGGTGTTATCCTGTTTCATTTTTTTGGTTGTTTTAGTATCTTGATATGCTTTTCAGTCTGGTGTAAGACATTGTAGTCAGTAACATTATTGTTTTTAGTGGATTTGGTTTGTTTTTCTGACGCCAACTATTTTAACCATTAACACGTGGATAAACAGGATTGTTTCTGATTCTCTGCAATACTACTGGCTCATCTAACACACCACTCACACCAGGACATTAAGATTTCCCACCTTTTCTGTATGTCTGGTGCAAGATATTATAGTCAGTAACATTATTGTTTGTAGTGAATTTGATTTGTTTTTCTGACGTCAACTATTTTAACCATTAACACGTGGATAAGCAGGATTGTTTCTGATTGCTGCAACACTACTGGCTCCTCTAACACACCACTTGCACCAGGACATCAAGATTTTTTTCCATATGTGTTTTGGCTTCTTTATGTTCGGATACAATTTTTGTCGTACTAGTTATTATTGCTTTTGAAAGTTTTATATACCCATCTCTACAAATGTCTCCCTGAGTTTGTTTCTTTCTCACATGACCACTTGTATTGCGCCAGCTATAGCTTATGTATTCCTCGCCTAACATCTCATTTATTTATTATTTTGATCCACATGTTCAATATGTTGTTGGTACCCGTTATAACTTCTAAAAATGCATAATTTAATATCTACAAATGACTATATTGTTCATCATTCCTACAAAAGTGCAGTCATATGACTTCTTGTCAACATTCCACTGGTTCGAATTCTCCGCTCTTTGTGATCTATGAAATGAGTCTTGATTTATCGACGTTATTAGTGTTATGTTGGTTCCCTCGTCGGCCAAAGAAGCGGTCGATGTGACTGCGGGCATTGTTGTAGGGCCATGTATATGTGTTTTATTGCAATCTTGACTTTGGTTCTGCAGGTGTTACTCAATAGTTGTAGGGGGGAATGTATAACTCCATGAGGCTTGGTAATTCTTTTGTAGAATGAGATCCATGTTGATTTGTTTATGATTTTCCACTGATGATCATTCGATTCCACGAAACAATCAATGGTTCGGGAATAAGGAAGATCTAGTTGTGATCGGATCTTAATTTTGTTGTTGGATGTGACAAATGATTGTTATCAAGACAACTCAAGTTTTCTTGTTATTGACAACTAACATTTTTTTGGGATATCATGTGCGCACTAATAACTGATCTTAGAATCGTATACATCTTGATAATCAACCTCTTAGCAATGGTGAGTCTTTATTTACGTGTATTAGGTAGTCTGATAAGAGGTTTTGGCAACCAAAAAAAAAATGTTTTAGTATCCTGATATGCATCCAATATGCATATGGTGTAAGACATTATAGCCAGTAACATTATTGTTTTTTTAGTGAAGACAACATTTGTTGTCGTGCTGGTAATTAATTATAGAGTTATAGACGTTTTGACAATCGACCTCTGAACAATTATGAGATTTTATTCATATATCTCTAACAATCTGACATGAGTTCATAACATTTTGTCGTATATTTGGCTTTTTTGTATTTCAAATCTGATGGCCGCCATTGCAGTTAGTAAAATTGTTGTCTTTTTAGTCAAGATAACATTCATTTGTTCTTTTGGTATACTTTCTTGAAATGCAATCACGGAATTTGCTTAGGCCATTCTTCAGAAGCATGTTAAAAAGATGTTAGTTTATTCCCATACCAATTGCAATGTTTCTTGAACTCCTTTTTTAGGCAAATTCCAACACTTGTTTTTGTTTCCGTTTAATTTTTAATTTGATGTAAGTAGTAATTTGATTTATGTTGTCAACTATTTTAACCATTAACACGTGGATAAGCAAGATTGTTTCTGATTCTCCGCAACACTACTTACTCCTCTAACACACCACTCACACCAGGACATTAAGATATTTTTCCATATATGTATTCGACATTTTTATGTCCGGATATGTTTTTTTGTCAGTGCTAGTTAGACCATCTCCATCCCTGCAATAGGTTAGCCATTTCATAAATGGACCCCACATCCACATCATCAACTTTAGCAACTATTCAATTCAACCATTTCAAACCACCTACATCCCTGCAATAGGTTAGCAATTGCAATTGATGGGACCTACTACATATTCTTTTCCTTAACAATACATTTTATGTGTACAAAGTGGATAGAAAATAAAGAAAGAAAAAAGAAAGAATTTGAGTGCATGAATGTGTGGGTCCTAATTGCTTATGTGGCATTGCAAAGGGGATTGCTTATTTAGCAATCTTGCTAAATAAGAAAGAAGTGCTACATCCTTGCAATTGCTTAAAGCTATTGCCACATAGGATTCCACCCAATAAGCAATAGCAATAAGCAATTGGATGGAGATGGTCTTATTATTGCTTTTGAATGATTTCTATACTCGTCTCTATAAATATCCCTCCTTGGTCTGCTTCTTTCCCACGCGCTCTCTTGTTTTGATTCACCTTTTCAATATGTTGTCAGTGACCGTCGTAACTTTTCAAAAGCCCTAATTTCACTGTTTACAGATGTCCTTATCGTTCATCCTTCTTTAAAAAAATGCAATCATATGACTCGTTGTCAATGTTCCATGGATTCAAAAACCCTCTGCTCTTTGTAATCTATCATCTATGGTACTTGTTGATTTCTCTACATTATTGAGCTTCTTTACCAAGGGATCACATCCATGGATGTTGTTGGAACGGCCGGGGAATCACACCGATTGAATGAAAGGGAAATATATTTATTAGTATAGTAATGTTTTAATGAAATCAAAGGGAAGAAAGGGGCAGAAAATTAGGCGCAAAAATTTGGCCGACATTTTGACCCTTCTGGAAGGCTGGTATTGTAAAGAATTGGTTAAAATTCATATATGGATATTTTTCAGCGACAATTCGTGTTATTGAGATAAAATGGTTTTTTTTTTTTTTTGCCTTACAGGAGGCACGAGGCCAAAGAAAAGAAAACAGGGGGAAGGGATCAGATGGGAGGGGTAAGAGGAGAAATTACAATATTTCTCAGCGACAATTCGTGTTATTGAGATTAAATGGTTTATAATATATACGATAATTAAGACATTCTGATGATGTTGATTGTAATGTTTGAATACTAATTAGAACGAGGGATGGATCTGAATTCTGAACCATGCCCATCATGATCAACCATACCGACCCAACAAGGACGTTAGTTGGTTTGATTGAAAAGCTGGATAGAT